GAAGAGCTCACACCAGGAGAAAGGATATGGAGTTGTGTGGAGCATCTGTATAGAAAATGCTCCCACACATGGCCCAGTGTAGGAGGCAGGTTCTGGGACAGCCCAGGGCACGAGTGCAGGAAGAGTGCCCAGAGAGCTCTAAGGGCTGGCCACCAGAATGCAAAATGATAACCCCAGTTGTTTCTGGGACCCTGGATTCTCAATGACCCTTCCTCCTTCAGTGTTCTGCACTCTCTGGGCTTTTAAAAGTGTGCATTTATATCTTTTACAAAATGCAATGTTTCTTTAAAAAAAAAAAAACCAACGTTGCCGAGATCCGGTAAGACAAGGCTGAACTGAGAGTGGATGGCTGGACTGGGCAGACGAAGCTGCAGGTAACGGGTGCGACACAGATGCAGGAGGGGGAAGGAAGCAGAGGCGGGGAGCGAAGGCCACCTAAGGCACCAGGCCATGCGGACCGACGCCGGCGCAGCGAGGCGAGACCCTGTGGCTCTCGGGACGGCGTCCGAAGGGCGGACCCCAGGAGCAGCGGCCCGCCTTCGGACCCACCCCCTTTCCACGGTGAGGAGAGCTGGGGACGCAGCAGCACAGCAGCGGGCCGACCCCCGAGCCCTCCCTCGGGAGGGGGAGGCCGGCCCGAGGCCTCCGCTGACGACAGCCGGGGGCTCCGCGGACCTGGCCAGCCCTCTGCGTCCCCGCGGCTCGTCCCCAGACCACCGCCCGGCCCCGCACCCGCGAGGCCGGCCGAGCGCGCCTCACTCACCCAGGGGAGTGACCCTGATCTCGGGCATGCTGCCGGGCGCGCTGCCGGGCCCCGTAGCCTCTGCCCTCACCGAGCCCGCAGAACCACGGCGGCCGGCCCCTGGCCCGCCGCGACGTACCGCGCAGGCGCAGCCCCAAAGGCGCCAGCTTCCGGTGCGCCCGCCGGAAACGCCGGCCCACGCGTCGAGCCTCCGGATTGGGCAGCCGGCAACCAATCCCGGGCGTCAGGGAGGCGGCCGGGGGCGGGGCAGAGAGTCCCCTGGCCGCGATCGCGGCCGCACAGGTGAGCGGGAGAGCGGCAGGCTCGGCCCCGGGGCCGGGGAGCAGAGCCCAACCGAACTGGGCAGGTGGGTCTGGGCATCGCCAAGGGGCCAGGCGCGGGAGGGGCGGCCGAGGGCCTGGCTCCCACAACTCCCCGGACCCGGGGCCCCTGCTCGATCCCTGGGCCTCAGCTGGAGCGGGACCCGCCCAGGACCGGGGCCCCACCCTACCCGAGCCCGGGGTCCGAGCCCGGCGCCACCTGGAGCTCCCTTCCCGAGCAAGACTTGCAGGGCTTCCTGGACAGGGCCTCACTCCTACCCGCTGGGCCTGGGGTGCCAGGGTGGGTGCCCTCTTCTGGGGGCCTTCAGCCTGCTGTCAGCCAGAGAGCTGCGGGGCTCAGGCAGCCCTCCTGCCAAGACTTGACCTTGGGGCTGTAGGCTGACCCTGGGGGAGCCTTGGTGGTGCCCTGCATCACCTCCCGAGAGCTGGCAGGCTGCCTGCCCTGGGCTGCACAGCCAGTGTCCTTCCTGTTGTTTGCAAGTTCTGAAAAGCTCCCAACAGCTCCTCTGCGCTGCTGGCTCAGGTTCTAGACAGGAAGTCCAGGCCCACAGGATGTCTGGTGTCCAGGAAGGTAGCCCTGAAGGCCTCGGAGGCCATCTGCTCAGTGGACGGAAGACAGGCCCCGAGAGAGGGCAGGGGCGTGCCGGAAGTCTCTGGAGCACCGTCTTCCTGAGGCCAGGCACGACTGTCCCCCACACCTGAAGACAGGGTGAGCTCACCTCTGGGAGCTCCGCCCAGTGCCGGGGCCTCCAGGGCCTCAGGAGCCACTAGGCCCCATCAGATGCTCCTGGCATCCTGGGTGGTGAAATGCTGCTGAGTCTCCAGGGACCGTCAAGAGCCCAACCCCAGTGCCCGCCCTGGGCACCCAGGAGGGCAGAGGCTGGGTTGCTCTGTGGCACCCATTCAGCGTGTGGGCCCTTGAATGTTTATGGAGTGACTGCATGAATATGAGCAGAATCCAGGGCAAGCCTCTGGCCTAGAGCACTTCCCGAAGGTTCCTTGGGGCTGGGGGAGGGCCTTGTGGCTATCTTCAGAGTGTAGAAGACCTTTGGCCCAGCCACCCTTTTCTGTGGCACCTGTTCAGTGCAGTAGGAGTGAAAAGATTGGTGTCTGTCAGGCCGTGCTGACCTTGCAGTCTCTGCTGTGGGCCCAGATGCAGCAGTAAAACTAGGAAGGGCCCAGCCCAGCTGGCCACCCTTCCTGGCCCTCCACCTCACTCTACTGTCTCTTTTTTCATAGTACTTATCTTTTTTTACCTACCATGTTGGACTTTCCTGGCTTTCTCCAAGAATAACGCCCTGATAGGCGGGGATGTTTGTCTCATAGGGCATCCACCCTGGAAGGGTGCTTGGCTCTGGGCAGAGACTCAGCAGATATTTCTCCAGCTGGTAAAAACACACACGCTCTGGTGAGAGAGGCAAACGATGAACAAGCAAGAAAACAGGAGTGGAGATGTCTGCCGTAGATCAGATAGAGCAGAGTGGTTTGACCAGGCTGAGTGACTGGGGGGCCGTGCTAAGATCTGTGGACGAGTGTTCCAGGCCCAGGGCACGGCAGCACCAGGTCATTGTGTCCGAGCATGTGGCCCTGGCAGAGTGAAGTAGGCTCCCGGGGAGAAGGGGCTGACCGGGGATGGGGCCCACTGTGGGCTTTCAGTTGCTTTGTGACTCTTCCCACCACCCTGAAATAGCGACCCAGGAAGGGAGCTGACTCAAGGGAGACAGCCCGCCAGCCTGACTTCCCGTGTGTTTCAGTACGAACTGAGAAATGGATGGCTTGGAGTCGGACTTCAACCTGAAAGTCGTCTTAGTCAGTTTCAAGCAGTGTCTCAATGAGAAGGAGGAGGTGCTGCTGGATCACTACCTCGCCGGCTGGAGGGGGCTGGTCAGGTGCTTTCGGGGGGCACTGCCTTGTGGGGTCCCCACGCTTCCCATGTGCCGTGCTAGGTGCCGTGCACACCCAGCTTCCGCCTGCTTGGGGCTGGTCAGCCGTTCTCACGCACAGCTTGGCCGGCAGCACCGAGCCTTCCTACCCCTGCCTGCAGGGAGACGTGTGCCCCAGGAGGTCAGGGGCGGTCTCCCCTGCACCTGGGCTGAACTCCTACTTCCCCTCGAGCAGGTTCCTGAACAGCCTGGGAGCCATCTTCTCCTTCATCTCTAAGGATGTCACCACGAAGCTGCAGATCATGGAGCATCTGCGCAGCGGCCCCCAGCGGGAGCACTACAGCAGTCTGCAGTCCATGGTGGCCTACGAGGTGGGCAACCAGCTGGTGGACCTGGAGCGGCGCTCCCGCCACCCTGACTCGGGCTGCCGGACGGTGCTTCGGCTGCACCGTGCCCTGCGCTGGCTGCAGCTCTTCCTGGAAGGCCTGCGCACCAGCCCCGAGGATGCCCGCACGGCCATCCTCTGCACGGACTCCTACAACGCCTCTCTGGCGGCCTACCACCCCTGGATCATCCGCCGGGCTGTCACCGTGGCCTTCTGTGCGTTGCCCACACGCAAGGTCTTCCTGGAGGCCATGAACGTGGGGTCCCCGGAGCAGGCTGTGGAGATGCTGGGCGAGGCCCTGCCCTTCATCGAGCATGTCTACAATGTCTCCCAGAAACTCTACGCTGAGCATTCCCTGCTGGATCTGCCCTAAGGGCCAGTGGGCCAGGTGGGGCAGGTTTCCCCTGCAGAGCTGGGCTGGGGCAGCCAGCACCCACCAGTCCCACCATTGAGATCTGTGAGTGCCCCAGGAATGGGAAGAACACTCTCCTCTGCCAGCCAAGCCCGATCAGAGCCACGGGCACAGCACGGCCCTCTCGGGCTGTGCTTCTGGCCTGTGGCATGTGGGCCCTGGCAATCTGCTCTGCCCTTATCACCTTGCTCTGCCCAGGGGCATCTTTGCTTTACCCTCAGCTGAGTTTCATATGTGTCCAATCAGGCCTCACCCAGACGGTGAGGTGCAGAAGGCAGGGCGGGGAAGGGGCAGGATCAGCATTCATGGAAAAGCCGGAGAAGCTGCCCGCTGCCTGTGAGCCAAGTCGTGAAATGGGACCAAGTCACAGGTCCCTGTGGCACAGAGACTTCATCCTGCTTGCCAGCAAGCACATTCAGCAGGTGCTTGTCCATCCCTGGCCCACCTCGGTGTCCATACCCAGGTACCCCCGGGCCCTTCCACCCAGGCTGGCCATCCCCAGGACAGGGATAGAACCCTTGGGCAGCCCTTGGCAGTGTAGGCTCTCTCCCTGTCCCTCACATCCTTACTAGCCAGGGGCCCACATGTCCTTGACAGCAACAGCCAGGAGCTGAAGCCCTGAGCAGAGGCCTGCCCTGCCTCTCTGCACTCTCATCAGCTGCCCCCCGCGGCCACACTGTCAGTCGGGTGCCCCCCCGCCCAGGGAGCTGCCTGCGAGTCTGCGCAGCACAGCCCAGAGCTCTACGGAGCCCACAGCTCTGCCGGTCCAGGGCTAGCCTCTCCCTCCCCACCACCCAGGGAGAGGCCGTGTTCCCTCCTGCCTGCCCCTTACTGCCCCAGCCCCACAGAGCTCAGGAGACCCAGGATGAGATGGCACATGGAGAGAGCCTGGACCAGATGCCCAGCTGACAGGCCAGCCGTCACCCAGCACGTGGGGGCCTGGCCTGTCCTACTGGCTCTCCACTGTGAGCTCAGGCCCCTCGATGCCAAGGGGACTGTATCCACTGTGCAGCAGATGTGCATACGTGTCAGCTTGCAGAGACCCTGGGAAAGTGTAACTGTTTTTCCAACATCAATAAATGCCACGGACAGAGCAAGCAGGGCACTCCGGCGGGGGAGCGGGGGCTATCGTGTGTGTCAGGCAGCTGCTTACTGCAGGGAGGAGGGGCGTGACCCCATGGGGCTGAGGCCCTACTGCCAGGCTCACAGGGCAGTGTCAACCACAGGGACGGGTGGCCTGTCCTGGCCAGCATGAGGCGGGGGGTGCTGCCTGTCTGTTTGTGTAGCCTTTAGCTTGGTCCCCCGAACCCCCACCAAGGTCCATGTCACTATCCCCATGTTATAGGTGAGAAAACAGAATTACCCAAGGGACTGGGTTGGAAGGGCAGGTCTGAGGCCAACCGCACAGCTTGTAGGGAGAAGAACGACCTGCAAAGCCTGTGCAGGGGAGCTGCTCAGCCACAGCAGTGGTTGGGACCGAAGGAGGATACGTGTCAGGCAGCGTGCTCTTGGACACCCCAATGTCAGACCCAAAGAGCAGAGTCCACTGCCAGGTCCCCTCCGCCGGCTCCAGGCCTGCCGCTTCGCCCGGTCCCACAGGGACCGCAGCCAGCCCGCCCGCTCTCCATCCTGCGGCTGGAGATGACCATGAGGGCTGCACACGTGTGCACCCAGGTGCATACAGATGTACAGGGGCCACGCACGGCATAGGTGTCATACGTGTGTGGTGTGCAGGTGCAGTGTGTCGAGTGTGTGTGTGGCACACGTATATGCATGCCCCGAGCGTGCCACGCAGCTTGGTCCCTCCCCACAGGCGGCAGAGATCAGATCCCAGACCACCTCCTATAAACATCTGCCAGGGTTAAGACCACCCAGAGCTCCCACTCCCCTCCAGGGGCATCGGTAGCCTCCCCCAGTTCCTCTGGGTGCCTACTGGGCACCCCCACACCTGAGCCCCGTGTCAGGTCCCCGGGGCACCCAGAGGCTAAGTAGGATCTGCTGCTGGCACATCTTTCGGGGCTCACCTGCACACACCTGGTGCTGACCCAGCTTCAGAGGCCCATTTGGTTGTAGCCTTTCCTCCCTGCATGCCCAACTGTGCCCTCTGTCCCCAGAGGGAGGCACCTGCTGGGTCAAGAGCCCAGGCAGGGTGTGGGCAGAACCAGCCTCAGGGTCCCTGAAGTTTCTAGGCAACAGCCCAGCCCTGTTCTCAGACAAGCTGGGAGGCCACAGCCCCCACCCTGGGGCCCTCCCCACCCCAGCCACAGGATGGAGAGCAGGCGGGCTGGCTGGCCGCTGTCCTCCTGGCTGGTCTGCCCCCTGAGCCTGCAGGTGGAGCCACCCCTGCGGCCCACCCCTCACCCCTAACCCCCGGCTACTAACAGTCCTCCCCAGGGCTGGAAGAGGTGTTTCTGTACCTACTCCTCGGGGCACTGGCACCTCCCCCACGCAGCTAGAGACCCCAGGATCCTCTGGCGGAGAAGTCCTGAGTGTCCCTCCTCCTTTCCAGGAATGGGGTGGGTGCAAAGGGGCTTGGGCACAGGCAGGTAACAAGATCATGGTCAGTGGCTGCTCAGAGCCTGCCTGCCCAGGTCACTGTCAGCCAGAGAGCCTGTGGGTGGGTGACATCAGGATAAAAGAGTCCAAGGAGCACAAACCTACAGGGCCCAGGAAAGCAAGGGTGTCCCCAGGGGCCCCTGGGCTTGGCAGATGAGGACAGGTGAGGATTTTGCTAAGCAAATCCTCTGCCCTCCCCTGCCCCAAGTCATCATATCAGGGCCCCCACCCGGTTCTCTCATTTGCCATCCCTGCTGGAAGCTGCCACCTGCCATGCCAGGCCTGACTCTCCCGGGCCTCGTGGCTCTCTCGGGCCTCGGAGCAGGCACCCCACCTTGACACCACAGTGATCCTTGGGCCTGCAGCATTCACCAGCTGCTTATCCCAGCAGCTCAGGATGCAAGGGGACTATGTGCTGGGCGGGCTCTTCCCCCTGGGCGCAGCCGAGGATGCAGGTCTCGGCGACAGGACTCAACCCAGTGCCACCGTGTGCACCAGGTAGGAATGCCAGGGGTGGGGAGTGAGGGGTGACGAGGGTGGAGGTGGCTCAGGTCCAGGGTGCTCCTGAGTGGGGACGAGGTGTCGGCCACCTGCAGCCCTGTGTGGCCCCAGGTTCTCGTCCCTTGGCCTGCTCTGGGCGCTGGCCATGAAGATGGCTGTGGAGGAGATCAACAACGGGTCTGCCCTGCTGCCGGGGCTGCACCTGGACTATGACCCCTTTGGCACGTGTTCAGAGCCCGTGGTGGCCATGAAGCCCAGCCTCATGTTCATGGCCAGAGCGGGCAGCTGCGATGTTGCCGCCCACTGCAATTACACGCAGTACCAGGCCCGTGTGCTGGCTGTCACCGGACCCCACTCATCCGAGCTCGCCCTCGTCCCCGGCATGTTCTTCAGCTTCTTCCTCATGCTGCAGGTGCACCCCCCACCCACCCCCACTGGCCCTGCCTACAGGAGCCCTGCATCAGGAGCTGCCTCCCGGTCACTGCAGGTCAGCTACGGTGCCAGCATTGACCGGCTGAGCAACTAGGAGATCTTCCCGTCCTTCTTCCGCACGGTGCCCAGGGACCGCGTGCAAGCAGTGGTGACGGTGGAGCTGCTGCAGGAGCTCGGCTGGAACTGGGCGGCCGCCGTGGCAGTGATGAGTACGGCCGCAGGGCCTGAGCGTCTTCTCCAGCCTGGCCAACGCCAGGGGCATCTGCATTGCGCACGAGAGCCTGGTGCCGCTGCCGCACACGGGCAGCCTGCGGCTGGGCACCGTCCAGGACCTGCTGCACCAGGTGAACCAGAGCAGTGTGCAGGTGGTGGTGCTGTTCTCCTCTGCCCATGCCGCCCGCACCCTCTTCAGCCACAGCATCCACTGCAGGCTCTCGCCCAAGGTGTGGGTGGCCAGTGAGGCCTGGCTGACCTCGGACCTGGTCACGACACTGCCCGGCATGGCTGAGGTGGGCACCGTGCTCGGCTTCCTACAGCAGGGCGCCCCGATGCCCGAGTTCCCATCCTACGTGTGGACCTGCCTGGCCCTGGCTGCCGACCCCACCTTCTGCGCCTCCCTGGACGCTGAGCAGCCTGGAAGAGCACGTGGTGGGGCCACGCTGCCCCCAGTGTGACCACATCACGCTGGAGAACATATCTGCGGGGCTGCTGCACCCCCAGACCTTCGCTGCCTACGCGGCCGTGGACGCCGTGGCCCAGGCCCTCCACAACACGCTGCTCTGTGCAGCCCTGGCAGGTAAGGGCGGGAGCCCCCGGCACTCCCGAGAAGGAGCTTCAGCGGGGAGTGTGCGCTGGAGGCAGCTACTGGCCCAGCGCCCCCACTGGCTCCAACCCACCCACCAGCTCCTGGGGAACATGTGCACTCGCGGCCTGGAGCTGCGGTTCGATACCAGCGGGAACGTGAACATGGACTATGACCTGAAACTGGGTGTGGCAGGACCCGACGCCCAAGCTGCACACTGCAGGAGCCTTCGATGGCCGCCTGGAGCTGCCCTGGCACACGCCTGGGGACCAGGTGAGCCCCAGCTGTGCTCCCCCCCGCCACGCACAAGTTCTGGCTCTGCCGGGGCAGGGGCTGCGGGGGGGACCATCCCCAGGTCTGGGCAGTGCACCCGGCTGAGCACAACCTGAGCCCCGAGGCCCCATGCCAGGCACCCGTATCCCAGTGCTCCCAGCAGGGCTGAGTGAAGGGCTTCCACTGCTGCTGTTACGACTGCGTGGACTGCAAGGCCGGCAGCTACCAGCGCAGCCCAGGTGAGCCCCTCTCCCAGGCCTGCACAAGTTGAGGACGGGGGGGCGGGCAGGGACCCACAGGGCCTCGTGTCCCGGCTCCAAGGCCAACTCTGAGGCCAGAGCAAGTGGGGTGGGAGTGAGGCCGAGGAGCCCGTGCCCCCCCCCCCCCAGTGTCCCCTCTTTGGTCCCACACCACAGATGACCTCCTCTGCACCCAGCGTGACCAGGACCAGTGGTCCCCAGACCAGAGCACACGCTGCTTCCCCCGCAGGCCCACGATCCCGGCGTGGGGGGAGCCGGCCGTGCTGGTACTGCTTATACTGCTGGGCCTGGTGCTGGGCCTGGCGCGGGCAGCCCTGGGGCTCTTCATCTGGCACTGGGACAGCCCGCTGGTTCAGGCCTCAGGCGGGCCACGGGCCTGCTTTGGCCTGGCCTGCCTGGGCCTCATCTGCCTCAGCATCCTCCTGTTCCCCGGCCAGCCAGGCCCGGCCAGCTGCCTGTCCCAGCAGCCCCTGCTCCACCTTTCCCTCGCTGGCTGCCTGAGCACACTCTTCCTGCAGGCGGCCCAGATATTTGTGGGTTCGGAGCTGCCACCCAGCTGGGCAGAGCAGCCGCGTGGCTGCCTGCAGGGGCCCCGGGCCTGGCTGATGGTGCTCTGCTGGCGGAAGCGGCACTGTGTACCTGGTACCTGGCGGTCTTCCCGCCGCAGGTGGTGACGGACTGGTGGGTGCTGCCCACAAGGCGCTGGTGCATGCTGCGTGCGCTCCTGGATCAGCTTCGGCCTGGGGCATGCCAATGCCACGCTGGCCCTCCTCTGCTTCCTGGGCACTTTCTTGGTGCAGAGCTGGCCAGACCACTACAATGGCGCCCGCGGCCTCACTTTTGCCATGCTGGCCTACTCCGTCACCTGCATCTCCTTTGTGCCCCTCTGCCAATGTGCACGTGCAGATGGGCGCCATCCTCCTCTGCGCCCTGGGCATCCTGGCCACCTTCCACCTGCCCAAGTGCTACCTGCTGTTGCGGGGGCTGGAGCTCAACACCCCTGAGTTCTTCCTGGGAGATGATGCTAGAGGGCAGGGCAGCAGTGTACTGAGGGAAAGGAGACTCGGGGCAAAAACAAGTGACCCCTGACCCAGTGACCTCACCCAGTGAACCCAGACTTAGTTGAGATTCCCCCAAACCAAGTTCCTATGAAGCAACCCCCAGACTGTACCCCAGCTGCTGAGACCACCCCAGCTCTAGATCCTGACTGCAGGCTGACTGCTGACCTTGACACCACAGTGATCCTTGGGCTTGCAGCATTCACGAAGGGCCTCACACCCACCTGGGGCCTGAGAGCAGCTCTATATCTGTCCTAGCCAAGCCTTGGCCAGGGCCAACCCAGGTGATCCAGCCCCACTGTTCCAGAAAGAGGCCCATAAAAAGGTTCCTTGGGGCTCCTGTAGCTCATGCCGAGAGCTCAGGAAAGCCCCCAGTCCGATCACTTGAAGTCCAAGCTGGGCATTACTTGCCTGGCCAGGCCCAGCCTGGAGCCTCCAGCCAGCACCCCATCCAAGCATCACAGGGAAGGGAGGTTGGTGGGTGATGGGAGCTGTTCTGACCCCTTTGCAGGGACATGTGACTGATCGTGGGCCCCAGAGTGGGACGGGAATGATGAACAGAGCAGAGGCCTACTTGCAGGGGGGAGGGGGGGAATGGGGCGCACACCCAAGCTCCTCCTCTCTCCGTGGCCCGGCCCGAGCGGGTAAAATGGGGTCAGGTGGCCACCAGCACCGTGGACAGAGTCCTGGGGGTCAGCACCAAGGCCAGCATCCACAGCCAAGACCCCTGGAGCCAGGAGCTAGCACCACGGACAGAGGACCAGCCGCCAAGGACCCTGCCAGCAGCCAGCACGGGGACAGAGCCTGGCGCTGACCAGGGACCCAGAGGACAGCCGCACCCCAGCCTTCTAAGGTACCCAGCAAAAGAGAAGAGACACAGGCCACACATCAGTCCCATAAAATTAAATGCTTTTTAGTCTTTAAAATAGCATTTACACAGAAGCAGCTCTATTAACTATCTGGACGGACACTCCGACTTGATACAGTATCTACAGCGCAAATGTGTGCAGGCCAGAAACGCCAGGAAGGAAGCGGCGTGAGTTGGTGGGCAATCACCCGAGGACAGCAAGGAGGGGTGGGCTGGCTACCCCCTCTTCCCCACACCCTGCCCCTGCAGCAGCTGTGTGCACCCGGGCCCCTTGCCCCTTGTCACATCCCCACCACCACTAGCTGAAGCACGTCCCCTCCCATCTTCCCCTCACCAACCCTTCCCACTTTCCGACAGGACCTGTGTCCCTGCGTTAAGTCTGAGACCCGGTGGGTGGGGGGACAGCTGACCTGGCCACCACCTCCCCCAGAGCACACAAGGCCAGGCAATAAATAAATAAATTAGATCCCTACCCCAGACGTCCACAGAGGGGCCTGGGGGCTCCGATTCCCCCTTCAGGAAGGGCCAACCCAGCCCAGGCAAAAGTGGTGGGGCCTATGACTTGGGCCAACAGGGGGCCCAGGCCCAGCAGCCTCTTCTCAGCTTAGTCTGGGGCCCTGTGCACAGCTCTGTAGGCATGTGGGGGTCCCTGAGGCACACCCCAAGGGCACAGGGTCTGCACAGACACAAGCTGCTCCAGACAGGAATGAACGGACTGCCAAACTGAGACCACAGTGGCCTGGGCTGCCCTCAGCTCCTCGCCCAGCCTGCTCCCACTCTCCCTCCAGGCCTGTGCCCTGACACGACCCCTTGTGTGCAGACACGCACAGGCTTGCTTGACCCAGGACAGCCGCCAGTAAGGCAAGCCCACAGAAGCCCCAGAGGCGGTGTGCCCTCCTGCAGGAGTGGGTAGGACCACCGGCTCCCCCACTGTGGGGCCGAGCTGAAGGCACTCTCTCCTCAGTCACATGATGTCAACGAAAAACTCACAGGGGTTCCCCATAGCCTTCTGGAAGGACTGGCGGCTGCCCGTCAGCTCTGGGGGGACAGCGGCCAGCTCCCGGACGGGCGGCCCCCCCGGCGGGCCCCCCCCCACCGAGTATGCCTTTGCTAAGGGATACGATGGGGGGAGCCCCGGGGCGGCCACCGAGCCCCGGCTGAGCTGACTAGCTGGACGATCCCGACAGCCACTGCCCCCAACCCCACCCGGTGCCGTGTGGTCTGACTCGCTGCCGCTGCCCCCGCCTCCAGCCGCCCGGCGCTCCTTCTCACGGCCCAGTGCCCGCCGGCTGCTCCCGCCGGCGCTCTGGGTGGACCCACTGCTTTTGCTTCCTGGAGTCAAGGACAGGGAGAGGAATGAGATGGTCAGTGTCAGGCCACGTCACTTCCAGGACGACCAGCCGTTGCCAGGGCAACCAGGGGCAGAACCTGGTAGTCTCAAGCAGGGCGGGTGAGGGGGAGGCAGCCATGCAGACAGGAGAGCAGGGCTGGCCCCACTCCGAGAAGCGAGAACAGCTGCAGCAGGCCGGGGGGCGGGGGCGGGCAGTGGCAGGCAGGCAGGGACACTCTGGGGCCAGCTCAGTGCCCCCCATCTCACCCCAATGCCTGATCTTGCAGCTGAGAGCCTGACGCACAAGTGAGGCCCTGTGTGCCCGGTGCTCCCGTCGGCCATCCTGGGCATCCCCCCCACCCCCAAGACCCACCTTCCGTCCAGCCCCAAGGCCCTGGCCAGCTACTCAGCTCAGCCCCCGTCCTGGGCTCCCAGGAAGAGCGGGGAGCCTGAGAAGGCCAGCTGGCTGGGAACATGCCGAGAGGGACGCCGGGCAGGACCCTAGCTTACCGGCCCGGAGGGTCCACTCCGCTAGTCCTTCAGTCTAAGGCTTGCTCAGCACAAAGCAAGGGATAGCACGAGTTACACAGCAGGCCCGGCCCGGACACCCATTCCCACCTACGGCGCACGCAGCCACCAGCGGGGCCTGTCCAGGGTCCACAGGCGCCCAGCAACAGCTTCCCCTGGGGCACCGCTGCCCTCTGACCTGCTCTCCTCTCTCTCCCATCCCTGTCTGGGTTTACTGGGCTAGCTGCCTGACCTCTGCCCCCTGGCCTCAGTGACACTGACAGCCTCAGGCCACTCCTCCAAGTCCCCTCCTCAGGGACGCCCCTCGATCCTCCTGCTCAGCTCTCCACACATCCCAGGGTGGGTCCACAGTTGTCTGTGGGACTGTCCACCTCCAGCTCCCAGCCGGGCTGCAGGTGCTGGGGGCAGTGTCTGTCCTCCACCGTGGCCTGGGACCTCTCTGCCGTCCTTCCCCATGCCATCTCCTGGCCTTTTGCTTCTGCTGCGCCTGGAACACCAGCACCCCCCAACACACACACACACACACACACACACACACACCCCAAAGTCTGCAGGGCTCTCCCCATCCCCCTGAACCACTCACCCCTTCCAGAAGGAGCTCACCCAGGGCCTCGACACAGAGCAGGGAGGAGCACATGGGGCAGAGGGGGTGGGCACACAGGGCAGAGCCAGGCGGCGGGGACAGCGGGGAGCTGGGCGCCCAGCAGGCTCTCACCTTCACTCTGCTGACTCCCAGCACTGCCGCTGCCATAGCTGAAGCCAGGGTCCTGGTATGCGGGTGGGAAGCAGGGCGGGGGGCCCGGGTACTGGTAGGGGTAGCCCTGACCCAGGGGCCAGGGGGCGGCCGGATGGGGCAGTGGGGCCAGCGTGTCCTGATCCGAGGCCCCACTGGAGCCGCTGTTGAGGTTCAGGGCTGCGAGATCTGGCGGGAGGGGAGGGTGGGTGAGGGCAGTGTGGGCAGGCCCTCTGGGGATCCCCGCCCCCAGCCCCCACTCACTGCTGCACAGGTCCCCGAAGACGTAGTAGCACTGCTCCGAGAAGGTGATCTTGTTGACCGTGTGCCGCAGGAAGCCGCGCTTCAGCATGCTGCTGGCGTACTTGCGAGCCTCGCGCCTTTCCTTGAAGCCTTCCACGTGTGCGTACAGCCAGTCCACCACGTCCGCCCCTGGCCCAGAGCACGCATCAGGGCACAGAGCCCGGGGGGCGCACCCGCCCGCCCGGAGCCAGCCCGGCGGGCCCCTCACCGATGACGGCATTGGCGATGGTGATCTTGAGCCACATGCGGTCCCGGATCTCCAGGCCCGAGTCTGGCAGCTGCATGACGCGCACCACGGCGCCCATGTCGCTCTTCACCGTCAGAGGTGCCTCTTCCAGCTCTGTAAGGCACAGCACCCCCCTCAGCCCTGAGCAGCCGAGGGCAGGCGGAGGCCTTGGGATGGGCTGCAGGCCCCGCTGTGGCAGCCCATCTCAGAGCCCCGGCTCCAGGTCGGGTCTGTGGTCCTGGAGCCCAGACCGTGAGGCCGTCCGGTGACTGCAGGGTCCAATCCCACCACAGGATGGACCCTCACAGCGGCGGGGAGCAGGGGTGGGTCGGGGGGGTTGAACCTTTGTCCCCTACCCCCGCAGATGCTTCATCAGGATCTTGGGCCCAAGCCCAGGTGAGGCCAGCCCCACCCTGAGCCCCACGGGGAGAGGCCTCTTCCCCCCTCCCCGTCCGCTAGCTCAGGGCTGTTAGTCATGTTAGCCGCAGGAAAGCCGGGTGGGGGTCACCCGCGTGCACTGCCTCTCCTCCCCAGGAGAGAGGGGCCCCAGGGCTGGCCTGGCCCGTCTGGGCAACTTCCAGTCCCACCACACAGACAGCCGGCTGGGAGGAGGGTGTGCGTGAGGGCAGACACGTGTGTCGGTGCTCGGTCCGACACACGCATGTCAGCAGCGTCCATCCACGTGTGCGCCCTGGCCACATGGCAGGACGGCCCTTGAGTGTGACCGTGCGGGGCGGGCACTTCGGCCAGGCCCCTCGCCCTGGTGCCTCAGTTCCCTGCGCTCCTGAGCTGCCACTTACGTGGGGCGCCAGGCACGGAGCTGGTTAGTGAGGAGGAGCTGGTGCGCGTGATGCCGCTGGAGCAGGGACTCGTACCGTAGTGGGGCAGGGCTCCAGCCAGCGCCGCCGTGTGGGACAGCCAGGCGGCAGGGTCAATGGGCCGCACCGGGTCAGCTGGTGGCCGCCGGGTGGTGGTGGATGGACGGACAAACAGACGGAGGGATGGTAGCGCACGACGGAGCACGGGGCACAGAGGAAAGGACCTTCAGGCGGGGCGAGCGCCCTCACCCCCCCGCCCAGGAGCCCTGCAGGGTCACTCACCCCTCGGGACGGTGAAGTAGCTCCGGGGGGTCGGGTCCCAGCATTTGGCTACCGTGAGGCTGATGGGCCTGTGGGGTGCAGCAGGTCACACGGGCGAGGCCCCACGGGGCCCCGCCCCATGCCGCCCACCCGCCACGCCTCACCCCGTCTGGGACACGATCTCCCGCAGCACCCGCACTGCGTCGTCGTTGCTCATGTTCTCGAAGTTGACGTCATTCACCTGGGGGGCGAGGGGTTCAGCGTGGCGGGGCAGGCCGGCCGGCCCCTCGGCCCCCCAGTCCCTCCCCACAGCCCCGCACCTGCAGCAGCATGTCGCCCGGCTCGATGCGCCCGTCAGCCGCCACGGCCCCGCCCTTCATGATGGAGCCGATGTAGATGCCACCGTCCCCCCGCTCGTTGCTCTGGCCCACGATGCTGATGCCCAGGAAGTGGTGCCTCTCTGCAGGGGCGAGGGGTGAGCAGGTGCCTGCTGTGGGGGTGCACCCCACCCAGGAGCCCTGCACCCCCCGGGGGACCCCAGTGAGGCCTCACCCATGTTGAGAGTGACGGTGATGATGTTCAGGGACATGGTGGAGTCCGTGATGCTGCTGAAGGAAGAAGCCTGCGGAGGGACGCGAGTGAGGGGACGGAGGCAGGGGCTTCACCGGGGCGGACCCCGCCCCACGCCTGGCTGCCCCCTACACCACCTACACGGTCCGCCTGCCGCATGCGCTGCTTCCGCCGCCGGCGCTTGTGTTTTCGGATGAGCCGGGAGGACGTGCTCTGCTCCGTGGAGCTGCTCAGTCTGGGGGCATGAAGGTCAGGGGCCAGGCCAGAGGCTGCAGGGCTGCGGCAGGGTGGAGAGCAGGGCACCCCACCCCGCCCCACACACAAGACAGGGAGCGCACAGGATGGGCGTCGGGTCCCGCGCCACCCTAGCCGGGCCAGCTGTGGGACACAGAGCTGGGGTAGAGCTGGCTCAGGAGAAGGCTCAGCTCCGTGCTGAACACGCCCTACACACACGACACGTGCGAACCCCACTGCTACGTGCAGCCCTGCTCGGCCAAAACGGAGACACAAACACCGAGGAAGCCAGCATGTGCATGCACACACGCCTGTTCCACACCACGCGTGCACACGCCCATCCACGTATACACGCCCGTGGACTCACACCCCGTACACACCTGCACACCCGTACGTGACGTGACGGCGTGCACGTCTGTTCCTACGTACGCCCACGCACACGTGCGTGCACACCTGTTACACACTCGCACACACATCTGGATGTGAGTCCACGCACACCTGTAACATACCTGCGCACACGCATCTGCACGCACACACACCCACGCACCGGCTCGTGTTGTCATCCTCGTCCGAGTCAATGAAGCTACTGGACTCAAGTTCGCTGCTCAGCACGGTGGACGCACTGTCGGGGGGCAGCCCCAGGTCTCGCCGCCGGTCCCCCCTTGGGTGCCCATTGGTCCGGGCAGCTGTGGGGACAGCAAGAGGGGAGCTGGCTGTGGGGTCCCCTGTGTGGCCTCATGCACCAACTGACCTGGGAGCCAGCCAGGTGACTGTGGGGCTGCTGGGGGGGTCCCTGGGGTCCTGGGCAGACAGGCCTAGGACCTCTACTCTGTAACTGGGAGTAGGCAGGGCCATAGGGTGCACCATGGGGGCCCGGGCAAGTCTAGGGTGCGGCCTCATTACCCTCTTCGCGGTTCCGGCGTCGGGCTCGCTCCCGCCGGTGGCTGACCAAAGACTCCGTGCCGGTCTCATTGTCCATTCCGTCGCGGCTGCTGGCTACATTAGGGCTGTGCCCACAAGATGGGGTGGGCTGGGGCAGGCTGGGCCACCCACACTGCGTGCGACACCCTCCCAGCTCCTTGCCTCCTCTCCCACCCACTCACCTGCCCAGACTGGGCCTCTCTGCCCGCCCCTCCTCCACTGACCAGTTTCTACTGACCACGGGTCCCTGGTTAGTCGCCCCTTCCCCCGACAGGCCTGGTAGGCAGCAGGCCCCTCAGGACCACCAGGCTCAGCCCCCCACACACAGTCCTTACTGGAAGGAGGGGGGCCGGGAGTCCCCGATGCCGCCCGTTCTTTCAAGAGGTGGGGGCAGGTCTGTGTGGCCATCAGTGCTCTGAGAGCCTGCATCTGAGTGTGCGCCCTCGGCCAGGACCAGCTGCAGAGGACAGGAATGGCTCAGGGACACCGCCAGCCTGCAGGCCCAGCCCCCACCCACCCAGCCCAGCCCAGCCCCCACCCTAGCCAAGCATCCTCTGCCAACACCCCATGGACTCACCCAGGAGACCACACGACCATTGAAGCAGGGCAGCTTGGCATTATCGTCGGAGATCTCCTCCTTCACCACCCTGTGGGCAGACAGTGCCGTGAGACCACCTGCACGAGAGATGGCTCCCACCGGTGGGCCCTGGAGGGAAGAGCTCCCCATATTCTTGTCCAGGGTGCATGCCAGCCAAGGCCATCCAACCACATGCCCAGATATCAGTCTGTGTGAATGCCCCTGCCTGGTGCAATCCCTTCCTGGGGACCCTTGTCATCCTCCTGCAGACCACTTCCAGGGCCCAGGTCAGAGGGAGGTCCAAACTCCAGACCCTCGAGTAGCAGAGGGTCACCTCCTATAACACTCTATAATGCAAGTATCTGCCTTGCTGTGTGTCTACGTGCCCCACGGAGTGTGGATCCATGACAGCAGGGCTCTGCCTGGCTTCTTCCCTCCACCTCCCCACCCCCCAAACCTGGCCCCAACCCAGAACAGGGCCCAGTTCACAGCAGACCTCGATACAGACGTGAGGACAATCAGACCACGTGAACACAGGCAGATTAAGATGGGACTGCATGCAGACCCGTACGTGCACACTGAGGGCAGGCCACTGCCCTCCTGCCCCGTCCACCTGGCCGAGGAGACAGAAGCAGACCCCACTCTCTACAACAGCCCAACTCAAGGCCTGAAAGGACAGCCAGGCACAGGGCTGCTGGGCCCACTGAGAAGCCCCAGCCCCGGAGGCCAGCAAACCCCAGCAGCCACACGCCCAGCATCCAGCCCCTGGCTGGTGTCTTGATGTCGCCCCCAGTTAGGTCGGTTGGGGGTGGGGAAGGTACCCAGGCAGGACACAGCCAAAGCAACGCAAACTGGGAGGGAAGCCGACGATGCCGTGGTCAGACACAGGTGGGGGATGGGTCAGCTGTCCGATTCAAAGGCCTGAGGAGGACAGCCGCCAGCATGGTTCGCAGGGGCAGCCAGGGAGGGGCCGTGGGGCAGGGCGGGCAATGGTTATGGCCCAGACGCACCCCACACTGTGGCCCCCTTGAGGCCCAGGGATCAGGGCAGGCAGGGCCAGGCCTGCAGCAGGAGGCACCCCGATGCCCTACCCCGCTGGAGCCCAGCTCTGCCCAACACAGCGGGATTTCCACACCCGGGACTTGGGCCCAGGAGAAAAACAGGAGCCAGGAGAACCGGCAGGAAGCAGCCTTGTGACCTGTTGAGCCTGGACGCCTGGACTCTGCCAGTCCTGGGCAGCAACAGGAGGCCTCCACAGAGTGGGCATCCCATACTCCCCCAGGGTAGCAAGGCCCAGGTCCACCACCCACCACCCAGACCTCAGAGGACAGAAAAGACAGGGCCAGCCAGGGCAGGAGGGGGCATGCCGCCAGCACCCTGCAGCAGCCCCTCAGACACACCCCAGCATGCCAGCCACATAGGGGCAACGAGGTGGACACCCAACAGGAAGAGAAGCCCCCGTGTCTGCTGCCCCAACTTACGCAGGCACCACAGCCCCACAGAACTGAACTCCCCAGGGAGGCCGGGACCCAGCCCAGCACTCAGCTGAAGTCCCCACAAGAGGGGGCCACCACAGGAAGACCTGAGGGGGCCCAGGACCACCTGGGGCTCTGCCAGCCGCAGCCGACAGCCAGCCATGCAGCAAGCCCTCCTGGGGGCCCGGCAGGCGAGAGCACGTCTCTGAGTGAAAGCAGCAACCGAGACTCGGGAGGGACCCGATTCCTGTTTCTCAGCCCGGGTGGCCCAGCCTCCTCTGCCATTCCCAAGCCCCCGCCCTTTCTGACTCACCCCCAGGCAGGCAGAGGAGCTCCCCAGCGCTCACACCACAGGGCCCACCTGGCCCCCCCAGGGGTGGACTGCCCACCTGGCCAGCGCCTCCAGATGACCAATCACCCAATCACAGGGCTGCCCGAGCCTCTGTGCCCCCTACCCCTGCATAAATGAGCCCCCAGGGCCCAGAGCCCCGCCCCCAGCCTGAGGAACCCAAGTCCCCCAACCCAGCACGACAGGACATCCTCCCCTCCATCTGAAGCCTGGACACCAAGACCCCCACCCAGCTAGGCCAAGACAGCCAGGAGGTGAGGGTGGGGGGCGCCAGAGCCTCCAGGACAAGGGCGCAGGTGCTTTCCTCAGGAAAGCCCATCGCTGGCCAGCATAATCTCCGGCAGCTACAGGCAGAGACAAGGGCAGGGGAGGCCTCAGTGGAGCCTGGGGGAAATGCCTCCAAACCGTTCTGGGGTTCCCTCCTGGGCCAGGCCTCACCAGGTGGAAGAGCAGACCTCGGAAGCAGTCTCCACCGACCCTTAGGGGTGGCCACCCAGGGGCACCCCCACTGGCATCATGCTCCCAACCTCAGAATTCCTGGCGAGATCCCGGTTAACCTCAAACTTGTGGCTGTCCGGCCCCGCCCGCCTGCCGCCCCCGCAGACTCGCCCTGGCAAGGAATCTGCTCAGAACAGGGCCCTTAGAGCCAAGCACAGCCACAGGGGGACCCCCAGGACTCCCAGAGGCCAGAGCATGCCACAGGGCAACCCTTGCCAGTGGGTCCCCAGAGGCACAGGGTTCCCCCACTAGACCTCCCCTCCACGAAGCAGGACGATGGCAGAGCAAGCTCATACATGACAGGGGAGATCTCTAAGAGACCCCTCCCTTGTGCCCCCACAAGTCAGGGATCCTCAGCTCCCACCATGCCTTTGGCTGCCCCTTCCCCCCTGCCTCCTGACCCTAGAGCTCCCCCAGGCTGAAGCTCTGCAGGCTCCAGGGCAAGCGGGTCCCAGCCATCTACACCCCGCCATGAGCTCCAAAGGTACCTGTCTGGACTCTCCCAACACCGCTGGGGGCACTGACCCCAGACGGACCGGCTGCAAAGGGCAGAGTGGGCACTCACCCAGGCAGGCTGGGTCAGGCCCAGCCCCCACCCCCTGCCCTGCAGCCCTCACGTGGCCCACAGGCAGGCGGCTTCAGAGACCGGAACTCCTGGCCCAGAGATGGAGGGACCAGGGCCATTGCCAGGCAGATGAGCTAAGTGCCAAGTCTAGCCAGGCCTGGAATCAGCAAGGCAGCCCTGATATCAAGGGACTCCGACCTCTGCCTCACAGTCTAAAAGCTGGGCCCAGACTCCTCCCTGCACCACCGCTCACCAAAGCCAAAGCTTGGCACCCCTGTGCCAACCCGCCATAGGCCCAGGGACCTGCCCCAGCTTTGCCGTGACCCGCATGGGAAAAGTGGGAGGTAGGTACGGGACCCCCCCACACCCACTTGGCCAAAGATGGGAGTGGGACCCGGCCCAGAGCAGGTGGCCACACCTCAGACTCCCCTTTCCCTTACTAGGTGGCCAACTATGGCCAGGAACGGAGGCTCGGGGTACTCAAGGCCTGGCCCACAGTGGGATGGTAGGTTGGGGCAGCAGGCCCAGGCTCACCAGGGTGGTCCTCACAGCCCCTGATCTGAGGGTACCCCTCTCATGGTGGGGCTGGGCCGCTCCCCAGCCTACCCAGGGTTGCGGAGAACACAAGCTCCCTCTCTGCCTCTCCCTAGTGGTGGTGGAGAACAAGAAAGTCTAATTGTCCAAACTTCCCTCAGGCCCCCCAGAGAACTGCTGAATGGCCCCAGCTTGACCTGACCTGGGGCTGCCCAGGGTCCATGCAAATCAGAGGATCCAGGAAATGGCCTCAATGTCAAAGTCCCAAGACACAGTCACACACAAGGACACAGACTCCCTGAGGGCGGCCAGGCACACCTGCTCAGCCCATGAGGCCTCTGAGTAACCACCCCCCACAGCATTGCTGAGCTGGGGACTCAAGTTACCCATGGCTGTGCTGGGTCAGGCCTCGGACAGAGCTTCAAGCGGACAGCCAGCCTCCAGCTCACTGTCCCAGAGGCCCTGCCCAGTGCAGGCGGGAAGTCCCCTCAGCCAAGACAGCCACCACTAAGGCTGGACATGGGGACACTGACCCAGAGGCTGCTGGAGTCAGCAGATGGCCCAGGCTGCTCCCAGGAACCCAAGTACTATGTGGCTCAACAAGAATAGGGACCCAACAGACAGCAACCCTCAGGCAGGGGCAGGTGGAGTGACAACCCATAGTCCCCAGTCCCCAGAGATCCTTGATCTCTGCCCTATCCTCAGGACCCTGGAGGAGGGATCCAGAGAGAGGCTGTCTTGAGCCTCTGGAAACTTCTGCAGACTCCAGTAGACAAATCTGTGCCCGTTGAGATCACCTCATTTCCCCCATACTAACTACAGTGAACCCACTAGGCAGCTACGACCCTGCCCCCATCCCTTACCTTCCCCCCTGACACTCCTCTGACTCCAGGCCCCATGAATCACAAGCCCTCCAGGTAAGCCCTATAAGCACCTGCCCTCCACAGAAGGGAGGCAGTGGGACCCTGAGTCTGACAAGCACCAAGGTGGGACTTCAGTTCACCCTTGGCCACGGACCTTGACCACCCGCAAGTCAAACACACTCGGCCACACAGGCCCAGGCCCAGAGTGGGTGGAGAAACCAGGACCCTCGCCTCCCCACCGTCCAGCGCTCTCAGGCTCCTGGACAGGCAGCCAGGGCCCCATGCGTCCCCAGCTCAGGGCACAGCCAGGTTGGACGCACAGCACCCCCAGGGAGCGGAGGCACTGCCCCGGTCACAGTCCCAAGATTCCCCAAGACCCTGCCCGGGCGCGGACAGGTGCGGACACCCGTCCTCGCGCACAGGCCCCCACGGCCCACTGACCCGAAGTCCTGGTCCATGGACTTGAAGAAGAATTTGTAAGCGTGCACGGGCCGGTTGCTGAGCACATTCTTGAAGTCGGCCAGCGTGACGCGCTCGGGCGCCACGGGCAGCTTGACCAGGTACGGCGTCTCCTCTTCATCCATGTGATAGATGATCTTGGTCTCCGCCATGGCGCGGCGGCGGCGCGGGGCCTGCGCGGCGCTCCCGGCCCGGCCCGGGTCTCGGACGCCGGCGCCTCCCCGCTGCCGGCCTGCGCCCCGCCCGCCCGCCCGCCGCTCCCCGCCCGGCTGCTACCAGGCCCCCGGCGCCCCGCCCGGCCGCCCCGGCCCCACCCGCCCCGCCGACCCCGGCTCCGCTCGCGCCCGCGCTGCTGCCCCGCGGCCCGCGGCCGCCCATCCGCCCCGGCCCGGGGACGCAGGCAGGGAGGGCGTGCGAGGCCCGGCCGCGTCCGTGCGCCCCGCCGCCGCCGCCGCCCCCTCGGGCCGCGCAGTTAAAGGGACCGCCGGCCCCGGGTTGAGCGCGCCCGCCGGGGGGCGCCCGAGGGCGGGCGGGGCCTGACGTCATCGGGCCGCTCGCGGCGCAGCGCGAGGCGGGGTTGCGCACGCGCGGAAGGGCTGGAGGGCGGGGCGTGCGCGTGGGTGGCGGGGCCGCGGTGTCGGCGCCCGCGCAGAACTCCCTCCGCTCTCCGGGGCCCCGCCCCTGACCCCTGCCTCGGGCCCCGGGTGCCCGACCCCGCGCGCGGGCACGCCCACAATGTGCTCGGGCCGTAGCCCCTGCTGGGCCTAGGGTCTCGGCCCGTGCGCGGACAGGGGCGCGTCCCCCGGAGGGAGGCGGCTGAGGACCCTCCGGAAGCAGCCCTGCTGTCAGAAGGGAGACCCCGCCCCCGGCAACGCCGAGGCCCCCAGGGGTCGACTACAGAACCCAGAAGGTTCCGGAGAACCGGAGGGCTCCGGGGTCCGTGGTGCTCAAAGTCGGGGGCGCCCTGGTCACATCCGCGGGCAGCAGGGGGGCAGCACGGGAAGCTGAGGATACTTCGGTCCGGGCCGGGAGCCAAAGACAACTCGGTCTCTGCGCCCCGGCGCCCACTGCGTGCTCGCGCGCCCTCTACCAGGCCCCACGGAGGCTCCGCGAAACACGGGCCAAGTGCCTGCGGGTGCTCGCGTGGAGGCGGGGTGCGAGTGTGAACATGTGTATGTGCGGCTGAAGGTAACAGCGGAGGTCACCGGCAACGGCGCGCACGCACGATGCACAGAGGTGCCCGGGGAAGGTGGTGCTGGCAGCAGGTGAAGATGACCCCCACCCCCACCACCGCCTCTGTCGATCCACCAGCCTGGGGTCCTGTGTGGACCAGGGGAGACCCACAGCAGCGCCCCTCGGGCTGTGGAGGCTCCAACCACACGCTGACCCCACTGGAGGTGGAGGGTCTCCCCCATCCCAGGAGGAAGACTTGAGGCCAGTAGAGAGAATCCCACATTGGTGAGAGTGAAGAACAGGAGAGTCTCTAGGATAGGACCCAAGAATGATGAAGGTGGAGGATGCATGATGCCCCTTGCGACCTGTCCCCAGCACTCCCCCTGAAGCTGGTTGGAGCCTGGAGCTGTCCTAGCTGCCTAGTCATGACCATCCTTGGGCAGTGGATCAGCACAGGAAAAAGCCCATCAGTCCACCACTGACTGGAAGAGCCAGACTTTGAAGGAAAGCCCCTGAGCCCAGGCTAGGGACCATCCCCAGGTCAGCCTAGGCCAAGGGCACTGACCTCCATTCCCCTAGGCTCTGGTGGGGAGAGTGGACAGGGCTCTGTGAGGCGGGCACCCGCTCAGCAAAGCCTGCACCGTCTCCCCTTGGGTCTCGGTTTCCCCAGAGGTAATCTGAGGAAGCCAGGTAGTGGCTGGCTCTCTGCTGGGCATCTAGGGGAGGGAGATAGGCCCCACCCTGAGAGCTCCCAGGGGACCAGCATCCCCCAGGCCAGACATGAATGACTGCTGGTCTCACAGATGTAGGGTCTGATGCCCCATCTGTGCTCTGCCCCCCCCCCCAAGCCTCTCTTTCTCACCTGGCTGCCCTAGTCCTATGAGAGAGGCTGGTAGCCAGAGGCCAGAGCTGACTCTGTGGTCAGGCAGGCACACTGCAACGGGGAGTGAGTTTGTGGTCCGAGCAGTGCAGCTACTGTGGGGCCAGGGGTCACAGGCTGGGAGGGAGGCACATTTTCAAGCAAGCCACAGCTCCCTGGCCCAGCCTCCCTCCCTGCCTTTGCCACTGTGGGACCCTTGCAGGTGTGTAGTGAGGAGACAGCCACACTGAGGTGCTGTCTGAGCATCTCACATCCAGAGTCTGGACATTCAGATAAAAGCCTGAACCTAGGATGCCCACCACAAACTCCTGCCTTGTGTCTCCTGCGGTATCTTTTAAAATGACCACTCAGAATTGAGCCTACAAAAAATTAGTGACCACCATCCCAACCACCTTATAAGTAATAGGAGTATGCTACCCTGCTGTCTCTCTCCTGATCTGGAATGGAGAACTGCCCTTCTGAAGCCTTGCTCACCGCACCCCTGTCCTGGGATCTGTAAGTAACACATCCTTTGACTTTACTCCCTTCACGTGAGTGTCCTGGGCCTTCCTCACAGCCGCCCCGGGGTTTTCACTTCCCCAGAGTGGGAGCTCCGATGCCAGGTCACCTGCTGGCCCTGTGTGGCTGGCTTGTGCCCCTAATTCAGCCAGACATAATCTGCATGTTCTCCACACACCACCCCAGGGTTTCCAGCACAGGGTGACAGACATCCTTTCCCGCTTCCTGCTGCCCTGGAAGAGTTTTGGGGGATGGGGTCAGGGCTGGAGAAACACAAGGGCTTCTTCCTCCTGCAGCCCCCTCCCATCCCCCTCACAAGCCTTTGGTGCCTACTCCTGCTTCCCCCGCTTTATCCTCACACATCTAATCCCATTTTGGCATCTGCTTCTCAGAGGGCTGTCCTCTGAGCATGTCCAGGCTCCTCCCCTCCACGTCCAAATAAGCCCTCAGAAGAGAATCTAGAACTCCTTTACAACCAGGAATAGTGCCATAGGATTGGACCGGATGTTGCTCTTCCCAGGATACCTGGACTCAGACTTTCCACTCAAAGAAGTGGGTGGTGACAGCAGGGCTTCAGATGAAGGAAAGCATTTCGAGGTTCCCAAGGCCCAGACTCTGCCCCCCAGGATATGAAGTAGGAGCCACAGAGGCATACCCGGGGCCAAGTCTAAAAATCATGGAGTCTTTATTGTGATGGTGGCAGTTTCCCAGGAGCAAATGTGGGGTGTTGGGGGTGGCAGCACAAGCCACTCTAGAACCATCTTTACCCCTCCCCTGTCCTCAGGCAAAACAGAAGCCAAATGAGGTCCCAGCCCCAGACTCCAGCCCAAGGAGGGGCTGCGGGAGGGGGGTCAGAGTCAAAAGTCACATGGAGCCCAGTGACTGTCAAGGCACTTGCTGGAAACAAAGCTGGAATAGGGTGGAAAGCAGAGAAGAAGCCCCAGGTAGCCCAACACAGAGCAGAGGGGAATTAGTCTGGGGCCTGGAGTGTGCAATCCTCAGATCCCAGCCGTAGGTTCCCCCTAGAAAGGGGTGAAGAAGGGGCCAGGGTGCTAGCCCTGAGGCTGACCTGAGCTCCAAGAGCCCCACTGAGCCCCAGCCCATAGTGGCAGGGGCCAGGAGAGCCTGAAGGACTGGTGAAGATCAGCAGGGCTGTGCCTGGGTTGGGGGAGGGGCAGGACCACCAGTGAGTGTGGAAGCCAGCAGGCACCTGCTGAGGGCTGGTGAAGGGGCAGCTGCAGCTCCAGCAGAATCCCAGAGCCCGCTGCTGCTTGTGAGGATTGGGATGGCTCCCGGGAGAGGGGTCTGGAGACAGCCTTGCTCTGTGCCAGTCCAGGCCAAGTTCCAGGACAGCGGGACCAGCCGCTGGAAGGGGGTCGGGTGAGCCACATGAGGGTCAGGAGGTCATCCTCCAAGATGGACAGATAGGAGTTGGCAGGGCTGCTGGCCCAGCCAGGAGCCCAGGATCACCTTATTTGCAGTACTCCTTTTGGAACTCTGGAAGCCAAGGGAACAGGCGGGTGTCTGCCCTCTATCCCTCTGTCACAGGGGTAAACACAAGGCAGACATCTAGCAGGACTGCCCAGGGACTCCTGCCCCTGGGGCTGGCTAGTGAGTGTGGGTGGGTGAGGTATGGGCCCAGCCCTCCTAGTCACTCACCTCTGTCCAAGTCAATGTTCTTGATGGGCAGTGGGCTGTGGCCCAGCTCAGCCCTCTCCTTCAGGATGTTGTTTTTGTAATCTGGTGCAGGGAAAGAGCAGGGTGAGGCCCCCCCACCCCAGAGATGTGCCTCCCCTAGCTCAGGCCTGGGAGCCACAGCCTTCCCCCACCTTGGTTCTGGGACCATCCCTCACCTAATTGGATGTCCTCACTCCTGTAAAGAGCCTGGTCTCCTGTGGCCACAGCAAACTCTGCCATGTTCACATCCTTCCTGGAGGTGGGAGGGTGGTGGGCAGTTAGAGCAGAGCGGGGTGGGGGTGGGGGTCTGGTCCCCAGGAGAGCCTGGAGGGGGCACTCACCCCTTCGACTTCCCCGACTTCTTGTTGGAGTATTCGTAGCCTGGGGAGGAAGACTCATGTTGGGCCCAGCCTCACCCCCTCCCCAGCTCCCTCAGCCCTGAGGAAGCCTCCCATCCCTGCTTACTCTCTGCTCAAGCCACCGCACCCCACACCCCGCCTCTGGTCAGGGAAGGCTTCCTAGCTCTGGCCTCCACCGTGCGGGATGGAGCCCCAGCTCACCTCCGCGGCGACGCTGCCGGGTGGCCAGGATGACGGTGATGAGCAGCAGGATGAAGAGGAGCAGGGTGGCCAGCACGTAGCCCAGCTGCTGGAAGAAGTGGGCGCGGCCCTCGGGCACTATGACGTTGATGACGCTGCGGCCGCGCGCCAGGGTGGGATCTGCACGGGCCGTGCGGGGGCGGTGTCAGGGAGCGCGCCCGGGACCCCCAAGGCGTGCGCCCGATCCAGGCCGCCCCTGCGGCGCGGGGCCCAGGAGGGCATGGACGGGAGGGGCCTCCCCTCGGCTAACACCCAGGCCCGGGAGGGGGACAGGGAGGGGCCCCGCGGCACCTGGGCCAGGGGCGTCGCTGTGGCTGGAACCGTTGCCCGGCGAGTCCCGCGGGGGCGGCTCAGCGACGGGCTCGGTGACTCTCAGGTGGAAGATGCGGCGCTCGTGCAGGCCGCAGTAGTGATGGTGCAAGTGGCAGGAGTATGTGCCCTCGTCAGCTGGCTCCAGCGGGTCGATGCGCAGGGAGAAGTCGCCGCGCGCAAAGGCGTCCGCCCCCACCGCCACGCGGTCGCGCAGGAAGGGCGGCCCGTAGGCTCGGCGCTCGCCCGACGCGTACAGGTCCAGCAGGCGGTCAGCGCGGTCGTGCGGCACCCCGGGCGGCTGTCGGTCCCAGTGCACAACTTGCTGCGCCTCCTCCAGGTGCCGGTCGGTCCACACGTGCGCCCGGTTCACGCAGGTGAGCAGCGCGGGCGAGCCGCGCTCCACCACCAGCACCTCCTTCTCGCCGTCCCAGTGCGCGCCGGCCTCCCGGGCTGGGGGTGCAGGTGGGTCAGCGCCGGCGGGCGGGGAGGGAGCCCGCAGGGGCGCGTCCCGGGGCGGGCGGGGTGGGGGGCACACTCACGGTTGTCCGTGACCTCCAGGCGGACGGCCAGGGTCTCGAACAGGTGGCAGTAATGGTGGTGCAGGTTACAGGTGTACAGGCCTGCGTCGGCCTCCTCCACCGCTGCGAGCCGGCGGAAAGCCCGGCGGTGAGGTGTGCAGCCGGCCCGCGCCACCCCGCCCCTGCACCGCCCGCCGCGGTGCCCAGGCCCCTTACCGCGGATGAGCAGCGAGAAGTTGCCGTCGCGGAAGGCGGAGAGCGGCAGCTGGAGGCGGCCGCCGTCGCGGGGCTCGTACACGCGTTGCTCGCCCGCGGAGTACATGTCTACGAGTCTGCGGGCCGGTCCTCCGGCCGGGCTGCCGCTGAGGTCCCAGTGGACCACGCGCTGGCGGTCGTGCAGCCGGTCCTGGGTCCACACCATTCTCGGGCTCTGGCAGCGCAGGACGGCCAGGGCGCCCGCCGCCCAGCTCACGGTGGACTCGGATACCACGGAGCTGGCGGCTGGCACGGGCCCTGAGGGCACTGGGGGGGGGGGAGGTGTCACTGGGGGAGGGATAGGACCCAAGGAGAAGGTGTAGGGTGGGCCTGGCAACACAGGAGGGGAACTGTTGTGGTTTCCAGGGGAGGGTGGTCACTAACCTGAGGACAGAAGGACAGCAGAACCTAGAAGAAGAAGAAGAGAGTCGCACTGGGGAGGGGATGACCTGAGCCTTTGCATCCAGGTCACCCACCCAGCCCCGGGCCCCCCACTTGGCTGCCTGGGTCCATTATAGTCCTTGCTGAGGTGGGTGTTAATGACACCCTCTTTATATACATATATAGGTTTTATTTATTTGAGAGAGAGAGAGCACGCATGCGAGGGCAAAGGTGGGGAGGAGCAGAGGGAGAAGCAGGCTCCCCCCTGAGCAGAGAGCCCAAGGCAGGGCTGGATCCCAGGACCCTGAGATCGTGACCTGAGCCGAAGGCAGACGCTTAACCAGCTGAGCCACCCAGGTGCCCCGTTAATGACACCTCTTTTTTTTTTTTTTTTTTTTTGCATTTACAAGTTTATTACAAAGCATACAACTCAGGAATAGCCAGATGGAGGAGATACATAGGGCAAGGCATAGGTTGAGGGCCGGGGGGCGGGGGGGACAGGCAGGCGCTGTGTGTGCAGCAATGACCTTCTTAATAGGTGGGGATAAAGTCAGAGAAGCCAAGCAGACAGGATGGGGGAGGGGGCTCCTTTAGCCCCACATGGTGCAGGCACGCCTCCCATGGTCCCCACCTAATCCTCAGTGTCACCTGCCTAGACCGTGGGACGGCTCTTCCCCTTTAGGGGGTGAATGGTGGAACCAGCTGTGGAGTGTGTGCTTGTTACCAAGGGCCACCCTCGGGAATGGTGGCCCTTGTCACCATCCTGCAGCAAGGCTACGAGCATGCCAAAGCGTGAAGCTCAAGGCTGGTTTCGGGGGCTCCCGCACATTCGCATCCAATAAGGTACGTGCACCTGCCAAGAGCCATGCCACACACGCCCTCAAGAGTCCTCAGACATCTGGGCACCCTGCCCCACACCCAGGTCTCAGGGCTGGAGCCCCCTCAGCCGTCCTGAAGAGCAGAGGTCTGAAGCACGAGCAGGCTGGACTGTCCGCACCCCACAGGCAAGTTCCTGCTGCAGAGATGGGCTGAGTGCCCGGGACCAGGAGGAATGTGCTGGGTCAGCAGGCCAGCCCAGGAGGCGGGCTCAGGGGGCCTGGGAGCCAAGGGGGGACTTGAGCAGACCCTGTGAGCCCCACCATTCCCAGGCCCCCTAGAGTCCCCAACCTACCCCTCGCCACCTGAGGGGCTTCCTGGAAGAGTGGGGTGGGGGAGAGACCCCAGGGAGAAGCACCCGCCACCTCAGCCTCCCTGCCCTTCTTGGCCCTCTGGCTCCCGAATCCGTGTGGTGGAGATCTAACATAAAACCTCACACCCTCCTGCGTCCTGGGGGCCCCTTATTCCTGGTGAGCGGCCACCTTGAGCCCCCCCACCCTGATCCAGCCCCTTCCCGGCAGGGGGAGCGTCACACTCCTCCCAACTCGAGCTCAGACAGGCAGTTCTGACCAGAACACAAACTCCGAAGATGCTCGGGCTTCCAGTGCAGACCCCCACCCACCCCGCACTCACTCTGCAGAAGTACAAGTTCCCAGACCGTAACTTGGGACCGCAGCTCCATGGCGCCCGCCTGGCCCGCCTGCCTCGCTTTGTCTCACTTCTGCTCCAACTCTCCAGAAAAACAGCCCGGCCCCCTCCCCCTCCTTAGCACCCACCATGACATCACGGAGCCCTGGGCGGGATCGACAGTCTGCAGACCGCCCCCTCTGGCTCCTGCTGGCCCCTAGTCCTCCCCAGATCCTTGGCTGGCCCAGTGGGGAGGGGTAGGAACACGGCCCCGTGTCTGACAAAGTGAGGGGAAATCAGAGCAGAGACCCTGCCCCTCCTCTGGCCCAGGTCCTCGAGAGGGGCCAGGAGCCCAGCCCTTGGAGGGGCAGGAGGGCTGAGGGCATGGTTCCAGACGCCGGATGCCGTGGGGGTGGCTGTGACATATGAGGCCCTTTGGGGCTGCTACAGGGCTGGGGCTCTGGGGTGGACATTACCTCATGTCCACCTCTGTCGGGGAACCCTGGCCCAGGGTGCTCCCCCGTGTGGACAGTGTGGGCAGGACCCCGCTTTGTGCTTGCTGTGGAGCTTGAGGCATCCCTCCTAGCAGAAAGGCATCCGGGGGCTGGGACCCCCAAGAAGCCCAGGGTTCCACACCTACAGCTCTTCCCCTCTTCCTCTCAGCCTCCTCTGGGGGCTGCATTTCTTCATTTGTGAAAGGAAAAGAACAGTCACACCAGCCCTGGGGGGGGGCGGGGGCGGTGGTAAACCGGGCAGGGGGCTCCCTTAGGACAGCATGTTGGACCCTGCTGTCCATCAGGCTTTTTTACCACCCAAAGGGACCTGCCAGGGCATGAGGGTGGGGACCCTGAGCACTGAGGGGCAGCGTTTGACCAGCCCCTCCCCTCTGGCCTGGACCCCCATCTGCCCACCATCAAGGGCAGAGCTTGGTGTCCCTGAAACCAAACCCTGGCTAAGATGCTCCCCGCCCAGAGTGGAGGAGGGAAGGCGGGTATGGGAGCCTCCCCCATGGAAGGCACAAATTTGAAGCTCTGGGAAAACTTACAAAGTCACATAAACAAATCCAAAATAACAGATCACACACTGTGTACCAAACCCACTCTTTCTAGTTAAGCAAACCTCAAAAAGAAAAAAAGGAAAAAAAAAAAGTAAACAACCACCAAAACCCACAGTGCATGTTTTAGACTATTCATTTGAATAGAATTATGGTCACAGGCCTCGCCCTTGAACCCTGTCCTGGTCCCCAATTCCTCAGACAAGCAAGGACCCCAGTCTGGCTGGATTCTCCAGCTTCAGGCAAGGTGGGGAGACTGTCAGGGCTGCAGCAGAGGGAATGAGGACCAGCCATGAGGATGTGAGGAGCACCCCCTAATGGACCCATTTCCTCAGCACGACTCAGGCCCCTGGGGTTGGGGCGCCGTTTCCAAACTGGAATCAGAGCCCATCCTGGTCTCAGCCCCTCCCTGGGCCTTTCATTCTGGAAAAACAAGCCCCGCCTGGCTGGCCTTGAGGCCTGGGCTCTCCTCCTGTTTTTTTAACTGGTTTATATTAGCTGGTGACCTCCCTTCTCTGTGCCTTGCCCATGTCTCTCCGTCTCTGTCCTCTGTTCCCTCCTCTGTCGGCTGGGCTGTCTCTCTCCCATGGATGGAAGATGTCCAGGCAGTGCTGGAGGGAGGCAGAAATGGCCCAGCGCCTGCCCCTCTGTCTGGAAGGGGACGGGGTCAGCTCGCAGCCCTGAGCCAGGAGCCTATGGGCGCCCTCCCTCTCCCAGCAGGTTCCCTGGCCTCGGGCCCTGTGGGGCCCTCACGGTGGAGACTCAGCCCTCAGCTCGGTCCAAATGCATAAGTCTGCGGGGGCTGCCCCTGGGGGGAAGCTGGCCCCCATGCACCACTGGGCAGGAATGGACAGAGGCAGTGGAGAGCTGCAACCCCCTCTTCCCTGCCCCTCTCTGCCTGAGGCCAGCAAAGAGCTGATGTCCTGTCCCCGCTCTTGGCAGTTAGTAGCCACAGATGAGAGTGGAGGTCCAGCGGGCCACCTGCCCCTCCCCTGGCCAAGGCCTGAGACCTCCTGCTCATTTCCCAGTCTCGCCTGGCACGTCCATTCCTCGGGAAGAGAACACACCAGGACAAAGCCACTGACCTCACCATGGTCCCACCCTGAGCTCTGGCCAACCCCCCCCCACCCCCCCGCCAGACTGGAGCCCTGTACCCACCTCCCCTCTTCTAGGAGGCGTGGCTGGACAAGGCAGGGGTCAGCCAACCAGCCCCGCTAAGAATCTGGTTCTGGCTTCTGCTCCCGGGGACTCGGACATTCCAGGCAGCCAGGCTCACTGGGAGGAGAAACCACAGGCACTCAGAGACGCCACCAGACACAGAGACGCGTGCTCACGCCCACTGTTCTGTCACTCGAGAAATATTCGCTGAGCACCTACTGTGTGCCAGGGAACTGGAAGCTGTCGGAGGGAGGCAGGCAGACGGCAGGCCGGCTCACGGACGGATAAGATGGTTTTCATCCCCGGGAGAAGTGTCAAGAGACGGAAACAGGGCAGACTCTCCCTCCACAGGACTGACCGGGACGGCCTCCGAGGGAGTGACACCCACAGGTAAATGTCAGGCCGGTGCCTGGGGAAGCTGTCTCCCTGATGAGAGAGCAGAGCTGGGGGCATGGGGAGGTCTGTGGGGACCCCAGTCTGGCTCTCATGCTCAGTGAGCAAGATAGGGGCCTGGAGGGTCTAAGTGAGGAGGATGTGGTCTGGGGGTGCAGGAGTGTGCGATGGTTAGAGCTGGTAGGGTTTATATGAACACACAAGGAAAACAGTCCTCCAAGGGCCAGGTGGCATGATGTCCGGGCCCCCGGGGGGCACACCCCGTGTCTTCCCCTTTAGTGTGGGCAGGAGCCGAAACAATGCCGGAAGGGCCTTTTGCACCCACATGACGAAGTGCTGGGACGCCACTCTCCGACAGGGTCCCCGTCCTGCTGCCTGCAGTCATCTGGCCACTCTGAAAGGGCCTTGCAGGGACCATGTGGGAGGCCCCCAGCCAAGAGCCAAGAAGAAAGTGGACCTCAGGCCTACAACAACAAGGAACTGGACTCCGCCCGCCCCCCACATGAGCGTGGGAGAGGGCCGCGCTCAGGCCCGGATGCAGCCCCGGCAGACACCGATTTCACCTGGGAGGCCCTGAGCCGAGGGCCCAGAAAACTCGCATCCACATGTCTGACCCAGGGAAGCCGTGTAATAGTGAATGTGTTGCATTAAGCTGCTCAATTTGTGGCAATTTGTGGTACAGCGAGAGAAGACAAACATAACTATCTCCGGAACAGAGCGAGGCCAGGGCTTAACCCAGCAAAAGGCACACATTTCACAAGGAGAAGGGACTGGTTCCTCAGTTTGGGGCTGGCTGCTGGCTGCAGCATGTGGTGTAGGGCAGGCCACGAGGCTGAGGCCACATGGAGAGCCACGTCACAGACTGCAAGCTCGCCCAACTTCACTGACAAGTTTCTGCCAGTTGTGACCATTCTGGGAAGGGCCACTTGCATATGCATTGGCCCTTCCTCTGGAGGCCTGAGGGCTTGCACACCTTGGCCTCTCATGCCACGAGGCAGGGAACTCCGCACATCCGGGGTCTGAAGAGCTGAGTGTGTCCCTCAGGAGAGCTGTTGACTGTGAGGGCTCTGGCTGCCTTCTGGTGAGGACCACAGGTCGATGACATGTCAGGTCGGGCTGAGAGGTCGTCGAGGCATTGAGACACTGATTTGAGAAGACAGGACAGGCACCCGCCTGGCTCGGTCGATGGACCGTGTGCTCTCCATCTCCAGATTGTGAGTTTGAGCCTCGAGTTGGGTGTAGAGAGGACTTAAAATAAAATAGGGGTGCCTGGGTGATTCAGTCGTTTAAGTGTCCGACTCTTAATTTCAGCTCAGGTCATGATCTCAGGGTAGAGGGCTCTGCACTCATTGGAGAGTCTGCCTGAGATTCTCTCTCCCTATGCCCCCACCAACTCATGCCCTCGCTCTCTCTCAAAAAAAAAAAAAAAAAAAAGCTTAAAAAAATAAGCAAAAATACAGACAAGAATATGGAAATATAGAAACATTGTGTCATGGACCAGCCAACTTTCCTTTTTTTTTTTTTTAAGATTTTATTTATTTGACAGAAGAGAGAGAGAGCGCACAAACTGGGGGAGTGGAAGAGGGAGAAGCAGGCTTCCCGCGGAGCAGGGAGCCCGATGCGGGGCTCGATTCCAGGACCCTGGGATCATGACCTCAGCCAAAGGCAGACACTTAACAACTGAGCCACCCAGGCACCCCGTGCACGTGATTCCTTTGAGCATCTCAGCTTTACATTGAGCGTGGGGTCGAGCTCTCCCAGCAGGAATGCTGCAGGAGGAAGGGGTTCTCCTGTGTGTCGGGCTGGGCTGGGTTGGTCAGTGGTGTCATGCCCACGACACACTGTCCCTTGGCCATCTCGAAGCCTTGACCTGGCCACAGTAATCTTCCTGCAGTGCTCTCAACAGGGAAACCAGCACCCCGCCTCCCTCTGCAGTGTGCCTCGGGCCCATGCAGCCTGGAAGGTTCCCATCACCTCGCATGCCCAGCACCCCCACCCATACTCTCACGTACTCTGCCTCATCATGTGGATCTTGGGCTAAGCTGAATGTGTTCCTAGGCTGCCTACTTCGAGCCATGGTGGGGATCAGCCCGAGACCCACAGGGAGGTCCCAAAGAAGCTGAGTCTAGATGAGAGACATGCTCTTCCTGATCCAAAGAGGAAGCAACTGGTACAAAGGGGCCCCAGAGCCCTGACGTGGTCCCTTGAGACAGTGTGGCAGGTGTCCAGGTATGGTCACGTGGCAGCTTGTCCAAGAACGCTGTTTCCCACAGTATCGACAGTCAAAAGTCCCTGAAACAGCCACTCATATACCGGCCCTTTTGATCTTTCTTCCAGAACAGTCCATTTCTGATTTGCAGTTTGTAGCAGGTAAGTGTGAGGAAAGCAGAAACCACCACTGGCTCACCAAGCTGGACAGAACATGCAAAGGTCAGAGGGCAAAATCTCTCTTGAGGTGCAACATACTCTCCAAGGATTTGGTCAACAGTGACTCTGAGCATTACAACACTTAACGGGCTGGGAGGACACTAAAAACTACCAGGCGCTTTTAGTTGGCCCCGTGGTGTCCTGACTGCCCAGCAAGAGCGCGGAAACAGAAATGAAGCTCGTCTGTGGACAAGACTACGCCAGTCCTTCGCTTCAACAGAAACCGGCAAAGCTGCTCAAACACAGCAACGGTAACAGCACGACTTCTGTATATAAACAGCCTAGGAAGAAGGAACATTTCTTACTTGACTTTCCCATCACTCAGGCCTCATACTATGTGATGAGGTGATTAAAATGTTAATAAATCATTTACTTCTCTGTACTAGTCCTCCTTTTGTACAACAAGAGAGGTGGCCTTTGTTTTGCCAACAGAGACAGGTGGGGTTGAGCACATGCTGTTCGCTTTTCCATTTCTGACATGAGGCCTGAATTTTGGGAAGGCAACACTGGGAGTTGTGAGAAGGGGCCTGGTAGGAACACGGTCGTCTCAGCTGTAGTTGGTTTTTTTTTTTAAGATTTTATTTATTTGACAGAGAGAGAGAGCCAGAGCAGGAACACAAGCAGGGGGAGTGGGAGAGGGAGAAGCAGGCTTCCCGCCGAGCAGGGAGCCCCATGCGGGGCTCGATCCCAGGACCCTGGGATCATGACCTGAGCCGAAGGCAGATGCTTAACGACTGAGCCACCCAGGTGCCCCTTATTTTTATTTTTTTTAAGGATTTTATTTATTTATTTGTGAGAGAGAGAGAGAGAGCACAGACGGAGAGGGAGAAGCAGACTCCTCGCTGAGTAGGGAGCCCAACGTGGGGCTCGATCCCAGGACCCTGAGATCACGACCTGAGCCGAAGGCAGATGCTTAACGACTGAGCCACCCAGGCGCCCCAGCTGTAGTTTTAATCAGGGTGGAGATATGTAAAACGAGCACAGGTTTGAAATGATTAGCAGGAGCCTTTGCCCCCTAAGATATGAGGACCATTTGGTAACAGATTTGAGCCGTGGTGGGCATCAGCCCGAGACCCACAGGGAGGGCCCAAGGAGGCCGAGGCTGGGTGAGAGAGATGCTCTTCCGGATCCAAACAGGAAGCAACTGGTTTCCTTCTCTTTATTATTCTAGATACACCGGCTCAGTTAAACAACATCCTTCTGCCTCTCTGTGAATGTGTTTCCATGTTCTACATGACATATCTACGCTGTCCACTTTAGTTCGTCTCTATTCAACTGTATGTGACACAACATATATGTCAAACTTTACCATCCAAACTAGACACAATTTGAAAAAAGAACAAATGTTTTTATATAGTGATCACTATTTCTGTAGTCCCTGTCTATGGGAATCTCAGTATCTTTAAAAATTATCCAGCTAGGGGCACCTGGGTGGCTCAGCTGTTAAGCGTCTGCCTTCGGCTCAGGTCATGGTCCCAGGGTCCTGGGATCGAGCCCCGCATCGGGCTCCCTGCTCGGCGGGAAGCCTGCTTCTCCCTCTCCCACTCCCCCTGCTTGTGTTCCTGCTCTCGCTAACTCTGTCAGATAAATAAATAAATAAAATCTTTAAAAAAAATTATCCATCTATTTCCTGTATCCTTTGATGCAGAACAAACCACCTTGAAACAAACTGGCCTCCAACTATGAGCCGGGGTTGGGGGTTGAGCAGGGAAGCTGTTCCTAGGGTAAGTGGCACCGTGTGCTTATCAAGATTCACGGAACAGCATAGCTTGGTGTGAACCCCAATGGACGCAAATTCTTAAAAGCTCTTTTAGGAAGTTGGGAGAATCAGAATGTGGCAAAAGCAAGCAAGCAAGCAAAGTACATTTCAAACGAAATGACCTCAGTGAAGGGGGTGGGGAAGTGCTGACCCAAGTCACTTTGGGGATGAGAAGAGTTTGCAAGATGAGAGGCTATGAAGTGTGCACAGCCCTGCTCACTAGCTGATAGACTGTTCCCTATGGGCTATGGTTTATCGATTCTGATGTGTCCACCAGAATCAAACAGTTCAGCAAGCGGGTGGCAGACAGTGGCAGCCAGGTTTCTCACTACTTGGGGTTAAGCAAGGAGAGGCGGCTAGAATGACCTGTGCGGTCATGGGTGACAGCTGGAGATCCAGTATCAGCTTGCGTTCAGTGTGGGGTAAACACCGGTGCACACGAGCAGAAGCACAGATGTGCGCGCACGGGACAGCACACGCACGAGCACACAGGACAGCACACGGGACAGCACACACACGAGCAAACGGGACAGCACACGCATGAACAGAAGCACAGACGTGCGCGCGTACATGGGACAGCACACTGGATGGCACACGCAGAGGAGAAGCACAGACGTGTGCATGTACACGGGACAGCACACACACGAGTACACGGGACAGCACACGCACGAGCACACGGGACAGCAGACGCACGAGCAGAAGCACAGATGTGTGCGTGTACATGGGACAGCACACACACGAACATACGGGACAGCACACGCACGAGCACACGGGACAGCACACGCACGAACAGAAGCACAGACGTGCGCGCGTACACGGGACAGCACACGCACGAGCACATGGGACAGCACACGCACGAACAGAAGCACAGACGTGTGCATGTACACGGGACATCACACGCACGAGCACACGGGACAGCACACGCATGAGCAGAAGCACAGCGCGTACAAGGGACAGCACACGCACGAACAGAAGCACAGATGTGCGCGCATACACGGGACAGCACACGCACGAGCACACGGGACAGCACATGCACAAACAGAAGCACAGACGTGCGTGCTTACACGGGACAGCACACGCACAAGCACACGGGACAGCACACGCACGAGCAGAAGCACAGACGTGTGCGTGTACACGGGACAGCACATGCACGAGCACACGGGACAGCACACGCACAAACAGAAGCACAGACGTGCGCGCGTACACGGGACAGCACACGCACGAGCACACGGGACAGCACATGCACGAGCAGCACAGACGTGCGCGTGTACACGGGACAGCACACGCATGAGCACACGGGACAGTACACACACGAGCAGAAGCACAGACGTGTGCGTGTACACGGGACAGCACACACACGAGCACACGGGACAGCACACGCACGAACAGAAGCACAGACGTGCGCGCGTACACGGGACAGCACACGCACGAGCACATGAGACAGCACACGGGACAGCACACGCACGAATAGAAGCACAGACTTGCGCACGTACACGGGACAGCACACGCACGAGCACACGGGACAGCACACGCACGAGCAGAAGCACAGACGTGCGCGCGTACACGGGACAGCACACGCACGAGCACACGGGACAGCACATGCACGAGCAGCACAGACGTGCATGCTTACACGGGACAGCACACGCATGAGCACACGGGACAGCACACACACGAGCAGAAGCACAGACGTGCGCGCGTACACGGGACAGCACACACACGAGCACACGGGACAGCACACGCACGAACAGAAGCACAGACGTGCGCGTGTACACGGGACAGCACACGCACGAGCACATGAGACAGCACACGGGACAGCACACGCATGAGCACACGGGACAGCACACGCACGAGCAGAAGCACAGACGTGCACGCGTACACGGGACAGCACACGCACGAGCACATGAGACAGCACACGGGACAGCACACGCACGAATAGAAGCACAGACGTGCGTGCGTACACGGGACAGCACACGGGACAGCACACGCACGAGCATACGGGACAGCACACGCACGAACAGAAGCACAGACATGCACACGCACATGGGACAGCACACAAACATGTGCATTTACTAACTCTGTTGTCTGGGAAGCAACAAGCTCACCAGCGCCCAGATCCTGGTTTCTAAGACCGTTTTCCAACAAAAGGAACCATGGCTCCTTGGAGAAATGGCTAATTTTAGGACTGGGGTAAGAAACATACAAGATAAGCCTGGAGAATCTGTGGTGCCCGAAAGTAAGGGAGTGCAAATTAATCAATTAATTAATTAATGGAGAACGATGGGATGTGCCGAAGAGCACAGGGGGCAACTGACGGCCCCAGGGACAGAGTCAGTACAGGTGTTCTGGATCATAATCCAAATATAAAGTAAACTGGGCGCCTGGGTGGCTCAGTTGGTTAAGCGACTGCCTTCAGCTCAGGTCATGATCCTGGAGTCCCGGGATCAAGTCCCGCATTGGGCTCCCTGCTCAGCGGGGAGTCTGCTTCTCCCTCTGACCCTCCCCCCTCTCATGTGCTCTCTCTCATTCTCTCTCTCTCAAATAAATAAATAAAATCTTAAAAAAAAAAAAAAAGTAAACATCCACGAGTCCATACTGATTAAATGAAGGCAGGAGAATCCCAGATAATGTATGCAGATAAAGCAGAACCATGGCGTGCAGCATCCCAGGCCCCACCACACAGCACAGTGCAGATCTTTTACCACTCGTGATTCCGTGGGTCAGGAATTCTGGCAGGACAGTTCATCTGTGTCCCACGTGGTGCTGGTTGGCATGGCTCAACTGGGGCTGGAAGATCCAGCCAGCTTCATTCTGGCACCTGGGGCCTCAGAGTGGCCATCAGGTGGGTCCTCTCTCCCTGAGGCCCTCTCTCTCTGTCCACATGGCCCCCCATCCACATGGCCCTCTCTGTGCACGTGGCCCCCCCATCCGCATGGCCCTCTCTGTCCACGTGACCCACTCCCTCTCTGTCCATGGACCCCTTCTCTCCACACAACCTCTTGGTACTCAGTAGTCTAGCCCAGGCTTTCTTCCACTGGTGGAAGCTGCCAGGCCCCTAACACCTAGGCTTGGCAACTTCCACTACACTCAGTGGGTCAGAGCAGGACCCAGCCCTCAAGGGGAGGGGAGACAGACCCCAGCTTTCAATAGGAGGAAAATCAGCAAAATCCTGTTGCCGAGTGTGCACAGGGAAAGAGTGTGCACAGAGATAATTATGACATCTTCAGAGATAATACACCACAGGAGGTGAGAGATACGTGGCATCATGAAATGCAAAAGATTCAGAGCACTGAGGTCTATAAGAAGACATGTTTCATGACAGAGAACACTTATTTTAATATAGTTAAACATATATGTGCACATTTACATGACCTTAAATATTTTTTGGAAACATAACTTACCTGGGGCTCCTGGGTACTTCAGTCGGTTAAGCGTCTGACTCTTGATTTCAGCTCAGGTCATGATCTCAGGGTCGTGAGTTCAAGTCCCATGTGAGGCCCCTGCTGGGTGTGAAGACTACTCAAAAAAAAAAGAGTTCAAGAAAAATAACTTACCTGACCCATAAAACCAGACCAGGAAATTTAGTAAAGTTTAAGTGAGCTTTGCATCATCAGTAAATAACCTAATTTTTCCAGACACTATAACTTCCTATTATCTTATACCCACATAGTTGTTTTAAACCAAAATTATAAAACCAGTCTAATTTGTCCAAGGATTCATCTTGATTAAATATATTACCTGAGGGGCGCCTGGGTGGCTCAGTTGGTGAAGCGTCTGCCTTCGGCTCAGGTCATGATCCCAGGGTCCAGGGTCCTGGGATGGAGTCCCACATCGGGCTCCCTGCTCAGCGAGGAACCTGCTTCTCCCTCTCCCACTCCCCCTGCTTGTGCTCTCTCTCTCTGACAAATAAAATCTTAAAAAAAAAAAAAAAAGACCTGAACTTTTTCTAATAGAAATTGTTAAACTCCACATTTTTCAGCCTGACATTTAAACAACATTGAATTAATGTTTGCATGAAGTCTTCTTGGCATTATTTGCTCCCTGTATGAATTTACATCTCTTTGCTTCTTATCCAACAATCAACCATTATCCCCGGGTTTTTTGGGGGGGAGGGGGTTAAGCTGTGGATTCTACAAGAAAATGACCTTTTTTTTTTTAAGATTTTATTTATTCATTTGAGACACACAGATACAGAGAGAGAGAGAGAGAGCATGAGCAGGGGGAGAGGCACAGGGAGAGGGAGAAGGAGGCTCCCCGCTGAGCCAGGAGCCCGACGTGGGGCTCGATCCCAGGACCCTGGACCCTGGGATCATGACCTGAGCCGAAGGCAGACGGTCAACCATCTGAGACACCCAGGCACCCCAAGAAAATGACCTTTCTTAAAGGGTGAACATTCCTAAGGCATTAGAAGCTCAATTTCTTTTTTTTTTTTTTCCTTTGGAACTGTCATGTTCTCTATTTTAAATCTATGCAAGCGGGCGCCTGGGTGGCTCAGTTGGTTAAGCGACTGCCTTTGGCTCAGGTCATGGTCCTGGAGTCCCGGGATTGAGTCCCGCATCGGGCTCCCTGCTCGGCAGGGAGTCTGCTTCTCCCTCTGACCCTCCCCCCTCTCATGCTCTATCTCAGTCTCTCTCTCAAATAAATAAATAAAATCTTAAAAATAAATAAATAAATCTATGCAAGCATGTATTAGTCTACTTAAGCATCAAACTTCAGAGACTTTATAATCTTATACATTATTTTTGCTTTCCAGTAAGGTAGTTTTACTAATATGCTCATAAAATGTTCCCAGTCATACAATCAAAGAATCTAATCAATCTCAGGAGAGCTAGATGCCTTGAGTCCTCTCAATCAGTCCTCCAAAGTCGTCCAGTGGATCCCAACATGATTTGTGCTTTGACCTAGTGTGGTTAATATTCTCCTGGATAGGGGCGCCTGGGTGGCTCAGTTGGTTGGGCGACTGCCTTCGGCTCAGGTCATGATCCTGGAGTCCCGGGATCGAGTCCCGCATCGGGCTCCCTGCTCGGCAGGGAGTCTGCTTCTCCCTCTGACCCTCCCCCCTCTCATGTGCTCTCTCTCTCATTCTCTCTGTCTCAAATAAATAAATAATCTTAAAAAAAAATATATTCTCCTGGATATTCACTTAACCAGTGAAAGCCTTCCACCCTGACTCCTGAGCCCCCTGGCACACCCACAGCAGTCTTCAACAGCTCTCTTGCCATCTGGTACGAAAAGATACCCTGGCTCTGTACGCTTCCTGCCACGGACCTGGCGTCAGGGTTGCCAGATTAAATACCGCACAGGACATACTTATAATGAAAATTACTATTGCTTATCCGAAATTCCAGTTGAGCGAGAGGGCCTGTATTTTTATTCCTCAAGTTGGCAGCTGCACCTGGAACCAGCCATGTCTCCAAAGCATCCTGGCTTCCACTACAAGTGGAAAGGGTGCTTCGAGACCATTTCTGGGTGTCTTGGACATTTCTTGCTGCTGCTTTGTAGACCACACTCAAACATAAGTAGACAACCGAGTTCTACCAAAGGAAACCCACTAACATGAAAAACAGAGACCAAAGTCAACAAACAGAAAAAAATCAACTGGGAAGCAGAAACTGGACAGGGGTGATGGGGGCAGCATGCTCGAGAAAACACGTATCATTAATACCCTCACAGAAGAGATGACATCACACCTGTGAAACACAAACATGGTGAGTGCTATTAAAAATACCCCCATAAAATACCCAAAAAACAAAAAGTCTCTTAGAAAATAAAAATGGCATAACAGATATTTTTTAAAAAATTCATTAAGTGGATTAGAAAAAAATGTGGAAGATGCCAGTCAGATCGGAGGCGGGAGAGGAGAGAACGCTGATAGCAGGAGCCTCAGAGAGGAGAGCGAGGGCGGGCGGATGACAGCACAGCAGCTCAGGGGGGTTTCCCAGAACTGGAGGTCAGGACTTTCTAGATGGCACCGGGCTCCTCCAGGGTGGGAACAGATCCACACTGAACTGTGTCACTGTGAACATCTGCTGCAACGAAGAAGAGAAGCTTCAAGAGAAAAAGCTGGTCGCTTACAAAGGCTCGGACTCAAAATGGGTCCAGTTTCCTCAGCAGCAACCCTCGAGCTGGGAGCCAGAGACACGGGAGAAATGCTTGCAGAGTTTTGCCGGAAAGAATTTTCAGGCTAGAATTCTAGAATCAGCCAAACCGCCGACCAAGTCACAGGATATGTCTGCTGATACGCAAGGGCTCACATTCTCTGTGCTGCTTCCTGGGCTGACGGCCTGGTGTCAGGGCTGTGACAGCCACTGACGACGGCCCCCATCCCCATGGGCGTCACCGGGGTCGGGGAGGAAGTCCACTGAGACACCTGAAGTGAAAGCAAGTGCAGCCAAACTTCTCAGACCACAGTCAGTTTAGTGGATCGTACATGGTGGTAACAAAATAGAATGTATCTGAGATTACTGCACTTAGGAAGGCTAAGTATAGCTTTTGAAATCTTTCAGTTGTGTGTGTGTGTTTACATACCAGGTCGTGATATCAAATGTATTTCTTATTTTGAGTTTTTGTCAAAAAAATCGAAAAGCCACCAATTTAAAGATATGACAATAAATCGTATTGTCAAAAGAATCATCTAAGAGGGCTAAAACTGCCTCTGGGAAAAGTGGTGTGGTTATTTTTCGTCAGCACTACTGAATTACTAAACTAGTTAGGCATACACAGGCATAGCTTCTATTAAAATAATTTTTAAAAATAAGTTTTAGAGCCAGACAGACTTGTAGCTGAATCATGAATGGCTTTTTACCTACATGACAGCAGGCAAGGTCCCCTCTGGGAGCTGATCGTAGATTTGCTGGGAAATGAAGTCACTCCTGTAAGGACCTAGCACAACACCTGTGGAATCCACTCACACACATCAATTAATCCTTATTCTACCCTCTAGCTCCCGTGCGCCCTTTCTCAGAAAAACATTCCATGAGGGGCACCTGGTGGCTCAGTCAGTTGAGCACCCGACTCTTGGTTTCAACTCAGGTCATGATCTCAGGGTCATGGGATCGAGGCCCTGCACTCAGTGGGGAGTCTGCTTGAGATTCTCTCCCTTTGCCCCTCCACCCCGTCGTTCTCTAATAAGTAAATCTTTAAAAAAACAAAAGAGGGGCGCCTGGGTGACTCAGTCGTTAAGCGTCTGCCTTCGGCTCAAGTCATGATCCCAGGGTGCTGGGATCGAGCCCCGCATCGGGCTCCCTGCTTGGCGGGAAGCCTGCTTCTCCCTCTCCCACTCCCCCTGCTTATGTTCCTGCTCTCACTATGTCTCTCTCTGTCAAATAAATATATAACATCTTCAAAAAAAAAAAAGAAAAGAAAAATGTACCCATGAAAAGAAGGGAGAAGACTGCGCAAGAGGAGAATGTGGTGACCCAGAAACAGGACCCAGCGGGTGGGGCCCAGGGCAGCCCAGACAGGAGACAGCAGGAGAATCATTTGAGAAACTGAACCAAACCGTGACTTTTAAAATTCTATCAGCAAGTCTGGGGCTGAATTTTGATAGATAAAAAAAAACCAAACATGCAAAAACAAAACAGGAAAACAAACAGTTGTATGAGAAAGGAAGTGTGATCTTGCTGAGCCCAGAGGCCATGGCGGGCCACACCCGGGGGCACAGGAGTCCTCTGCAGAAGCTGCAGGCACCGCCTCTGTGACGGACTCCACTGGCTGAGGCAGAGCTGCTGTTTTGTTATTAGCTTTGCATCAACTTCACATGCAGCTACAATCTTACTTGGCTGGAAAGTTAAAAAATAAAAATTTAACTGTAAATACAAAGTAATGCAACCAACAGGACCAATCAAAGTGAATGGGCTCCCCTTGGAGGAGCGGAGGGGCCCAGAGCGCATCCCCCCCAGCCTCCCTTGTCTGGGTGCAGAGGGAAGGGCCCGTGTCTGAGCCCAGAGGACCCTGTGGTTACCAGACCCACCTCAGCTGGGACAGACGGGGGGCAGGAGACCCCTGTCCATGCGAGGGTCTTGGTGGCCTCAGAGGCCCCCTCCACCCACAGCAGATCCTGGAGGTCGGCCAGCTCTGCTCAGCAGGACTCTGGGCTGATCAGTTTCCTCCTGGACCAGACTGTCCACAGCAGCGTGACGCCAGCCCGGGGTGGGCAAGGATGTGGGGCACACAGTGCCAGGTCACAGGGCACTCACCACATGTCCAGTTGTAGCTGAACCCTGTGTTCCCAAATTTGCTGGGACAAGTATACTCTACAATTTACACTCTACAAGATGCATGTGCTGTTAATGCCACCTGGTCTTGGCCACATTTTGGAGGTTCTCTAGGAGTTGGCACAAGCTTGTGCCCGGCCTGAGGCCTCCCCACACCTCGGCCTCAGGGAGCCCTGACAGCCCTGCCATTGCCCCCCCACATTCCCAGAGCCATGCCCCTACCCCACAGGTCACCTGGGAGTGTTCAGTGCTTCCCTCCCCTGTGCATCCAGGAGTGGTCGGTCCTCAACATACACACAGACACACATTGGCCACCCCACATCCTAAAGAGAACCCCAAGCCTCCAGACACTGTTCAGAACCCCCCAACCCCCTGGAAGTGTCCAGGTCTCAGCCTGGACTCTAGTCCCAGCCCTAGCACTCAGCTGTCATGTGACCCAATCCCCCTCTGGCCAGAACCCAAGTCTTTTTTTTTTTTTTAAAGATTTTATTTATTTATTTGAGAGAGAGAGAATGAGAGAGAGAGAGCATGAGAGGGGGGAGGGCCAGAGGGAGAAGCAGACTCCCCGCCGAGCAGGGAGCCCGATGCGGGACTTGATCCCGGGACTCCAGGATCATGACCTGAGCCGAAGGCAGTCGCTTAACCAACTGAGCCACCCAGGCGCCCCAGAACCCGTCTTACCTAAGAATCCAAATGGCCCTGAGGCTGAGGTCAGCAAGGGACAGAATTTGACGGGCGCATGGGCTGGCCTCTGGGTGTGCAGCCAGGTGGCGGGGGTGTCATCCACTGGCCCCCACCCTGAGGCTAACTCCAGACCCAGTTCTGGACTCCTCAGCCCTATCCCAGGGGCCACAGCTCAAGAGCCCTTGGAGGGCTTTTCCCACAACTCAGCCCTAGAGAGGAAGATTCCCTCCCACCCCTGCCCACCCAGGTTCCAGCTTCTCCGTGAGCTCAGCTGGCCGTGGCCAGGCCCGGGGAGCAGGCTTCTTTCTCCAGCCTCTGTCACCCTCCCCAGCCTGCATACTCCTTGGACAGCAGGGAGTGCAGCCGTTCACAGCTCACATGCTGTGTCCTGAGCATCTGCCGTAGGCAGGCCACAACCAGCCCCTCCCAGGACCCAGCATCCAGCCTCAGCATCCTCCCTTGCCTGGAGAGCCTGCCTGGCCCCTTCCTTGGCCCACTGTATGGCCAGGAACACCCAGGCCAGAGGACACTGGCTGGCACGGAGTGGCAGAGTGACAAGGCACAGGGACTGAGCTCAGAGATGCCTCCACATCGGGCCCAAGAGGCAGGGCCCCCAGCAAGGGCCCAAGAACACCCCCAGTAGCTCTGGCCCTGGCTGAGGCCCCCTCTGGCCAGAACCCAAGTCCTACGCGATGCCAGCAGGGCACTCTGCCACACCCCTCCTGCCTCTGCCCTTTCACTGTGGGGGCGCCCGGGGCCAGCAGGGAAAAGGGGCTACTCATCCCACAGGCTGGGGGGCAGGGTGGAGGCCCCATAGGGAAGAGGGAAGGGCAGTTTCTTATAGCCTGGGAGGAACTGCAGAGATAAAAATAAAAGCACATCTGCTTCCACACAATTGCTTCACACAATTGCCTCCTGCAGTTGTGGTTGGGGCCCAGATACATCCAAGCCACAGGCAGGACGAGCTCTGCACAAAGAAGGGAGTGGGGGTCGGGCTGCCTCAGGACCAGACCCCACAGGATCAGTGACATCTGCAGCAGAGATCTCAACCGTAGTACCACCGAGGTTTGGGGCAACTCATTTCAGGTGTCAGCTGCCCTGTGCGTTATGGGGCATGTATTCCCAGCCTCCGCCCACTGTGGTCAGTGGGACCCCCCCACTGAGACAACCAAAAATGTCTCCAGATGTGGCCAGGGGCCCTACCTCCAGGGACCCCCCAAGCTGGCACCCACCCCGGTGGAAGAGGTTGGAGCAAGGGCCCTGTGGGGCTCTGCCAGCTGCCAGCCTCCAGGAGTGTGGGTCTGTGGCTTCCTGCACAGGTCAGCCAGTCATACCTCCCAGATTTGCTGCCCAGCCAAGCTCCCGACAGCGGCTCTGCTTCCAGATGGCAGATCAACTTAGCACCCCATTGCTCCTCTCAGCCACCAGGGAAGGGTGGAGTGAGCCGCGGGGCAGCTACCACGACAGGACTGGGAGGAGATACGGGAGCGGCTACCCGGCAGCCACGGGCACCGGCCAAGGGCAACAGCGGCAGAGACCCAGCTGAGAGGCCAGGTGGAGCAGAGGCCAGCCTTGGTACCAACAGGTCACGGTCCACTCCACCCCAGCAGGCTCCACCACTGGGCCCTGGCGCCTCTGCCCCGCCCCACCCCCAGATGGGGAGACCAAGACCCAGGAAGGATGACTGTGACCCCAGCTGGGGGCCTCCCAGGGGCTCCCTGTGCCCTCCCAGGTGACTGGGCTGGCAGGGTGCTCCGGCTGTCCTGGTCCTCAGCCCCAACCCAGGGGCTGCTGGGAGCCCAACTGCTGCCCCCTTGCAGCCACATGTGGAAGCAGGCCTGCACCCTCAATGGTGTCAGGTGCCCCCCCAGGTCATGGCCAGCGTCACCCTCCTCCACCACACCCAGCACCTCCGCGGGCTGTGTCCCCTGACGGGCAGGGACTCAGACCGGCCCCGTGGTTAGAACCCTGCTTACCTAGCTGGCTGGCTGCCATGCACAGGGCAGGGGCCCGCCTGGCGCACCGAAAGAACGTGGGGTGAGCAACACAATGTGGTCTGTGCCATTCCAGAGAAGCTGCTGGGTAAGCCCTGCTCCAGCCCTCCCCCAAGATCTGCCTGATTTGCAGAGAACTCAACCCCACTCCCAGACACATTTCTGTGACAAGGCAAGAAATCCCCACAGCCTGCTGAGACGTGGTGTTGCCCTTAACGGGGTGGAGGGGATCGAGGGAGGACACCAGCATCACGCGTGTCTCTACTGGACGGCTCAGGAAAGATGCACCACTCTTCCTATCCTCTGAGTCAGCCGTCAGGGAGCAGGGCAGAGGCTGAGCAGAGTAGCGTCTGCCACATTCATGGCACTCCGACCAAGCTCCCCTGCCTGCAGCCCAGCCCTCGCCAAGCCTGGATGCAGTGGTCCACTGGCTCACGCCAAGGCTCCAGGGTTTTTCCAGTTCCACAAACAGCACCACTTTCTCAGCCACCCCCAACCCTGCCAGAGCACACCCTCCCAGCCATCCTTTCCTGATTAGCCCCACTCAGCGTCCCATGAGGTGGCAGAGGCCAAGGAACCCAAAGGAGACCAGGGGCCCCCCCAGCCCTAGCGGAGCAGGACAGCTCAGACAGCCACTTGAGGCCCAAGTCTGTGGGGACCGCAGGGCACCGTCCATCATCTCTGGGGGCAGAGCCTGCCCCCCTCCCCAGTCTTCCCCATGAGGCCCTCCCTGTCCCCTCTCACACTGTAATCATACCCCCAACTCAATCTGGGCGCTCCCTAACCCCCCAGCACTGTCCCTTGGTACTTCTGCCATCAGCGTGTTCAGAGTCTGCCTCCCGCAGTGGAGTCCAAGCGCCTAAAGGGCAGACCTGGGCCTCTGTTTGCAGCGGTCGTAGCATCAGGCATTCATAAATGGGGAGGCTGTCGTTCCTGCGGACTTGGCACCAGGACAAGGGCCCTCTCGGGAAGCCCTTGTGCCTCCTAGAAAACCAGAGGTGGGCACCAGCTCAATCCCAAGATAGCTCACGCTAGGCCGCAGAGGGGCCAGGTCACCCGGGGACAGCTAAGTTCCTAAACATTTATTACAGTGGGTCATCAGCAGCAACAGGGGTGGGGGAGAGGAGCACTGGACTCATTTGCCCCTCAGGTAGATCTTGGGGGTCTGCCAGCCCGCAGGGGCTTCCTTCAGGCCCGCCTTCAGCCAGATGCGCCTCAGGTCTCTCTCGAACTTGATCTGCAAGGGCACAGGAGGGACCACTGACTGGTCTGTGGCACAGTCACACACTTTCAGCCGCCTTGCCCCACCTTAGGCTGAGAGGCCCACCCCCCACACTTACCTGCTTCCGTTTCAGGCGTCCTTCCCGGACCTTCCGCCGCAGGAACCGGGTCCTCTTGACCAGTTTACGGTACTTGTGATGATTCATCTTCCGCCGGCGAATCTTCAGTACGTTTTTGCACTGCACCTGGGGTGCATCCCAGACCTCCTCCATCCCCTGCTCAGCCCCTTCCACTTGGCTAGGTGGACACTCATAGAGCTGAGATGGTGCCACGGTCCCTGGGGTCCTGGCATCTAGTCTGGGTAGGAGGTAGTGGGCGGTCAGCCAGCTCTCCAGAGGACTGATGGACATCTTCCTGGGGACCAGCATCTCCTCAAGCTCCAGCTGGAGCCCCTTGCCAGGGACGGAGGCAACTCCACTTGGGCCTGTTGGCCGCGTGCTGTAGCAAGGCCTGCCTAGGACCCCTGAGATAGGCCAGGGCCGACCGCAACCTGCAGGAAACCAGACAGCAGTTACCACCCAAGCAGCCAGGCCAGGGCTGAGCACAGCCAATGCCGCCTCCCCCACTGGGGAGCAGAGCGGTCATCACGGACCAGGACGACCCGCACCTTATCCCAGCGGGAATTCAGGCTGATGTTCTCAGGCCCGGACTTTCCCTTTTGGCTACTTGGATGTTTACGAGGACTTTGTGTGGCCAGGCCCCCGCCTCCAGCTGGCAGGTGGGGGCCGTTGGGATCACCTACCCCACGTTCCTAACCCGGGGCGCACCCTGCCCAGCTGCCTTGCCCCCACGGGGCCTCTTACCTGCCCGAGGAACAGCCCTCAGCAGCTGAGACGTCAGGCGCACCAGGAACATGGTCCGCGGGTGGTGGCGGCCCCAGGTGCTCAGAGCGGCTGCAATACAGGTGCGCGTGGCGGTCACGCGGGAGTGGCCGGGCGGCGCGTGCAGCAGCCCCGGGGCCGCCAGGACTCCCACACCCATCACCCTCATCGCCCTCTCCCACCACACGGGGCTCACTCCCTCCAGCGACCAGACCGAGGCGCGAGCCCCTCGTCCGCCGCTCCGCGGCTGCGCCCCTCTGAGCAGTCCCCCACCCCTCCCCGAGCCTCAGCTCCAGCCCAGGGACCCACCACCCGGGCGGAGCCGACGCTCGAGGGCGCGGAAGGCCGGGACTGGCGCACGGCGGCCGCGGCTCCCAGGCCCCGACGGTCCGGCCCCAGCCTCACCGACCGCCGTCCCCCTGCAGCCGCGGCCTCGCTCCGACCCTCCCAGACCCAAGCCGGGTGACTGAAACTGACCACTCCGTCGCCCACTTTAGGCACTTCCGGTCCGTCCCCAAACCAGCCCCCAGTCCCGCGTGCGGCCGCCCGGCGGGACCCACTCCCGGCGCCCCCTGGCGCCCCCACGGCGTCCGACTCCGCGTCGGCGCACGTCCCGCCGGGCCCAGAAAGCAGCCGCTTCCGGCCAGAGGAGCGGCCCACCCCGCCCACAGCCCGCAGGCTCGGCCCTCCCTGACGGCGGCGAGAAAACTACATTTCCCACAATCCTAAGGGATGCCCGGGACCAACCAGTGGCTAGTCGTCCAAGGCGGGCGGAAGTGGCGTTAGCCCCGCGGCGGAAATAGAGTTCTCGGGCCGACGGAAGCGGCCGGAGTCCCGCAGGAGGCGCGGCCGGTGCGTGAACGCGGCGCGTTTGGAAGCCGACGACCCCCCTCCTGTGCCTGTGTGCGCGCGGAACTCCCGCAAACCACCAGCCCTCGGTCGGAGTCGGCAAGGGCAGTGGGCCCTCTGCCCCGCGGCCTTCCAGGAGGCGCCGCTCGCTCGGCTCCCCAAGTAGCAAGGCCTCTGAGGTGCCGCGCGCCCCCTGGGCCCCAGGTGCTGGCCCCGCCGCGCGCACAGCCCCACCGCCCGGGCCGGCGCGCCAGCTGCCCTCCCGCTAGTCGCCAGCCCGCCCGCCACGCCCAGGCTGCCCCTCGGACCCATTCTGTCCTGTCCCCGCCCGCCCTCCGCGCCCCCGCAGGAAGCGGCCTTCGGCCCAGGCTCTTCAAGGCCGGCGGGCCGCGGAAGAGCAGCCGCACAGGGCTCGGTACAAAAGCCCACACTGTGATGAGATCAGGGCCGGCCGTGCAGACAGACCACTAGCTCGGGGACTGCAGGCCGTGCACAGGAACGAGCGAGCAGAACGACAAACTACACATTCTGGAACGTTCCAAATGTCCTGAGTAGAGAGAATTGTGTTTATTTAACCACGTAAAATGCATATATAGGAAACTTCTCTATTTGGGAGCTGGTGGCCTGCACTCAGCATCGCACAGATAAAAATATACGACTTTCAACACAGATCTAAATACCTTCACATTTTAAAAATCAGAATTCTCTACACAAGTTTTAAGCCGACAGAATTCAAGTTCTGAATTTTCATATATAGCTTTAACTTGTATTAAACACATGTTTATTTACAGGGCGAATAGAGAATAAGGGGCTATTAAGGCCATTTTCTCATTGTGAAACACTGCAAAATATGTACATAAGTACAACCTAATATAGGCAAAGGTTCTAAAAGTCATTTTCTTGGTTTAACGTAATCGAGTAAAGACGGCCTGTCGTTAGCACCAAGCCACACCACCAGGACGTACACATCTGCTTCCACATCAAGCTGCCACAGGGCTGCTGCCGAGGCGGGCCCTGTGCTGACACGAGTGTACGCGCCGTGCCCAGGCCGGCCTGAAGGGCACCTCGCCGGCCTCTTGAGTCCATCTCCAAATGCATCACAAGGTCCAGAGCCAACAGCCATTTCCAAAAAGAGTTGCACCGCAGGGCCAGTCATGCCACGGGTGCACACCAAGGGGCGAAGGGCAGCACTCTGGGAGCCCAGCGCCTCACCTCCGATGCCTGCTGTGCCCAGGGTGATCCCGCTCATAGCGATGGCTCGTGCGCTCGTACGACCGAGAACGCTCCCTTCGCTGATCTCTATAGTAATGACTTTTTTTCTTATATTTCCCGGAACTATCTGCCCGCTCCCGTGAGCGGCTTCGAGACCGAGAGGAGCTCCGACTCCGGGACTTGTGTGGCTTCTGGGTGGGGTACTTGCAGTCCTTAGACTTCCGGTAGCTCCTCACCTTGGAGCTTTTGTAGGGAACACCTCTGTGCACCTGTCTAGGAGGGGAGTCACTCCTGCTCCGTGAACGGCTCTGCGACTTGGACCCGCCAGACGTGGAGCCGCTGTCACTTTTTCTGTGAGGAAGGACAGCACCACCAAACAGGTGACCACTCACCCCACCACCTGAGGGTGAGGATTGACTTTCCTGTGAGGGGCAGCCACACCACCAATAGCCACCCTGGGGAAAATATCCCTTGCCAGGTGCAGCACCCCGTCCCGGCCCCCCATGAGCCCTGAGCAGCACACACCTCCTCTTAGGAGAAGCAGATCGTGATGGGGACCTTGAGTAGCTCTGCTCACGACTCCCACTCCTACTTCGACTCCCTCGCCCCTTTGGCAAGCTGAGAACAAATGGTGGGAGCAGTTACAGGCTTCAAGTCTCTCCAGCCAACCCCAAAGGCCAGCTGGGGCGCTTGGGTACTCACCCATTCACCGGGCTGTCAGCCTTAACTTTCTTCATGCCCTCCATTTTCCTCTTGGCGTTCTTCACAGAGAGCGGGGAAGGCTTGTTTCCTTTACCTTCTTTAGGGGATTCTGCTAGAATCAAATACAAGAAGTTAAAACCTCACCACCAGGAAAACTGTTCTGAGAGAAAACACATTAGCAGAGCAAGGCAATACCACTTCTATGGGATTTACGGAGACCCCCTGTTCCCGGCCTGGGACTCAGAACGTAAACATGCACCCGAAAGACACAGAAAAGCCACCTGTCTCACTTGCCTTCCTTGAGGGACTGGGGATGTGCATCATACTTAGTTCTAACATGACCCAAAAAACACAATCTACTACCCTAGATTTATAAAATTTTCATCAGAAGACAAGCTAATTAGGTGAGCTGGGTTAAAAAAAAAAAAAAAAAAAATTTTTTTTTGAAAAGCTTGTCCACGTCCCTCACTAATGAAAATATAAAAACAATGGGTGCCTAGCTGGCTCAGTTGGTGGAGTATGCAATTCTTGATCTCAGGGTTTTAAGTTTGAGCTCCACACTGGGTGTAGAGACTACTTAAAATATTGGGGCACCTGGGTGGTTCAGTCGGTTAAGTGTCTGCCTTCAGCTAGGGTCATGATCTCGGGGATCCTGGTATCAAGCCCCATGTTGGGCTCCCTGCTCAGCGGGGAATCTGCTTCTCCCTCTCCCTCCGCCCCTCCTCCCCACCCCACTCGTGCACACTCGCGAGCATGCTCTCTCTCAAATGAATAAATAAAATCTTAGGGAAAGAAAACAAAAAAACGATGAAAACTCCTTTAGGAGTGACCTTCTCACTTCAAAAATCAACAAATGTCCGCTGGGGACCCTGGTGCCTGCAGAGAGCTCAGGTCAGCAGCAGACACAGTTCCAAGAGAAATCTGGAGAAAAGGAGGGCCACACACCCTCACACTCACCCAGCTTGGGGGCAGGTGAGAACCCTGAAGTGCTGTCCAGAACCTGGGTGCCAGCAGGCAGCAGGCCCTTAGCTTGTGCCTTGGCCTCTTCAATGGCGTGCCTTCTCTTCTCGACTTCACTTTCAAGGTGTGTAAGATCAACCTATGGGAGTCAGAATCCAAAGAAATTCAAGACCAGATGTTTCTGGTTAAACACAAATGCATGTATTACATGAAAAAACATAGAACCTTTTTCCGAGTATAAAGCTGCAGGATTTTTAAGCAGATTTCCTGAATTTCGTCTTCAGTTGCTCCAAACAAAAGAAACCAATGGGGACGATTGGGCAAAGGGATCTGTAAACACAAATGCCATCACTGTTAATACTTTCTTTTTTGGCCAACAAGACTCTTAGGGCAATAAAAAACAAGCCTTGCTGGTCACCAAGAGACAGGCTTTTCATTGGCATCAATGAGCATAATCTGAAGAACACTACGCAGAAGTTTACTGGAGGCTGGAGAAAGAATCAGGCCAGGATCCCCTGTGGTGGCGCAACACTGACCTCCAGTGTCCGGGCAGCAAGATAAATGCAGGCACAGGCGATGCTCTCAGGCTGGAACCTCACGAAGACATCTGTGCGAAGGCTGTCATTCATGTAATTCCTGAAAACCAAATGCAGGAAAGACTGCAACGCTCCGGGCATCCCCAGGATACCCGTGTGCATCATCTAGATACAATCACTACTCTACGCAGTCTACTCCTAGGCTTAGAGCTACACAGTCCTGTGAGGCTCAGGATTCCTGGAGAGACATTCTAGCTGCTTTTTGTGAGTACAGGAAAACAGGGAAATTACTGGGAAAAAAAAATCTAAAAAGCTGGCTGAATGTCAGACAACACATGTTGCTATGAAAGAGAACCGACTTTAACTTTACTTTTCCCTCAACTCCTGGCTGTTCTCGTGCAAAGCACAATGCCTCAGAGAGAAAATGTCTACTGTAGTGGTTGAAATGTACTTGATGAAAGAAATCTAAATGCTCAAAATCCATAGTGCAGAGAAACATGCAAACTCAAATGAATGGGCTGAGCAGGCAGCCTGCGAGGGCTCTTCTGAGACAAGCCGTCCTCTTGCATCCCTTTTCCTCGAAGAGGTGCTCAGGGCCTGGCCCTTCTCCTTCCATGAGGGAGTCCACTTGGAAAGGGAAAACACCTCTGGGCGCATGGGAACATCATGCAGAGGAAGGCTCAATGCCCAAAGGGAAGTCCTCTTCTCAGGCATATCAAAGAACCGTTTCCAAACTGTCCCATCTCAATAACGAGTCTTAAAATGAACATTCATAAAATCAGACAAAAGCAACAAAACACTACAAGTTTCATCATAATCAATACATTTAAAAAGCATTATTGTACTTTAAAAGATATAAAAATACAAAACATTTGCATTTTTTAAAAGTTAAAGGGTTTTAAAATTGGCTACATTTTCAACATTTTCCTTTAGATATTATTTGTCTAGGATTTAATAGACCAAAATCAGGATCTCATATTCACATATCTCATCAATATTGCAAAAACAGATTCCATGAGAAAACAGTCAAATAAATGATACATTTGCTGCTCCTAACATACCCCACACTATGGCAACCCCTGAGAGTCAGGCCACACCCACAGGGTAGCCACATCCTGCTGTGTGATTTCACTGATACACCCCCGCCCCAACCCTCTTAACTTTGCCTGAAACCCTGGAGAAGGTGACAACACAAACCCACTCAGACTTCTCAGTGATCTATTCAACATAGGCCAACTTAGTGGCACCTGGCTCTGGAAGCTCTTGCTCCAGGCCTCAAGAGATAATCAAGGAAAAGACCTACATGATGGCCCCAAGGCCATGGGTCTCAGAGCATTGCAAGCGAACAGTTCAAACATGTCATAAACATAAACATCAGAAACTTTTTTGGTTCTAATAAATTTTCAGTACTCAAATAGTGATGCCATTTATCTATTAACTTTTAAATCCCAAAAACAAAACAAATGAAGTCCTTGAAATGTGTATTTAAACGTATTGCTTATCTAAATTACAATATAAAAAGTGTCCATGAAATAATTTAAAGATGCACACCTTTTACTAGAACGTGTCAACACTTAGCTGCTGAAGAGCAACTTTAGGACTTCCGGGAAAACTGGCACAAGCCCGTACTGAAGTGTGAGTCCCCGTCAGCCAATTCGTACAGCTTTCCACAGAAATGTTTTTAGGACACAGGTACTGCATCTTTATTGCACACGTACAGCAGTTTTAAAGGGACAGGATTCAAGTCAAGACAGTGAACTCTCATCAATACAATTACCAAGCACGACAGGGTTAACAAGCAGCGCCACCGTCAGAGAACCACAGCAGCAGTCGGCCAGCACTATACTACCGTGCGCATACCACCATCTAGAGCCGGCCTTCGGTGGAGAGCCTGCGCTGGATTGGCTGAGGACGGCCGCTGTCCCTGCACCAAAGCGCTTGGACAGTAGAGGAGAAGTCTTAGTCACTTACCCTCAGAGGCTACCCTTCGATTGAAAGAGTACAGAAAAGAAAAGTCAAAATAGGTTCTCTATTAGATAGAGCATAGCACCAGACAATTCAGGCAGCAAAAATACGACCCTTACAGACTTAACTCCGTGGAAAAAAATTCACAAAGCACCCAGCACTATTACTTCAGGCTTCCTTTCTAACATATGCATTGTTAAAATCAGTCCCAGAGAAAGTTTACCCGAACCCTCCTTCTCCCACAGGATCCTCTCTAGTAAGAGGCAGTTAGGAGCAACTTCCAAGGAGACATAAAGCCACTACATCGACGCTGGCACCTGGGGGAAAGATCCCGATGTGCCAAGTCACCAGCCCTCAAAGGGAAGCCCAGTGAATGCTCTCCTGGAAGGCCGGGGGAGCGTGTGGGCCACCTTACCGTTACACTAGTGCCTGATATTTTGGGAGGCTGGTTAGAATCTACACAGCAGGAACACTGGGCACTGAGACAACTCCAGCCCACAACCAAGTCATGGGACTGACTACCCACTGCCCAAGTGCCTCAAATCAACATATTCCTGCACTGCCCTTGCTGGTCTCATAAAACAAGGAAGGTCAACTCACCATGAGGTCTGGACCAGGTGCTGGTTACGCTCACACTCTAACACCTGAAGGTACATAACGATTATCTGGAAGATACAGGTCAGCCAGTTATTACCAAGAACCCCGAGAACCCAAAATTCAGATCTTGAGAGCATCCATGCAGTAAATATGAGCCTCATGCTAGATCCCAGGGGTGGCTCCTGGTCATATGCCCGGTGCACAGCTCAGCTGGAGGGGAGCTTTTGCTGAGAGGCCCCGCTACCTGCTTTCGAACCCAGGCTGCACCCACAGCAAAGGCAGCTGCATTTTTCATGGCCATCACAAGGCTGATTCTCATTCTCATCTTCGACATAGTTTCCACCAGTGAGATGAGCTTGTCCTAACCATCTCTGTACCCTAGTCACCACTTTACACAAAACATGGTGTGAAAATACTTTCAGCAAATGAAGAAAAAGTCTAAAATCTATGGTAACTTATCAAGAATTTGAATTAATGCCAGAAAGTCAAACAAGCAAGAGAGAAAAGATAAAAAGAAACCCACTAATTAAAAGGGAATAAAGGAAAGGTGCAGATTGCAATCTTTTTTTTTTTTTTTTAAGTTTATGCGTCACATAAAAGGTTCCCATGGAACTGTATGGCAGCCATGCTCAACTGTCATGCACTGCAAAGCTGCTTTAGTTCATTTCCAAATAAAGGGTTCAGAATCCTTCCAATTCCCCACTAGAGAAAATAAAGCTATCACTAAAGCAACTTTACAAAATAAGCTGTTGAGAAAAAAAACCATAAACTAACAGATTCCATTTTTACAAATTCACTATTTTTTTTGAAAGCCCACACTTAAAAAATAACCGTTCCAAAACTCCTGAAAACATAAAATTAACAGGTAGTATAAAGACAACTAACAAATAAATTACGTTCAGACTTTAGATATAAACTGGAAAAACGAGTCAGGAACACATTTACTCTTCTTCAGAGTTTTCAATCTTGGTGAGAACAGAGCAGTCAGGTGGGCTCCCGTGGCAGCTGGGCCACATACCCACCTTGTGAGGGTGCTTCACGTGGACACAGAAACCCAGCTCTTTGAGAACTCGTCTTTCTGCCTTTATAATCTGATTCTTTAAGTTAACATAATCTTGATCCAACAGCAGAGGCACAGGTTTCCTACACAGACAAAGCACACGTCCACATAAGGGTCAAATAAAACGTCTTTCAAATCCCAATTACCTCCAAATGGTGAAAATCCACTGTAAACACTGCAATATAGATGTAGCCTTTAACGAAACCAGAGCATCTTCCTCAAACCCCAGTGCTACCCTGCTTATCCCTTCTCAACAACATTCTCTTTTCCTTCCAAACAGTTCTCATGTACAACGAACAGGGCGGAAGGTTTCAAAATCTCATCACACAAGTACTAACCGCCCATTACCCGGTTCAAGACAAAAGTGCACGCGTTATGGGTGAATGGAAAACCAAAGAACCAACGGCAGTAGAACATTTAAACAGCCTGAGGCTCTGTTTTCCAAAGGACCGTCCGTCCACCTGAGGAGCATAAAGTCTGGGTTGTCCAGGCAGTGGTTCTCAACCAGGGGCAATTTTGCTATCCCAGGGCCAGCTCTGGGGACGGTTTTGGCTGTCACAACTGAGAGATGAACCGTTAGCATCTAGTTTGTAGAGGCCAGGGATACTGCTCAATATCCTACAACACACAAGACAGTCCTCACAACAAAGAATCACCCAGCCCAAAATGTCAACAGTGCGAAGACTGCGAACCCAGCTCCAGGACATTCGGCGACAGGCATGGGCCAACCGAGGGCCAACCAAGAGACCAATGTCGACAAAACCACAGCCACAGTTCCCGGCCCTTTTTACTGTGGTTCCTTCACTCATTAAACAGCATCCGTTGGGTACCTCCTGGGCAGCAGGCCCTCTCCTGGACACCGCGTAACACCTCACACCCTGAGTTCTGTTTCAGAAACGTCTGTGGAACTTAACCGTAAAAACCAGGAGACTCACTTTTTCTCTCTCAGATGCCGAAGGCGATGAAACACGTTGATGACATCCCGGATCCGTCTTGGGGCCTCCTCTATTTTGGAGGCCAGGTGAACACAAGCCATTGACACATGCTGAAACGCAAGCATTGCAACACACGCATGTGTTCCTTCCACTCATCACGGTCTCCAGCGGCTCAAGAGGAGCGACGAAGAGCGAGGAGCCACGAGCAGGGGCACCAAGGAAAAAGCCGCTGTGGGGAAACCACTCTACGTCCGGGGGGCTAGGATCCCAACCCCTCAAGCGCAGCCCTCCGAGCCCCAGAACAACGAACCCGGGTTTCCCCTCCACGTATTTCCGCGGGAGGGGAATACGCGGGAACCCTTACCTCCATGGAATGCTTCACGAAAGACTTGGTGTAGAAAAACCGCTGGAACAGCACCTGCCCGGTAGCCATGGCCACCTGGAGAGGAGAAACGTTGCCATCACTTCTAAAGGCTCAAGTTGCAGTTACGTCTCTTGCTTCGTGCGCCTGACACGGGCCCAGACACTAAAACGTTCCGCGCGCCCACAAAGCCCTTCGCGTCCCGCCGCCTGTCCCCCTCATCGCCCCCGAAGCACAGCAGCGGTGAACCGCGGGGCCGGCGTCCGCGCCGGGCCCGGCCCCGCCGCCAACAAAGGGCCCGGCCGCGTCCCCCGGCGCCGGCGCGGCGGTTACCTCGGCCCGAGGCTCGCGGCCGCGCCCTCACCTGCGGCAGGCGGAGCAGGATGCCGGCCGCCTGGATGAGCTCGCAGCCCACCACGCGGAGGTCGGTCTCCGTATCGGTGTCGAGGCCACTCGACATGGACGGCGTGAAGCGCAGCTTGTCGTCAGGCAGCAGGCAGTTCTCCAAAGTGATGAGCACGCCGGAGTACAGCCGGTCCCCGATCAACATCCCCTGCGACCCGGGGGCTGCGCTCCCCGAGCCCGGGGCACAGGCCGCTGCGGCGGGAGCCGCCGGCCCCGGAGCGCCGGCCGCGACCGTCGCCGCCGCCGCCGCCATTTTGTGCCGCCGACTCCCTTTCGGGCTCCTTCCCGGCAGGGCGGCTCCTCGCGACGCACTACGTCCGCGACCGCCCCGCCCCTCCACGTCTCATTGGTTCGGCCTGCGGGCGACCCGGCGCCGCCTTGCCGCGATTGGCTGGGCGACCTACCCGTCAGCGTTGCGGCCGACGTCGACGCCGTAGCCCAGCGCGGGCGGGGGCGGGCTCGTTACCCAGAGAGCCCCGCGGCGCCCGGGTGAGCCCGAGGTCCACAGCCCGACCCGGAAGCACTACCTCGGGGGCCGGCCCCGGCGCCCTTAAACTCCGACTTCCCCGGCGCGGCCGTACTTTCAGCAGAGAGACCCGGCAGCTCGTGGAGCTCCCGCCCCGCGACCTCGGCCTGCCCCGAGGGGGTCCGCGAGGGCGCGTGCGGGCGCACGGGTGCCGGCGGGGGTCGCAGGCCTCCCCGGGGGGCCGCGAGCGCGAAGGATTGGCGCGCGCCGGTGAGTTGTCCCCAGCCCACGCCCGCAGCAACGGGATGCGGACTGCCTGCGTCCGTACGGGGCGGCTGGCGCGGTCATGCCTCTCCGGTCCTCACTGAGCCCGGGCTTCGAGGGGCAGATACTAACACGGGGTTCCTGAAGTTCTTGCCTCCAGAACGGAGTCCGCGGGGGAGAGGAGTAACTGAATGCGAGGCTTCTGCAAAGCCCGGGGAACAGCAGGAGTTGCTCCCGGGATGGAGGGGAAGGGAGCTTGGCCTTCGTCCTGCAGTGGGAGCCTTCGGAGGAACCCCTCTGGAGTCCTCAGCAGTCCCACCAGGCGGCCTCAGCGGTGTGCTCACGGAACCGGACAGCAGTGCTGCCTCTCGCACCTGTACAGAGTCCGAGCTGCGGTATTCGTTCTCTGTTGCTGTACGGCTAACCCGGACTTTCAGCACGACTAGTGCAAGAACCCACGTGAGGTGGTGGGAAAGCCTGGGTGGGGTATGCTGGGGAGGAGATTGCAGGGTAGAAGCCTGGGTGGGACAGGTCCAGACACTTGGAGATACTAGCGACTGCACCCACCTCAATTGCCCAGACCGAGAGGCCACCACTGGCTTTCACTCCTGGTGAAACTTACCCTGCAGCTCGTGTAGTGCCAACCAAGACCCAGCCTCTCTTCATCTCCCCTACCCCCAGGCTCTCAGCTCCAGGATGTCCCCGCTCTGTGGACTGAGCAGCATTGTTCGGGAAAGGTGGAACTTTCTCCTCAAGGAAACAGCTTATTTCTCATTGGCCCTGCCTGGGTGGTTCTCCCATCCGCTAAGCAGTGGCCAGGAAAGAGGGAAAAGCTGATGGCTCTAGCCAGTCAGAGCCAGGCTTACCTGAACGAAAACTTGGGTCCTGCTGCTGGAGGGGGAGTGGGTGCTGGGAGCAGCCCTCGGTTGTTTAGCATATCGTTGTGTTCCTTTATTGAGATGGACAAAGGAAAGGCAGCTCCTCTATAGGAGCTCATTGTACAGAGCTCAGTTCCACACACCAAAGGAGTCTTTATGTGCTCCACCTTTGTGTGTATGCCAGACCCACTTACTGATGAGTGGTGTGCTCTGAGCACTTTATGTGCATAGCCAGGCACTAAACTAGGTACAGCCAGGGACACTGAACAAGACTAAACAAGCCCCACACCTCCAAATGGTCTGGTGGTCATCAGACAGAGGGACAAGAGCCAGGAGGAGGGACCTGTTGGGCCAGTACAGTAACTGGAGCCAGAAGAGATGCTGGGCTGTAGTGAGGACAAAGAAAAGTGGACAGATCCAAGAGATCACCAAGTGGTAGGTGGCCAGGATTTGACTGGCTCTCCATGGGTCTGGGAGTGGGTCTTGAGTCTACAATGGGAACCCAGAATGACTTCCAGGGGACTGCTAGCAAAGGATGGAGGACCCAGCATGGGAGCATTAGGAGTGGGAGGGGGGAAGGTGGGCACTGCCAGATAAATGCAGACAAATGCTACTGTGGGCCTCGAGAACTTAGCTGAGGGCAGAGGGTGTGTGTGGAAGGGTGAAGTCAGGGCCGAGCAGAGGGAGATAGTGCAGAGAAGAGGGGAGGAAGTCCATGGTCCTTGGAAGGCAAGGACTGACTCTGTCTGTTGGATTGTGGTTCAGGATGGCTTTGGTAAAAGTTACCTGGGCATGATGGGGCCGACTACAGACCCAGTGGCAGGAAGCAAGAGGTAGAGACCAGAGCTGGCCAAGAGGGGAACAGACTCAAGCTGGAGGGAGCTCAGAGTACATGCGAGAGAAGCCGAGGGTAGAAGCAGCTCACCAATAGGGACCTGGACCTGAGGAGGGGGATGGATGCCCCTGCAAGGCAGCAGGCAGAGATGGATGGACATAAGGGAGGTGCAGAGTTAGAGCTGCTGTGAGTGAGCATGTGGGGAAATTGTTCTTGGACTTGACTCTACACTTAATGAAGTAGAATATCTGGAGAAGGGATCCAAAACCCTTATGTTCAGGCCTCCCCACAGGTGATGTGATCGTCACCTGTGAGCACTCAGGTGAGACTGGAACCAGGAGAGCCACCCAGCTTGCTGCTCTTACTGGCCTGGGGAGTGAGGTAGAAAGCAGAGAAACTGGAAGTGGGGCACTCAGTGGCCAAAGAGCTGAGCAATGGAGTCCCTGCTGGAAGGTGAAGACCAGGGGAGGGCTAGAAGGATGGAAGACTAAGTCAAGCATAGGCAGGGCCAGAGTGGGGCTGGGGGGCTTTGGGTTCTGGACACGCTACCAGCACAGCCCTGAGCGGGGAGCCAAGGTCAGAGTTCACAGAGATCGGGCTCAAACTCCCCCAGCTGTAGAAGATCATGCTCAGCCGACCCCTCACCTCTGACAGGGCACCCAAGGCACGTGTGCTTATGCCAGAAACACAACTCAGAACGCTGAACGCCACACGAGCTTTATTTGTACAGTCCGTAAGATTTCTAGATCTGTCCCAGTGAGGGAAAGAGGAGCCTCTTAAACCTGTTACTAAAATTGTTGAACACACAGTGTTGACAAGTAATTCTTAGCCCCTATTTTAACTACTGTGATTATCGGGGGGGGGAAAAAACCTTTCCTAAGACACTCAGCTGCAAAGGGCAGGCAGTGTTGGAATCCCCCTCAGTGATCCTGCACCACTCTGGAAAATATGCCTTCGGGCTCTTTCCCATCCCCCAGGGCAGCAGCAAATCCTTCCTGTCGCCTCCTTTTGGACAAAGCAGCCAAAGATTTAAAAGTCTTTGGTTCATAGATGGCTAGATCCGCAAGTACTTTCCTGTTGAGCTCCACCTGGCACTGGGAAGAAAATCAGAGCCCGTGTCAGAATCAGAAATATGTTTCAGTGAAAAGCGGCAAGACTGAATGCAGCCGAGAACCCTATGGTTTGAGTTGGCGGGAAGCATCTCCTCTACTGAGCACACTCTGCATGGCTCCAGGGCAGTCTCTGCCCTTAGTCTCATGCCCTCACCTTTGGGGAGGTGGAAAGCATGTGGCGAATGTATCCAGGCAGGATGCTGGAGGATAAATGTGCACAAGGGGAAGGCATCCCTGCAAGAGGTGATGTCACATGAGCAAGGATGTTGGCATCCGGTCCTGGTGCCAGCCATGGAACTAACAACGTTGTTAGGGTCAACAATCGATCATCAATCACCCAGACAGAACTATGACTGCTGGCCTGGGGTAACCCTTTAAGTCAGCTTTGAACAGAAAATCACAATTCCCCTTCTACAAACAATGAGATGCAGGTAGAGTAAGGAACAAAAGCAGGTGTTCTCAATTCCCACAAGGGAGCGAAACCAGATCATCTATCAAGTAAAACTTCATGTGACTTCCAAAAACTGACGAAAAGCAAAAAAAGGATGATCCCTGCGTGTTAACCACAACTATATAGGGGTGGTTCCCGCTCTACTACCTGGGCCTTGTGTGTCTTGGCCAAGGTTCGCTCTTCTGAGCCTCAGGCTCATCAGTAAAATGGCAATGTCATACATGAGGATACTTGCAAAGTACCAAAGACAGGATCTGGTACAAGCTAGAAGCACAACACCCACTCCCCTTTTTAAGAAAAAATTTGAGGGGTGCCTGGGTGGCTCAGTCGTTAAGCATCTGCCTTCGGCTCAGGTCATGATCCCAGGGTCCTGGGATCGAGCCCCGCATCGGGCTCCCTGCTCCGCGGGAAGCCTGCTTCTCCCTCTCCCACTACCCCTGCTTGTGTTCCCTCTCTCGTTGTGTCTCTCTGTGTCAAATAAATAAAATCTTTAAAAAAAAAAAAAAATTTGAATGCACACAAAAGCAGAGGGATTAGCATAAACACTAGATTCAACAATTAACCAAGATTTTGTGACACATGCTTAATCTCTCCTGTCCAAGACAGTCCCCGTGCTCTTTGACTACGAGTTTCAACTTCATCTGCTACCTCATCAGAAATCTTTCAGTGCAAAACTTTGAAATTACACTTTAAAGTTAAAGGCAAGTTTTTTGCCCCTTTTCTCTTGATGGGGAAACACAAGGGCTCATGTCCTGGTATCAGTTGCCCTATTTCCAAGGCAAAGCAATTGTGATGGGTCCCTGAACCTACCAGAACTCTACCTTGAGAACTTGTCAGGGAGCCAACACTCTACTGCCCGTTGTACTGGACGACGTCAGTTGGATCACTTTCTATAGATTTCAACATCTCAACAGGACCACATCCTCAACCATACCTTAATTAAATTGACAATGAATGCTGGGTACTTCAGGCCGTGTTCCTGGGAGGCAGCTGTAATTCGATTAATCCAGAGCTGAAATAAGAAAACATCGAGATGCTTAAGAACTAGTTGTGCATTATGTCCACACCTACCAGCAAAGGTTCTGAGTCAACTAAAAGTCAAACTAAACTCTTTTTGCACAAGTAAATAGAAAAATCAGTGATTTCTCTTCAGGCATGTTGGCCTACAGTACAGTCAATTAGCAAAAATTGATGCTCTTCATTCAAATGCCAGCTTCCTTCTAAATAAGTAGTTAAGGGGCGCCTGGGTGGCTCAGTCGTTAAGCGTCTGCCTTCGGCTCAGGTCATGATCCCAGGGTCCTGGGATCGAGCCCCGCATCGGGCTCCCTGCTCCGCGGGAAGCCTGCTTCTCCCTCTCCCACTACCCCTGCTTGTGTTCCTGCTCTCGCTGTCTCTCTCTGTCAAATAAATAAATAAAATCTTTAAAAAATAAATAAGTAGTTAAGTCACATGCTGTAAAGCATTAATTCAATACATATTTTTAGGCCCTGAGAATACAAAGGTAAGCAAAAGAGTCTGTGGCAGACACAGCTCAGTGCAGAAAGGATCCATGTGAATGAATTACAACAGCCACTGAGATCAGTGCTACCAGGTGGGGATGAAAAACTAGAGGGTGAAGCTTCACCGAGGTGGAGGTAAAATGGTCTTGAGGGAAGAGCAGGGCTGGAGGGGAGGGGAGGCATCAGGAGAACCTTCCTGGCAGGGAGTAGCAGGGTAAGTTCCAGGCACAGCAAAAGGTCTGAAAACTGTAGGGAAATCAAGGCTAGTGGTTAGATCCAGAATGATCTGTCAGAGTGATATGGAAGCTTCTGAATAGATTTGGTCTGTTAAACAAGGGGGTGGATTATAGGGCTCAGTTGGTAGAGCATGCAACTCTCCACCTCAAGGTGGTGCGTTCAAACCCCACACTGAGTGTAGAGGTTACTTAAAAAATAAAATCCTAAAAATAAGGGTTTGGATTCTTAAGCCATTCTTTACTCAAGACAGTACTCAAGTGTATTTTCTTCCTTCAGTGGTTCTAAACTTTGAATATGCATGAGAATTGTGTAGAGGTTTGTCATAACATTTCTAGCCGCCCCCTGCCCCGAGTTTCTGATTGAGTAGGTGTGGTGGGGCCTGAGAATCTGCACTGCTAGCAAGTTCTTAGGTGAGGCGGAAGCTGCACAGGGACTCCAGCCCCACCTCGAGATACTCTGCTCCCGGTAGCAGCAACGTGTGTGCTACCAGACGCTGCTCACGGGTCTTCCCATACCCATGCGGACTGGCCTGATCCCTGCAGGGTCATAGGAAGCAGCGCCACCTCCAGCTTTCTGCGTAAATGAAACGCGTAAAGAACAGGGCTGGGATGCGGAGGTCACTCCTGCCCACGAGACCGTCGTGCACAGGGCTGGTTTGTCATGCGGTGACCCTGATCGACAGTTAATGAAGCATTTCTGACTTTAAAGGGTCAGAGTTCTCCCCTCTTCCTTATTCGTTCAGCCAATATTTACAAAGTGTTACCGATGTAGGCCGGAGGTTACAGCCTTCAACAGAGCGGAGATCCCTCCTAAAACTGACATTGGGGGCGGGGAGCAGTAACCAACCAACCAAGCCAAGCACGTGGTATGTTGGTCGCTAAGGGCACGAGAAGGGAGATCCGCTGCAGGACAGTGAGGCGCGACCCGAGAACGCAGAGGAAACCGCAAGCGCTAGGAGCGAGAGGAGGCAGGCTTGGCTTCTTCCAGGTGCAGATCGGAGCCGAGAGCGGCCATGCAGCCGGTGGGCGAGGGGGGTGGCCAGAGACCAGGTAACCGAGTCGGGCCCAGGTCGGCCCTCGTTAAGGGTGTGAAGGGGCGCCACCACAGGGCTTCAAGCAGGAGAGAGGCGCGCGGCAGAGGGCAGGGCGGCGGAAGCGGGGGCACTGGCGAGGCGGCTTCACGCCGGCCCAGGAGGGATCCGTCTTGGAGCAGGCGGACTCTGCCGGGGCTTCGCGTGTGGCGTGTGAGAGAGAATCACGAGAACCGAGGGTGGTACGGAGAACGGGGAGGCCATCCCCGAGTTGGGCAGAGGGTCCGGACCAAGCGGCCCCCCGGGGCCCAGGGGAAGGGGCGGGTGGGAGTGGCCGGCCGAGCCCGGCCTCCCCGGGGCCGCGCTTACTGTCCTCAGGTTCCTCTTCTTCAGCCTTCGCGCTTTTGTGCATTTCACAAGCGCTCTGGTCACAGCTCTCACCGCCAGCTTGTGGCACCGATTCTTCCTTCCCCGGAAGTGCTGGGTCAAGAAACGGAAGGGAGGGTTGTCAGCGCGGCCCGCAGGCTCCACGGCCCGCCTGCGCGCTCCGCGCCGGGAGGAGACGGCTCACCCGCGCGTGCTGCAGCACCTCCTGGACCCGCCAGTAGCGGTCAGTGAGGCGGCTCCGCAGCCAGAGCTGCGCGGTGAGGAAGACCATGGCGCCCGCCGGCCGGCCTCTCCGCTCCGCCGCGCACGCGCCGCGCCGCGCCGCCTGCAGCGGAAGCGGTGGCGGCGCCCGAGCGCTTCCGGGTCAGCGGCCCGGCGAGGACTTCCGGGGCGAGGGGAGTCTCGTGGCGCGGTCCCTTGCGCGGCTGGTCCGAGGCGGCGGGGCTCGGGCGGGCTGCTGCGGAGCGCCGTGTCCGGAGGCTGGCTGCACCTGCGGGGGTGGGGCTCGCAGTCTGGAGAGCGTAGCGGGTCAGGCGCGGTAGGTACGGCGGAGGAAGGAAACACCAGCGGTTCCGTTCGTCCGAGATGCCCAGGGTACGCCGGCCCGCAGAGGGCAGCGGGCGGGAGGGCTGCCAGCGGGCACGGGTGTGATGGAGGTTCTGCAACAGGACACTGCTGAGGGCTGCCTAACGTTGTGAAGATGCTAAACACCATCGAATTGTACGCTTTGAAATGGCCAGAACGGGTACTCGCTTCGGCAGCAGTTACACAAAATGGAAATGATCGAATGGTAAATTTTATGTGTTTTACCACCTTATCGCTATATTACCATGATAACGAAGTGGGGGGCAGAATGGGAGAGTGCACTTTCTTTGTCACTTTTTAAATTACAGAAAAGTTGCAAGACTACTTCATGGAACTCCCCAGTGCACTTTACCCAATAGCACCAATTGTTTACATTGTTTAAAAAGATTTTATTTCTGTATTTGACAGAGCACAAGCTGGGGGAGCTGCAGGCAGAGGGAGAAGCAGGCTCCCCACCAAGCGGGGAGCCCGATGTGGGGCTCGATCCCAGGACCCTGAGATCATGACCTGAGCTGAAGGCAGATGCTTAACCGACTGAGCCACCCAGGTGCCCTTTACATTTTTTAAATTATTCTTCCTGTAAATGTTTATAAACTCAATAGTAGGGTTTTGGGTGTTTTTGTTTTTGTTTTCTGGACTATCTGCAAGGAGTTTGCAGATATTTAAATACTTAACTATATATTTCCTAAGAACAAGGACATGCTCATGCAAACCATAGTTAAACTATCAAAATTGGGAAGCTTAACATTAATGCTGTTATCTGACCTACAGTCTATATTCCAACTTTGTTAAATGTTCTTCCTTTTTTCTTTTTTTTTTTTTTTAATGGGCTCCACACAGGGGCCACACACTCAGGTCACCTGGGTGGCGCAGTCAGTTAAGTGTCCAACTCTTTTTTTTTTTTTTTAAGATTTTATTTATTTATTTGACAGAGAGCGAGAGCAGGAACACAAGCAGGGGGAGTGGGAGGGGGAGAAGCAGGCTTCCCGCCGAGCAGGGAGCCCAATGTGGGACTCGATCCCAGGACCCTGGGATCATGACCCGAGCCGGAGGCAGACACTTAACGACTGAGCCACCCAGGCGCCCAAGTGTCCAACTCTTGGTTTGGGCTCAGGTCCTGAACTTGGTGTTGTGAGATCCAGCCTTCTGTGGGGCTCCGCGCTCAGTGTGCAGTCCACTTGAGGATTCTCTCTCCCTCTCCCTCTGCTCCTCCGCTTATGGGCTCTCTCTCTCTCTAAAATAAATAAATAGGGGCGCCTGGGTGGCTCAGTCGGTTAAGCTCAGATCATGATCTTTGGGTCCTGAGATTAAGCCCGTGTTGGGCTCCCTGCTCAGCAGGGAGTCTGCTTATCCCTTTCCTTCTGCCCCTTCCCCCCCACCCCGCTCATGCTCTCTCTCAATCTCACTCACCCTTTCCCAAGTAAATAAAATCTAAAAGATAAATAAATAATAAAATATAAATAAAAGAATCACACACTCCACGGATTGAGCTAGCCAGGCACCCCTGTTGAATGTATTTTATTGCTCTTTTCCCTGTCCAGGATCATGCACTGCATTTAGTTCTGTCTAATTTTTAGTTTAATCCTCAACTTTTCTTTATCTTTCTTGACTCTGGATTTCTTGAAGAGCACAGGTTGTTTTGTAGGATGTCTGAATTTGAGTTTGTCTGATGTTTCCTCATTATTGGAATCAGTTATACATTTTCGGCAGAATACTACAGAAATTATATTGTGTCTTTGTCAGTGCATGCTATCACGATGGCAGCTTATTCCAACATGGGTGCTGTCAGCTTTGACCACTTGGTTAAGGTTTTCTTTACCAGGTTTCTCCACCGTTTTTATGCTTGTAAGTAATAAGTAGCTTGTAAAGAAATACCTTGTAACTCATTACAGGGGTTTCTGTAAGTAGACCCTGAGATAGAGGTAGGAATACAGAGGTGTTTTCCAGAGGGAGGAAGCAGTGATGTCCGGGTGGTTCAGTAGGTTTAGCCTCTGCCTTTGACTCTGGTTATGATCTCAGGGTCCTGGGATCGAGCTCTGTGTCAGGCTCCCTGCAGGGAGCCTGCTTCTCCCTCTCCCTCTGCCATTCCCCCTGCTTGTGCTCTCTCTCTCTCTCTGTCAAATAAATAAATAAAATCTTTAAAAAAAAAAAAAAAGGGAAGAAGTGGGATCAGACAGGGAGGGCCTCAGATAGGATGCAGATCAGACAACATGTCAGCTCACCCGGTACTTCTGAGCAAAGATTGCTATTAGAGATGCCTTGTGTTGGGCAGAAATGGGAGACCCCAGTAGCTTTGCCGTGCTCAGCCTGTGTCTGGAGCCACCAGGAGAAGCATACCATCCGGTGAGAGATTCCGCAGTGGACTTGAACCTGAATGGCGAGTGCAGTCTGGAATAGGTACCTAAGCAGCACCCCTCTATGGCCACGCACTTTGAGACAACATAAATATCCTGTTTCTCATCAAATTTGCATTCATTCATTGTTGATTTTCTAACCCCATCATTCTTCCCATACTTATTGGCATTCTACTTAAAGAAGAGCTTTCTCTTTTGGAGGGTACAATTTTAAATAGTGTTAGAGCATGCTCTGAGGGTGGTGTTGAGTGAAGAAGGAAGTGACTGAGGCAGGCAGATATCTGTGGGAATAGGCAGAGGGGTCAGCAAGTGCAAAGGACTAGAGGCAGGAGGACACCTGGTATGGTCAAGAATAGCAGGAAGGCCAGTGTAGGGGCGCCTGGGTGGCTCAGTCGTTAAGCGTCTGCCTTCGGCTCGGGTCACGGTCCCGGGGTCCTGGGATCGAGCCCCGCATCGAGCTCCCTGCTCCGCGGGAAGCCTGCTTCTCCCTCTCCCACTCCCCCTGCTTGTGTTCCCTCTCTCACTGTCTCTCTCTGGCAAATACATAAATAAAACCTTTAAAAAAAAAAAAGAAAAGAAAGGCCAGTGTGGTGGGAGTGAGGCAAATGAGAGTCCCATGGGCCCCTGAACCTCAGTACGCAAGTCAGAGGCCAGAGATGGAAACTGGTGAGGACTTTGATGTTCTGGTCACCATGCTGCATTTAGGCTTCCTCACAGCACGGTGGCTGCAAGGAAGCGATTCCGTACGTAGTGGCTGAAGGGCAAGGTGACGTGGATGCCTTATCGAGCCTCCTTGGCTCACCCTGGAGAGCCGCACAGCGTCATTTCAGCAGCCCAAATAGTCACAAAAGTTCAGTCCATGTCAAGAGGCAGAAACATGGACTCTAGTTCTAGATGAGAGTGTTCACATTAAAAATTAAACTGCCAGGGGCGCCTGGGCTCAGTCGGTTAAGTGTCTGTCTTCAGCTCAGGTCATGATCCTAGGGTCCTGGGATCGAGCCCCGTGTCGTTCTCCCTGCTCAGTGGGGAGCCTGCTTCTCCCTCTTCCTCTGCCTGCCGCTCCCCCTATGCTTGTGCTGTCTTTGTGTCAAATAAGTAAATAAAATCTTAAAAAAAAAACAAACCTGCTCATTGTTTTACCAGCAAAAAATAGGTTTATTTGAAAAAGGAAGAGAATTGCAATCCAGGACAAGCAAGCTACTGCAATACCAGGAGAACAACTAAAGGAGGATCTTTTATAAAGGAAAACAGAATTGGGAGGGGCAGTTGCAAACAAAAAGTTCACTGGAGTAAACTGAGAGTTTGAAATACAGTGACTTCTCATTGGCTAAATTGTGGCAAAAAGATTTTTATTTATTTATTTGAGAGAGAGAGAGAGACATCACAGACAGGGGTTTGGGGTAGAGGGAAATGTAGGCTCCCTGCAGGATTCAATCCCAGGACCCTGGCAATCATGAACTGAGCCAAAGGCAGATGCTTAACCAGCTGAGCCACCCAGGCACCCCCCCCACTCCCCCCCCCCAAGCTGTGGCTGTCTCTCATTGGCTAAGTTGTGACAGTCTCTCATTGGCTAAGTTGTGACTGTCTCTCATTGGCTAAGTTGTGGCTGTCTCTCATTGGCTAAGTTGTGGCTGTCTCTCATTGGCTAAGTTGTGGCTGTCTCATTGGCTAAGTTCTGACAGTCTCTCATTGGCTAAGTTGTGGCTGTCTCTCATTGGCTAAGTTGTGACAGTCTCTCATTGGCTAAGTTGTGACTGTCTCTCATTGGCTAAGTTGTGACAGTCTCTCATTGGCTAAGTTGTGACTGTCTCTCATTGGCTAAGTTGTGACAGTCTCTCATTGGCTAAGTTGTGACTGTCTCTCATTGGCTAAGTTGTGGCTGTCTCTCATTGGCTAAGTTGTGGCTGTCTCATTGGCTAAGTTCTGACAGTCTCTCATTGGCTAAGTTGTGGCTGTCTCTCATTGGCTAAGTTCTGACAGTCTCTCATTGGCTAAGTTGTGGCTGTCTCTCATTGGCTAAGTTCTGACAGTCTCTCATTGGCTAAGTTGTGGCTGTTTCTTAGGCTGAACTGTTGCTGGGCAGATGAGGAAAGCCTTTCTTCCTCCTGCTGGGGTAGTGAAGTAACATCCACCTGCAGAGTCCCTCTCTTCTTGTTGGGTCAGCAGTTGATGAGGAGTGGTAGGGCCTGAGAGCGCCCCCCACCCCCCACCCCCGCCCCAAACCTCCCAACTACATTTTAGTGAGGCTGTTGCTAATTTTCACAGGAGGACATAGAGATCACATTGTAGAAAGAGCATGTGAGCTGGGTGAGGTCCCTGGGGCATCTGAACAATACAATATCCCACATTTGGTTTTCGCTTTCATTAAATGAGGAGTCATTGGGGGCATTTTGAGCAGGAGAGTAGCATCATCCAACTTATTAAATAAGCTTATAGCTGCTGTTTTGGGAAGACTGCAGAGAGGCAAGGGCTCAAGCAGGGAGACCAGTTAGGGTGGAAGCTGGCTTGGCTGTGGCAACATTACATTCCAGGCAAAGCTGACAGTGGCTTGGACCATGGTAGACCCAGTGGAGGAGGTGAGAAGCAGCTGGGTGCTGGGTATGCTCTGTGCTGGCCAGCTGGTGTAGGGCCATCCGGCACCTTTGAAGACCATTCTCACTGAGGATGTCACTGCAGCCCTCACCTTTCCCCCCGTCTCATCCCGTGTGTCTGCTCTCCCCATGGAATAAAAGGTCTAACACCCACCCCCCCAACCCAGGTCTGGGTCTCACTAGGAGTCACTGTTATCCCCCCTCTCTGACCTCCCACGTCCAACTGTCAGCAAGTCCGAAGGGCTCTGCCCTCAGAGTCAGCCCGATTCTGCTTACCCCAACCCCTGCTGCTAAGGTGCCACCATCTCCCTGGTTTCCCTGGACCTCCCTTCCCCAGGTGCCATCTGCTGTGTATTTGGCAGATTCCTGAGCAGATCAGACCATGTCACAGTCACACAAAGGCTTCCTCAAGGCTTCCTGTTACCCTGGATGTAAATCCAAGCATTTCCATGGCCCGTGGGCTGAGGAGCTAATTTGGCACAACTCGCACTTTCGAAAAACGAAATTTGTCTCATAAAGCCGTTCTCTGAGAAAAACTACAGTTTTAAATTGAATAATGGTGATGATTTTCTATGAGGATCCAGAGGTGGGTCATCAGAAACAGCTGTTCCTCTGTTTCAGTTGTGCCACAGGAGTTTTAATTTATGGAGCTGGCTGAGTGATGACAGGGACAGGCTGACATCATTGAAAGGACATGTCTTACCACCTGCATTTCCTGAGAGGAGAGGACATGCCATGCCTTACAGAGCCCCAGAGAGAGGCACCAGTGTTCTCTGGAGGCAGAAGCAGGAAGGAGTGGAAAGCTCGGGCCAGAGCCTTTACTGGGGTTCCCACAGGAAAGACAAGGCAGGGCAAGGGAAACAGTTTAGGACTGGCTTATCTGAGAATCCCAGTGGTCCTCGGTGCATAGGGCCTGTCCCTAGTTGTCTGGTACCTGACCCTAGATAGTTCAGGACAGGGGGAATATCAACTGGGTGTGTGAGAGATAAGACAGCAGTTCTGAGGGCACCGGGGTGGCTCAGATGGTTAAGCGTCTGCCTTCGGCTCAGGTCATGATCCCAGGGTCCTGGGATCAAGTCCTGCATCGGGCTCCCTGCTCTGCGGGGAGCCTGCTTCTCCCTCTCCTCCCCACTTGTGCTCTCTATCTCACTATCTCTGTCTCTCTCTCAAATAAATAAAATCTAAAAAAAATTAAAAAAAAAAACAAGACAACAGTTCTGCGAGTGGGCCCTGGATCACAGGGGAGATGTAAACAACTGTGGCCATTAGTTTGGCCCTGTGATAAATGGATGCCAACAGACAAATCCTGGATATAACAAAACACAGAAAGAACATCCCCATGTACAGCGAGAGCAGCTGAGGGTGACAACCCCACAGTGGACACAAGGGAGACTGTCAGGTTTTAGTCAAATCTATTGCCACGACCTAGTCTCTCTGCTAAAGAGTGTGGAGAAGGCTAGAGCTGCAGGGGTGATGTGCCCCAAGGGGGCAGTGGGGCAGTCCCAGGTCCATTACTGGAGCTCAAGCCACTGCCCCCTTTTCTTCTGGGAACCTCTCAGCTGCCCTCCCCTCAGGCAGGCAGCCTCAGTCCAGAATAGAGGAGCCTGGCACACTCTGAAGGCTGTGGAAGCCCAAAGACTTCTGTCCAGCTCAGGGCCTCTGGGGCTCTGTGCCCCTCCCACTCCTGCTCTCGGCAAAGGGTGGGCAGTACCTGGGGCAGACCCCCTCGGACACCAGGTCCTGGACCGCTTCACCCCATTGTGTCCTCAGGGTGAGGCTAGCCCCTCGGCTCAGCAAAAGCTCTGCGGTGGGGCCATGGCCATGCTCCGTGGCAAGGTGTAGGGGGGGTCTTGTGGAGCCATCCAGCAGCATTGACCTGCGCTCCCCTGTCTAGGAGGTGGCTGGCGACCTCTGCGTGGCCTCCCCGAGCAGCATGGTGTAGGGGTGTGAGGCCCAATGAGTCTCGAGCATCCACCTCTGCTCCCCAGGCTGCTAGCCGCTGGACAGCAGGTAGATGTCCCCCAGCAGCAGCCCTGTGGAGTGCAGAGCGACTGTGCCTGTCCTTGAGGCTGGGGTCTGCCCCATGGTCAAGCAGCACCTCCATGTCCTAGGAGAGGAGCGAGGGAGAGGACAGAGGCTGGCCTCCCCCACCCAACAGCCTCTTTCTCAGTGCTGCTTCCCTGTTGGGTAAAAATGAGCCCGCACCTCTGCCACCCAGGGGGGCGACTCCACTCCAAGACAACCACTTGTCCTAAACATTCTCAGATAAAATCCAAGACTAAGCAGTCCTCGGCCTCCCTTCCCACGCCTAGGGGCTCGCTGGGCTCAAGGACAGCCCTGGTGCTCGCTGTGTATTTGTTGCTGCCCGTCAGCAGGATAAAGTACGAATGCCCGGCCAGGCATCCTCACCGGCCTTCCAAGAGAGGTTACAAACGGGAGAAACGGTCAAGGGGCCCCTGGCAGCCAGGCCCTCCCAGCCACCCTCCCACCCTCCAGTTTCCCTCCACCCGTCCAAGGGGCCCACCTGTCCGCTCCCTCCCCGCGGCCAGGCCGGGACGTACCTGCCTGCGGCCCAGGCTCGCCGCTATGCCGAGCGCCGTGGTCCCCATGCTGTCCCGGGCGTCCACGCGCGCCCCGCGAGCTAGGAGGAGGCGTAGCGCCGCCGTGCGCCCGGCCGCGGCTGCCACCATCAGGGCGCCGTCCAGGCCCGCGCCATCCGCCGCCAGCAGCTCCAGCACCGGCAGCCGGCCGCCCGCGGCCGCCCAGTGTGCCGCCGTCCAGCCGCGCGCATCCGCCGCCGTGGGACCTGGTCCTGGCGCGCCCAACAGGCGCCCGGCCAGCAGCGTGCGGCCCAGCGCCGCGGCCCAGTGCAGCGGCGTGAGGCCGGCCCCCGAGCGCGCCGCCGCTGGGGCCCCATGCTGCAGAAGGAGCTCGGCCACCCGCGAGTGTCCGTGCCAGGCGGCCTCGTGGAGTGGCGTGCGCCCCGCTCGGTCGGCAGCTCCCACCGCGGCCCCGCGCTGCAGCAGGAGTCGCACCAGCGGCACATGGCCGAGCAGCACGGCCAGGTGGAGGGGTGTCCTGCCCGTGTGGTCCCTGTGGGCAGCGAGGGTGGCATGGACTAGGGCAGGAGCGCCAGTAGAGGGGCCCTTGCTGCCCTGCCCAGAGAAAGGACCCCTGCCAGCTCCGCCCTGGTGAAGACTCTTGGTCCAGCCCTGGGGCTCACCTCTCCTCCACACTGGCCCCTTGACGCAGTAGCTTTGTTGCCAGGCCCAGGTGACCCCTCCACACAGCTTGCAGCAGGAGCCCCCAGGCTTGCGGGGCACTGGGGCCCTCTGTCCTGGCTTCCAGGGCCTCCTCTGAGCCCAGCTCCACCCACCGAAGTTCCTGCTCAGCCCCTGCCTCTGTCATGTCTTGCTCCCCTGGCTGGGAGCTCTCGGAGTCCATCTGGGGAGAACAGGAATCCCTCATGGATACTGGAGGCCCCTGGCCATCCCCAGCCCATGTGTCCCCAGCCAATATGAACTGCCCCCCCCCCATCTCCTCAGGGGACCCGACTACCACTGAGCCTTCTGGAGGGTTTAACTCCTAGTTACCCCAAGGGGGAGTCCACCCTGGGGCTCTGTCCTCCAGTTGGGGGTCCTCTCCACGTGGTTCCCGGGCAAGCCACAGCCTGGTAGCCCTCTCATGGAGGCCTTTTGAAAGTGTGGAGGTGGGGTGGGGCTGTCTGCTTCCAGAGGGCTAGAAGGCTGGGACTGCAGCCGTGGGGTAGGGAGAGCAGTGCAGCCTCCTGGGCCAGGCACTGTTTACCCAGCAACTTAAAGGGACACCCTGTGGGCTGGCAACAGCCCCTGCCCCAGCACCTTTCCTCCCCTGCCAACTGCCAGGGCTCCTGGCTTGGCCTCCCTCCTGGGAGACAAAGGCCAGGCAGGCAGAAACAGGCCCACAGCCTTTGACGTGCCATGACTTGCCCCCGAGAGGCACACACGTGCCTTCCCCTGGGTCCCTCCCTCAGGCCCTGCTCCTCACCCCCACTCCTGTCCCTGCTGGGGCTGGAGCTTGGCTTCTCTCCTGATTCCAGGCTGGGGAGATGAACAGGGTAAATGGGACCCCTCCCCCACAAGCAGATGCCACGCCAGGACAGAAGATTTACCATGGATGCCAGGCAACCTGGGTGACCCTATGGAGAGTAGGAAGCCCCTTGGGGTAGGTTGAGGCAACTCAGCAGAGGCTGTGAAAGGGGCAGAGCCCTGCCTGAACACTGGAAGGAGGGAGTCAGGCAAAGAGAGGAGAGCCAAGTCTAGAGGAAGGGAAGTGGTACTTCAGAAGGGGACCTGAGGGCGCCTGGGTGGCTCAGTTGGTTAAGCGACTGCCTTCGGCTCAGGTCATGATCCTGGAGTCCCGGGATCAAGTCCCGCGTCGGGCTCCCTGCTCGGCGGGGAGTCTGCTTTGCCCTCTGACCCTCCCCCCTCTCATGTGCTCTTCTCATTCTCTCTCTCTCAAATAAATAAATAAAATCTTTAAAAAAAAAAAAAAAGAAGGGGGCCTGAGTAAGGCCTCCAGGATTGGTCACCTGGATTCTGGGGCCCTGACCCTGAGGGTACCTTACCATCCCCAGTCTCTGGGTAAGGCCACCTGTCCAGAACCCAGATAGGAGAAGGGGGTATAGCCATCCCCTGCAGCCTGCCTCTGTCCAGCTGCCTCTTGTCACTGTCCGCTGGGAGGCAACATGGCTTTGGGTGGTCATGCCTTTCCCAGCCCCCTCAGCCCCCCATCCCCGCACACACATTCGCAGGGATGAGGTGTCCTGAAGGCCCTGCCCTGTCACACAACACACACACACACACCCGCTCTAGAGGGGCAGGTGAACCTTGACCTTTCCCCCACCTCCCTAGAGGCAGCCTTTCCAGGTGCCAGATCCAGAGGGTGGGTCTCTGGCAAGGGGCTGAGTGGCCCCATCTCACCCCTAAGCCACATGGACTCTATCCATGAGCCTCAGTCACTCTGTTCAAATGTCACCTCCCCGGGGTGCCTGGGTGGCTCAGTCATTAAGCGTCTGCCTTCCGCTCAGGTCGTGATCCCAGGGTCCTGAGATTGAGCCCCGCATCGGGCTCCCTGCTCAGCGGAGAGCCTGCTTCTCCCTCTGCTGCTCACCCTGCTTGTGCGCTGTCTCTTTGTGTCAAATATAATTAATTAATTAAAATTAAATGAAGGTTTTTACTTATTTGTCAGAGAGCGGGAGCACAAGCAGGGAGAGCGGCAGGCAGGGGGAGAAGCAGGGGGGAGGCTCCCTGCTCCCCCCCCCCCCCCCCCCCTGCCGAGCAGGGAGCCCAACACGGGACTCGATTCCAGAATCCTGGGATCACCTGATCCAAAGGCAGACGCCCAACCGACTGAGCCACCCAGGCGTCCCAAGTATCTACTCTATTTTTAAATGCTTGCCTTCCTCTTCTAGAATGAAAGCTCCATGAGGACACACCACACAGGCTGACAGATTCAGCGGGTAAGGAAGCAACATGATCTGGGTGGATGAGCACAATTTACGACCTAAGTAGCCAGCAAAAGCAAGAGAGCAAAGCTGTCCGTTCCCTGACTCCCTTGACAACGGCAGGGGTGGGGGTGGGGGGACAGAGGGGCTGTTGCTGCGACTTCCATGCTTCACTGCGCCCTGGGAGGCCCAAGGGAAACTCTCCTAGCTCCTGAGAGCCAGGGAAGCCTAGAAACCGCCTTCCTGGAGGCAGAAGTCCGTGAGAGCCAGCTGCGTGGCCGTTCTCCCCCTTCTGCCACAGCCTGGAGTGTGGCAGCTCACTCAGCTATGGAACCATGCAGGCCTGTCAGGGCACCCACACAGAGCAGAGGCCCACACTGGCCCCCTTTACCATTGAGTCCACAGAGACCGGAGCAGTCCTGGCACACTGAGGGAGCTCAGCGAGTGTTGACTGCATGAGCAAATGAATGCAAGAGGGACCTGAGCAGGGCGCCTGGGTGGCTCAGTCGGTTGAGCGACTGCCTTCAGCTCAGGTCATGATCCCAGGGTCCTGGGATCGAGCCCCGCGTCGGGCTCCCTGCTCGGCGGGAAGCCTGCTTCTCCCTCTCCCACTCCCCCTGCTTGTGTTCCCTCTCTCGCTGTGTCTCTCTCTGTCAAATAAATAAATAAATAATCTTAAAAAAAAAAAAAAAAAAAGAGGGACCTGAGCAGAGACTGGAGCTTAGGAGATTAGACCGGCACCCTCTCCACCTGAACTGTGCATCTGAACATTATCATTTGCACCTGGCCACCTGTCCAGGTGCAAATGATAGGTCCGTATCATTTTCTGCCCTAAGTTCATTATCTGAGTAAATCAGCAGCTACTATGAGACCTGGATACGTGTGTGCCGGTGAAAATTAAATCGTGTATGTGTGTCGGGCAACAGGGCTTGGCATGTGCTGCAGGGAGCCTCAGCTCACGTCCTCACAGGGACCTGACTTAGGCTTGCGTTCCTTAAACCAGCTGTGCACGATCGCTGCCATCCCCCATTCGGATGTGTCTGAAGGGAATTTACGCGCTGGAAAATGTTAGAAGAAAAGGTGGACGTGATAAAGCCAATGGTGGGAGAAGGTGTGAAAGGGAGACGTTCGTATCTGATGCCGCACAGCTTGTTCATTTAGCTCACAGGCAACCTACTCCAAGTGTCAGCTAGTTATGTAAGTGGTGTTTAAAGTGCCAAGTGCTTCTCTCTGTCAAATAAATAAAATCTTTAAAAAAAATAAATAAGATGCCAAGTGCTATGCAAGAAAAACCTAACATTTGATAGGAGTTAAGAGCATTTCAGTAATATTTGGGGAAATTAGTTGGGGTTTACGGAAGATCGGGGAATGCTTTCTCCCTGGTTGAAATAACAGAGTGCATGCTCCCACTGTTTTCAGGATGGATGAGACTCCAACACAAAGGATGCTTGTCATCGTAGCTGCTATTATTGAGCACCTAGTGTGTGCTGAGTCCTGCAGTAAACACTTCACATGCATTGCCCACATGCCCTCTCAACAGCCCTACAGTCCAGGCACCCAGTGTTTTCCCTGTTTTACTGAGACTCAGAAAGGCCGGGTTTGGGGATGAGAGCACCAGCAGGGACTAAGGCGGGGAAGTGTGGTGAGTGGCCATCTCAACACGGCAGCAACTGTCAAGACCTATGAAATGAAGTCGTTGTGTGGGGGAGCGGGAAGCGGGGCAGAGGGCGGGACCAGGAGGGAGGAGGGCCCCAGTGCCAGGACAGCTGTGCAAGCCCTGACCAGAACACACAGGAGCTGGATGGGGAGACTGACCAGGGCTGGAGCTGCAGTCGCCTGGCAGAGAGAGGCCCAGCCTGGCAACAGGGGAAACTGAGGCAGCGGTGTGGCCCTGGAGACCGAGGGTCAGAGCTGGACCTACTGGGGCCAGGGTGCTGTCCTCCGTCTGGGTCCACAATGGTTGCTGGGGTCTGGGTGGGAGTCTGACCTGGGGACCTAGGTCCTGCCGTCTGACTACCTCTGGGAACCCACCGGGCCTGTTGCCCGGAGAACATGAGTGAACAGGAGAAGGAGACGGAGGAGGATGAGGGAGGGGGCGCTTCTGACACAGCACCCATGCTGCCAGGAAGACTTCCTGACTGCCAGGCCTCAGCCCTGATGTCCCCAGGGTGGGTAGGCCTGGCTGTCCAAGGCTTCGGGACCCTGTTGCTGCCTGGCCAGGCCCTGGCGGGGCTCCTGCTGCACCTGCTGTTGCCCGCCGCCGTGTTCCTGATGGTGCTGCTGCCGGCGGCGGCCGTCGTGTACCTGGGATTCCTGTGCCACTCAAGGGTGAGCTAAACCCGGGGGGGGGGGGGGGGGGGGGGGGCTCCTGCAGAAGCGCAGGGCCCTGGGGCTGTAGGTGAGTCTCACCCTTTCAACATGGCCCCCTTGTCCCCAGAGACATATGTGCCCCTCCCTGGAAAGCCCCTTCTTCTGCCAAGCACCCCCCCCCCCAGCCACAGCAAAAGAAGGGCTTTTGTTTGTCGCTGGAGCTGACAGCTCCCTCCCCTTGCGAGGCCGCCTAGCCTTGTACCAAGGGCCACCAGGGCCTGGACAGCTGGGCATGGTGGGAAGAGGAGGGGCGTTCCAGGACGAGATAAAGCCAATGGTGGGAGAAGGTGTGGTATTGCCCAAGTTCTCCAGTGCACCACCCCTGCCCGTCCCCGCGGCGCCTCGGAGACGCCTCCTGCCCTGGACTGGCTTTCCCCGTGTGGAACGGGCTATGGCTTGGTCTCAGGAAGGGGCGCGTGGCAGACGTGCCCCGGGTCCTCCTTCTGTAGGCATGAGGCGGGGGCGGGGGAGAGAAGGTGGCGCCATCGGAGAGCGGCACGGGTAGGACGCGAGGTCAGATGCCAACACAGGGAAGGGCCCCAGGAGAGCACAGACGGGAGGAAAGCCGGGATGGGACAAACGGGGAACAAGTTTCTGAGCCTCCCCTCAAAGGACTCCTGCTCCGGCCATTTGCCGCTCGGGCCGCGGATCTCCCACTCTCGACTCAGAAGCGCCGGGCCCCAGCCAGCCCCAGCCTGCGCGCCCGCCGCACCTCAGACCCGCGCCCAGGCCCCACCCCGCAGGGTCGCACCGACCACGCGCCCCGCCGGCCCCACCTACTCCCGCCCCCAGGCCGCTGCCGGCCCTGCCTGACCGCTCGCCTCGCCCCCAGGTTCACCCGGCACCCCGCCCCGCGTGCCGCGCGCTCCTCTCGGACAGAGGCTCCGCGGCGCTCATCGTCCTCGGCCTCCTCTCGCTGCCTCCGCTGCTCGTGCTCGCCTCGGCCGCCCGCACCCGCCTGGCCCGGCGCCTCCTCACGCTGCTGCCCCCAGCTTGGACCCCTGGGCCCCGCCGCCACCCGGGGCTCAGCGACCGTGGGCGAGCGGGACACCACGCCGACGGGGAGGAGCAGCTCTGCGCCTGGGTGTGAGCCCCCGAGGCCTCTCCAAAGGACAAGAATCCCAAATCCGGGAAGGCCCCCGAACTCCTCCCCCGCCCCCTAAGAGAGCCCAGGCCTGCGAGCTCGGGGTCTGCGTCCAGGTTCTGTCCTCCAAAATCGCGGGCGTACCTCGGGGCTTCGTACGCAGTGCTTCGAGTGGCCGCGAGATGGCACCAGACTCCCCCGAACCGAGGTCCCCCCTTCCGCAAGGTCTCCCCACCCCCGCGGTCCCCTCTGATGCGGAGGGGCTGGGAAGCCCCCAGGGAGGAGGGAGAGGCCTCTCAGAGAAGGGGCGCCCGGCCAGGCGCAGAGAAAGGGGGCCTCCCTGGCTTCTGTCCGCAGACCTGCGGGCCCCTTGTGTGGTCAGTCAGAGGGCCTCCCGAGGGTTCCAGAAGTGGCGAGACTTGCCCGGGAAGAACATGATTCCAGAAGCTCAGCAATGGCCAGCAGCCCCAGGCCTTGCAGGGCTCAGCCTGGGATGGGGTTGCGGGCCCAGCTTGTGACCCGGGCTGGCATCTAGACAGGTTGGACAGGTTAACTCAAGTCTGTTCTCTGGATAATTTTAAGATCTTCTGTCTTTTCCCATCTTTGGCTTTAAGCATGTTTCTAGTTGTGGGTATGTTCTTATTCATCCATTTGGTATATACGGTGTTTCCTGTTCCTACAGATCCCTATCCTTCATCAGTTCTGGAGAATTCTCAACCGTTACCTCTCCAAGTTGGCCTCCCGTTCATTCTTTTTTGGGAGCATCTCTTCCCCTTCGCTCCCAGTGTCCGCTGGCCTCTCTTTTGTATTTCTGTCTCCCCAACTCTGTGCTGCATTCTGGGCAATTTCTTCCATCTTCTTCAGGTTTCACTAATTATTTGATTGTGTCTAATTTGCCAATTAATGTGTTCGTTTAATTTTAAGTTATTATCATACCTAAAAGTTATACTTGTTTCTTATTCAAATCTCATCATTTTTGATGGTCTCCGTGCATGTTCGATTTTTGGATCCCAGTTTTGCTTCAATTTCTTGAGCATTTCACATATAGTTATTTTATATTCTGTACCTAAAAATTCCAGTTTCTTACTCTTTGGGGGAGGGTGTCCAAATCTATTATTTGTTGTTTCTGATGATTCTCACTAATAGTATATTGTTTCTTTGAAGGGATGCTCATTTCACACTGTCACCCCATACCTGTGAACATCCTGAGGACACATCCCTCCGGGAAGGATTCCCTCTGCAAGGCATGCCCTACCTGGGCCCTGCTCGGGTCCTGTGTGGGCTTTCATAATTGCAAGTTCGCCTCTCCATCCCTGTGTAGAGGGGCCTCCCTGCTGTCCCACCTGTTTCCTTTCATCTTCCTGGGTTTCTGTTCATTACCCTTCTGTTTCTTTCTTTATTTATTCTTAGTGTTTTTAATTTTGGGGGAGCCTTGAAGATATTTACTTCCTTGTAAGCCCAGCAGTGTATTAAAAATGTATTTCTTGGGCGCCTGGGTGGCTCAGTCATTAAGCGTCTGCCTTCGGCTCAGGTCATGGTCCCAGGGTCCTGGGATCGAGGCCCACATCGGGCTCCCTGCTCAGTGGGAAGCCTGCTTCTCCTTCTCCCACTCCCCCTGCTTGTGTTCCCTCTCTCACTGTCTCTCTCTCTCTGTCAAATAAAATCTTAAAAAAAAAAAAGTCATATGCTCTACCAACTTGAGCCAGTCAGGTGCCCCAAGAAATACATTTTTTTTTTTTTAAGATTTTATTTATTTATTTGACAGAGAGAGAGAGAGACAGTGAGAGAGGGAACACAAGCAGGGGGAGTGGGAGAGGGAGAAACAGGCCTCCCGCTGAGCAGGGAGCCCGATGCGGGGCTCCATCCCAGGACTCTGGGATCATGACCTGAGCTGAAAGCAGACACTTAATGACTGAGCCACCCAGGCGCCCCCAGATTATTTTTTTTACAAAGGTATTTGCTTTTATTTATTTTTTTAAAAGATTTTATTTATTTGAGAGAGATTGAGATAGAGAGAGAGAGCACAAGCTAGAGGGAGGAGCATGCTCCCTGCTGAGCAGAGAGCCTGACTTGGCCCATCCCAGGACCTGAGCCAAAGGCAAACACTTTACCAACTGAACCAACCAGGTGCCCCCAAATTACTTTAAAAAAAACCAAAAATGTGTTTCTTGTAATTTGTCCAGAATTAGGGGTAAATGAAAGGCCTCTTAAAGGATCTAGCATACTATTTTGCCATCAGGGCTCTGTGTATGACCAGCAGGATCAGGACTCAGATGTGCCCAAAGATCAGGGCTCAGGGCTCAGGCTCATTCTGTGGCCTTGAGCAGACCCGGTGTGTGGCTGGCTCAGATCCCACAGGAGTTCTTGGGGTTTTCCATTTGTCTGCGCCCAGTCAGACAGGAGCCTGGCTGGCCGCCCAGCGCCCAAGGATATCTTCCCCTGGTCTAAAGCCGCCTTCCTTCCCCTCCTGCCCAAGGTTGGGCAGGCTCTGGCCAGGCTTCGAAGATGAGGACTCTCCTGAGGATCCGCCTGGCCCCAGAGTCATCAAAACAACAGCTGGGCCTGATGTGGGGGGAGGCCTTGGTGGGGAGCTCAGCTGCCAGAGCCTCAAGGGTTCCTAAGGTGTGTCCCAATTTCCCAGGCCTGCCCCGGGGCCCTGCATGGCCTCTAGCTGACCCCAGGGATGACCTGCTTTCAGCCCCAGCTCTGCCCCACCCACTCACAAAAGGAGCACCTGTGGGGGGCCGTAGGGGGTTAACAGAAGGGGCCTATTGGTCTGCTTTTAGAGGGCCAGTCAGGAAAGTCAAGGGCAGAAGCACTGAGTTACTGGTGGGGCAGGCAGAAATCTCTACTTTGGGCAACAAATGCTTTTTTCCCAGGTGCCCAGGCCCCTAGCCTGTAAGTGTGCCTGGTCATGGGGGGGTCTCCAGAGTGCATGTTTGTGTGTGTGTGTGCACTGCGTGTTTGTGTGCATGCATCCCTCTGCTTCCCCTAACACTCCAGGCAGAGACACTGTCCCAACCCCACAGATGGGGAGATTAGCTCTGTAAGGTTCCTTGACCTGCCTGAGGTCATTTATTCATTCACAAAGTATTTCCTGGGATGGGAGCTCAGGTGTCTGCAGGCGCACCCTCAGACACTGGTGGCAGCTAGTAGGCGTCCAGGAGATTCGGCCAGTTCATCCCCCCCAGCCACCCACCTGGTGTAAGCCCTGCCCCCATCCAGGCATGCGGGCTAGGCAAGGGGTGCTGGACTGCAGCTGAGCTGGGTGGGTGAATTGAGTAGCAATAGGCAGTGCCTAGTGCTGGCTCTGAGGGCTGAGTTCCTCCCCCCTGCCCCCTGGGCCCTACCCTGACCTCTGGGGAGCCCCCCACCAAGGTGTTGACACTGGTCTGTTCCTCCCTAGTCTCTACTTACCTATCCCAACTGGTCTGGACCCTGCCTGGGGCTGGGGCTGGGTGTGATGATCATCTCCCTGTTACAGAAGTTTCCAGCAGAGGGAACCAGAGCAGGGGTCCCACCTCAGGAGGGGCACACTATTCAGGTCTCTGCACAGGCCAAAAACGGGTCTGGATGCTGGCCTCCCTTTCTGCCTCCCGCCCCCTGTCCATTAGGATCTACCTAAGACAGCAGCTACCTAGGGGCCCCTTAGACACCTGGCATCAGCCCCCTGGCATCACCCTGCCCCTGCACACACCACGGGCCCTTGCCTCGCCCATGAAAACCCCACAACCGGCCCCACCCCCTCTGCCCCCCAGGCCTCCTTACTGTCCCGACACACCGGCCAGCTTCCACCCTCAGGTTTTGGCACTTCCTGTAGCTCGTGCCCACCTGGTCTGACATGGCCTCACCCTTGTCAGGGAAAATAAGTAGACCCACATCTTGGCAAGCACACCACTGCTTGCCCCCCATCCAGCCTGGCAGCCCTCAGAGGACAGGGTGTCTGCATGTCCCCAGAGCAGAATCTGGTATGTGGCTGACCGCAGCAGAGACCTGATGGGATGAATGCAGACAGGGTGGTACCCACCCCACACCCAGGCTGCCCACCCTGCTGTTGCCAGCTCTGGGATCACAGGGGGCAGGCCTGGGCTCCTGGGGAGTGAGCTAACAGGACCTCCAGACCCTCAGGCCTGGTCCCTTAGGTGCTGGCATGTCCCTGACCACAAACAGGCAGGTGGAGTCTAGAAGGACACGTGGGTGTGGCAGCTGGGTGGGTGGCAGAAGGGGCCTCTGGGCCCTGCTGCTCTGGCCGCCCCCTCCCTCTGCCCCCCTTACTGTTGTGGGTGGGTTCTGGGGGCCTCCGGCTTGCCCCACACCCTGCCTCAGGACCACAGCAACCCCTGTTCCTGTTTCTGTGTCCCCCAGCACGTGCATGGTTGCATATGTAGGTACAAACACATAAAAAAACAGCGGCACAGGGCACCCCACCGGGTGAAGGTGGGGACCCACACTGCTCTGCCCCTCCGGCCCAGAATGTCCTCAGGCTGGGGTCAGAGGCCCCGGGAGCTGCCCTTTTCCCTAGGGTCAACATGACCACAGTGAGCTAGGGACAAAAGGCCCTTCTTCTCTGCAGAGGCCCTGACTGTGCGGAGGAGGGAGTGTTCCTGTGGACCCTGTGGGGGCAGGGGCAGTGCCTTCAGAGAGCAATGTCCCTGGGTTTCACGGAACCCCCTCCACCTGCCTGTGAAGCAGCGGGTGGGGTGGGCCAGTGCCAGGAAGTGATGCTCTGGGGCTCTCAGACTGGGCCAAGGCAGGGGCTGGACCTGGGGGAGGGAGAGGGCGGGTGGGCAGGGCCTGCTGTATCCTGGCTGCCTCTGTCCTTCTCAACCCCCCCAGCCTCCCAGCCTGTCTTTCTTCTGAGAGGAGGCTTCCGGACAATTATATTTGTGCTTCCTCTGGCGTCTGCCTCAAGCGCAGCCATGACCCTGACTATTACACTCCTGGCTGACCCCCACGCTCCCTGGGGACCCTCCATCTGCCGGTGTCTCCCCCTGGGAAGTGCAGGACGCTGGGATGAGACTTGCCAGGATGCTGCAGCAGGAGAGCCTCAGGGCAGAGCAGGGGGCCAGGGGAGTACAGCCGACCAGATGGGGGGTGGGGGGCCTCTCCCAGGGGTCAGGTGAGAGCTCAGCTCAGCATGCGCAGCAGGAATGACGAGCAGAGCTGAGGAAGAGCTCTACCAGGGCTGGTAGCCGAGCTCAGCCAAGTCTGGGCAGAGGCCCTGGCAGGCCAGTCCTAAGACCGGGCCTCTCATTCTTTCTCTCTCTGATGGAGAGGCCGGGGGGAGGAGGGCGGCTGCTTCCTCGAGGGCCTGAGTCATGGCCAAGGAGACCCGCTCAGTTTTTCCAGAAGGGACGGAAACTTCCCTGTCAGCCCTGCTGCACAGGCCCAAGTGTGACTGGCCCGCCTGCTACATAGGAGTAGGGAGACAAGCAGGGGTAAAGCGCTGCCTTATCAGTGGGCAGTCCACCATGGCCCAGCTCCCTGCCCCTGGCAGCGGGTGCCCAGTGAGAGGGAGGATGAACCAAGGAGGGTTTGCACATGTTTACCTGGGTACCTCAACCCCAATGCCCCCTGCCCGGATCAGCTCTCAGCTGGTACCCCAGCCTGCCTGGCCATGGCCTCTACTCACTGTCCCCAGCAGCAGCAGCTGTCCTGGTCAGCCTGGTGTGCTCTGGGGCTGGGGGCCACACCAGGCCCCCCGGGAGGCACACCCTGGACTTCAGGGGCCCAAGCCCATTGCCGCCCACCCCCAACACCGGGGCTCAGGCGGAAGCACCAGGCAGTTTCTGGTCCCAGCAGAGGCCTGAGGTCTGTGGAGCTGAGCCAGCACCACCACTGCCAAGACTCCCTTCGAGGGGGTGGGGGCGGCGGGGACACAGTCCTCGCCTGTTCCTGCCCCAGCTCCTCCAGCTTGGCTGGGCCACTTCCTTTTTTAGGCAAAGTTGGAGCTCCGGCCTGTCTCACAGAGCGTCTCACCCTCACCTGCCATAAAGGGAGGAAGGAAAACCATTGAGTCCCATCCGCCCTTGCTGCTGAGCATCCTCCTGGGGAGGGGGTAAGGGAGGGGACATCCTGGCAGAGATGCCCCTGCCACCTTGCACCGGGGGACCTGTGTCCTCCCAGCTCCACAGAGTAGTGGCTGGGAGAAGGCAGTGGTCTTCTTATAGTAGTGAGAGACCTCAGGATGCCCGGGTGGCTCAGTTGGTGAAGCGCCTGCCTTCGGCTTGGGTCATGGTCCCGGGGGCCTGGGATCGAGCCCCGCATCGGGCTCCCTGCTCAGCGGGAAGCCTGCTTCTCCCTCTCCCACTCCCACTGCTTGTGTTCCCTCTCTCGCTGTCTCTCTCTGCCAAATAAATAAATAAAATCTTAAAAAAGAAAAGAAAAAGTAGTGAGAGACCTCATCTGGACCCTCAGCTCCTGCCCAAGGGGAGGGAATCTGCCCCAAGGCCTGAGTGGTCTCAGGATGCCCCTGCAGTCAGCCACCTCTGGTGCTAATGGGTCCCTCCAGAGGGCTGGGGGCCTGCCCTCGGTCCTGGAGTTGGATCTTGGGTCAAGCCCTGGGTCCCTCATTGGGCAGGGTGTATGGGGACAACAATAGTTCCAGCATGGTCACACTGGACAGGTCCTGAACCAGCTACTCCCAGCTCCTATATGCCTCTTCCTCCAAGAAGTCCGGTAGGGTGGGGGGCTTTGGGTCCCTCAAGAAGCTCCCCTTCAGGCCTCTGCCCCTCCCAATGTCCCATTTTCTAAGTGTCCAGCCCCCAATACCTACCCCTCTCTCAGCCCTGTGGTAGAGGTGAGTCCAGGGCCTGGGCCTTGCCAGGGTGGCCTTGTTCTCCGTGTCACCCCACCCCGTCGCACCCCTGGGTTTCCCTTGGGCCTGATTTCAGAGGCTCTTAGCACTCAGGGGTCACGGGCGGTGGGCCTGGGGATGGTCCAGCTCGATAGCTCCCTGCTCTGCTCCTGGCTGGGGGCAGGAGACAGTGCGGACCCCAAGCCTCCCAACCAGGAAAGAAAGCTGCAGTATCTGTGTCTGTGCACGCCCACGCGTGTGTGCCGCGGTCGCATCCCCGTGAGTGCTGCGTGTCGCAACCCGCCTGGGTCCCTCCGCGCGCGCGCCTCCCGCCTCCCGCCTCCCGGAGTCTGTGCGCCTCAGCACTCGGGGTGAGTGTGCACCGGGGGCGGGGCCTCGGGGACGGGGCCTCCCGGGGGCGGGGTCGGGTCCGGCCTGCGCGGCGGCGCGCCCTGCAGTCCCCGAGCGAGCGAGCGGCGAGCGGAGGCCGAGCGCGCCCCTTCCCGTCGCGCGATGCTGCCCTGGACGGCGCTCAGCCTGGCCCTGAGCCTGCGGCTGGCGCTGGCGCGGAGCGGCGCCGAACGTGGTGAGTGAGGCGGGCGGCGGGCTGGGCTCCAGCTCGGGCGGCGCCCCTACCCCCTGCTGCCTGCGCGGGGCAGTCTCTTTCCCTCCCGCGGCCCCGGGGTAGGGACGGCCGCAGGGCACCCCACCCACCTGCGGTGGGCGGACCCAGGTGCCTCAGGCGGCTAGGCGGGCGCCAGATGTTGGGGAGGGGGCTCTGGAAAGGAAGGGGGTGGTGTCTGTCGGGGAGGAGGTCCCTGCCTCAGTTTCCTTCTCCTGGGGATGACGCTTAGTAGAGGGATGGGATGGTAAGAGGGCTAGAGTCGCCCCACCGGATTGGAGGATACAGAGGCCGCAAGGCACAGATCAGAACCGAGACACCCCAGCTCCTGTCTGCCCTTGGCCCAGCGGTGGAAAGGGTCCTTTTGCCCCCTGGGGTGCCGGGAGCAAGGGGAAGGCCTTGGAGGGGCTGGTGGGCCCTCAAGCTGCTCCAGCAGGTAACCTGCTTCCTGGGTCCAGATGGAGTAGAGGATGGGTCCAGAGGAGGGGTGACATCATCTGTAAGTGGGGTCACGACTCCAGCCTGGCCATATGGGCTGTGGGAGGGGCTGTGATCATGCTCTGTCCCTCTCATCTATCCACCTCAGCTCCCAGTCTCCGCAGGGGCTTTGTGCCCCACCCCCCCAACAAGTAGTTGCTTTACCTGGAGGCTGGGCTGTGGGCCTGAAGCCAAGCCTGAGCAAACAACCCCCCTGTGACCCAGGCCTGTCCATTCACACTCCTGGGTGCTGGGCCAGGACCCTTGACTCCAGCCTGCACAGAGTCTGCTGAGCAAAGGGAGGGTGGAGGGGCTTAGAGGGGTTGGCTCTCCTTTACAGATGAGACTTGAGCCCAGAGAGCACCCCAGGTATATGACCAGGGTGCAGAGTTAGAACCCACTGAGACTGTGGACCACTGTGGCTCAGGACCCCTCTTCCCCTTCCCCCAGGGCTGCCACCTTAAGGACCTTTGGGCGTGGGGCTGAGCAGGCTTTCAGGGCCCACTTGGGTAAGGGTAAGCTCCAGCTTAGGGAAAGCTCAGGCCCTGGGGGTTCTGCCCTGGGTGTGGGGCTGTCTGGGGGCCACCACATGGGGCTGAACCCTTCCCTCTCCCCCAGGCCCCCCAGCATCGGCCCCCCAGGGGGACCTGCTGTTTCTGTTGGACAGCTCGGCCAGCGTGTCTCATTATGAGTTCTCCCGAGTTCGGGAGTTTGTGGGGCAGCTGGTGGGCCTGCTGCCCCTGGGTCCTGGTGCTCTGCGTGCCAGCCTGGTGCATGTGGGCAGCCGCCCGTACACCGAGTTCCCCTTCGGCCAGCACAGCTCAGGCGAGGCTGTCCAGGATGCCGTACGTGCTGCAGCCCAGCGCATGGGTGACACCAACGCTGGCCTGGCGCTGGCTTACGCCAAGGAGCAGCTGTTTGCGGAGGTGGCGGGGGCCCGGCCAGGGGTGCCCAAGGTGCTGGTGTGGGTGACAGACGGCGGCTCCAGCGACCCCGTGGGACCCCCCATGCAGGAGCTGAAGGACCTGGGTGTCACTGTCTTCATCGTCAGTACTGGCCAGGGCAACCTCCTGGAGCTGTCTGCTGCCGCCTCGGCCCCCGCTGAGAAGCACCTACACTTTGTGGATGTGGATGACCTGCACATCATTGCCCAGGAGCTGAGGGGATCCATTCTGGGTAGGTGGGAAGAGGCAGGGCCTGGGGGGACCCCAGCAATGAACCTCGGAAGAGGTGCGGGGAGAGGTACTCGAGTGCCTGTAGCAGGGGCCAGGGCTCCGGGGCCAGTGGCACTTCGTGGGGGTCCGGCAGGGAGGCAACACACATGGCTTCTCTGTGCATGCTCCAGGGACGCGCTCCAGCTGTGTGCCCTGTAGGCCCCACTGCCTGGGCTGTAGTGGGACAGAGGGCCAGGCCTGAGTAAACATCTCCAGGTGGGGTTCTCTGCTGACAGCACCACCCCAGAGTGGAGGGCCTGGAGTGGACCGAGAGACCAAGGGGCTGCCTCTGGTGGGATGTGGTTAAATGGAGAGGAAGAGGGGGAGGGTCCAAGCCTGAGGACTCTGCAGATGGACAGCACAGGCTCCTGTATGTGTGTCAGGTGCTACCATGCCTGGGGGTGAGAGAGCCAGGTCGGGATGGGCTAGGATTGCCTCCCACAGCGCTCGGGCCCTACCACCCTAGGGGTAGAGACAGAGGAGTGGGAGTGGGTTTGTACCAGTGGTGTTTTTGGGAATTGCTAGAGGAGGCTGGACCAGGGAGGGCCCACTGCAGGGGCTAGCAGCTCCCCACCAACTTTCTTACAGACCACCCCCGCACCCCCCATCCCCAGCCAAACCTCACGGTGGGAGGGGCTGGAGATGAAGGGCCTGATTACCGGCTCAGCCGGCTCTATTCACTGAAAAATGCCACTAACCCCAGGGTTCTTCCTGAATTCTGCCTGTGGGTTAATCATCCACCCAAAACCGGAAGGGGTTGGACTGTGAATTGCAGAAAGGTAGAGGGTCCTTCCAAAGGTTTCCCCCAGGGACGCCTGGCTTCTGGTGGCCCCTGAGTCAACCACTGTGGCTGAGCCTGGAGGGGACAGCAGGAGGAAGGGCAGCAGCTGGACAGGAAGAACCCAAGGCTGCAGGGCAGTGAGGCAGTAGGGTGGGGGCTCCTGGGATAGGGGTGGGGTGGGGTCTGAATATGGGGGATGCGTAGGAGAATGAGTGCCAGGCTGACAGCTGGAGCACCCAGCATTCAATAAAGAAGCATCAAGATCCCGATGGGCATAACGCTGCCCGGACATTTATCAACCTTACCTACTTGCGTGGTCACTCACATGGCCATGTGGTGTCATGGGCTCAGGAGTAATGCACACTTGGGGGTCCCACTCTGGAGCCCTCCTCCTAGAAACCTGAGGCAGGTGGTACTGTGACCCCACATCCAGCTACTCCTGGAGTTGCCCCGTCATCACTCCCAGGGTGTCCCCCCACCCAGAGCCTCCCATCTTCTGGCTGCACTGGTGCCCCTTTGCCTTGACTGTCCAGAGCTGAGCTGACCCCACACTCTGTGCAGGCCACTCGGGCTAGGGAGGGTGGCTGGTCCTCTGTTCTCAGATACCACCTTTGAGGGGCCACTGGAGTGGTGGGAAGTGGCCATTATAGCTCCTCACCTGTCTGGGTTTGCAGCTGAGGCAGGCAAGGAAGCACCTGATGGAGTCCCAAGTGGGCGACTGCACTCTTTTCCTAACCCCAGCCCTGTCACCGGTTCGTGTTATCATTAGCACTGCTGGGGCGGCGGAGCCTGGGCTGTTCCCCACGTCTCCCTGCCCCGTCAGTCAGGGCCCCAGGCTGGGCGAGAGGAGACCTGACCCCCTGCACCACCCGCAGACGCGATGCGGCCACAGCAACTCCGTGCCTCTGAGGTCACGTCCAGCGGCTTCCGCCTGGCCTGGCCGCCCCTGCTGACCGCAGGCTCTGGCTACTACGTGTTGGAGCTGACGCCCAGCGCCGAGCCAGGGACCGTGCGTCGCCAGCAGCTGCCGGGGAACGCCACGGGCTGGGCCTGGGTCAACCTCGACCCTGACACCGACTACGAGGTGGCGCTGGTGCCCGAGTCCAACGTTCACCTCGTGAGGCCGCAGCACCTGCGGGTGCACACGCTGCCGGGTGAGCGGGGCGCGGAGGGCGGGCGGGGCGGGGGGGTGGGGCGACCGGGCGGGGCGGGGCCAGACCGAGGCCGCGCCCCCGCTCCGCTCAGGCGCGCGCTTCCCCCCTCCCCCCCCCGCAGAGGAGCCCGGGCCGGAGCGCATCGTCATCTCGCATGCCAGGCCGCGCAGCCTGCGCGTGAGCTGGGCGCCGGCGCTGGGCCCGGCCGCCGTGCTCGGCTACCACGTGCAGTACGGGCCGCTGCTGGGCGGGGCGGCGCAGCGCGTGGAGGTGCCGGCGGGCCGCAACAGCACCACGCTGCAGGGCCTGGCGCCCAGCACCGCCTACCTGGTGACCGTGACGGCAGCCTTCCGCTCGGGCCGCGAGAGAGCGCTGTCGGCCAAGGCCTGCACGCCCGACGGCGAGCGCAGCCGCGCCCCGCGCCCCCAGCCGCAGGGGGCCGGGGGCCGGGAGCCGTGAGCCGGCCGCCCCGCCCACCCGGGGGCCGCCTTCTCCCCACCGCCAAAACCTGGGCCTTGCCCCGCGGCGACTCCGTCCGCACCCCCCCCCCCAAGAACTCTCCTGCGGCGGCGGAGGGCTCCCTGCTCGGGCGTCTGCCTCCTAGGACACAGGGCTCGCCTGACTCCCCGGCCATCGCGACCCCCTGCCCTGCCCGGGCCCAGAGCTGGACACGCGATGCTGTCCTTTGGGCAGGAATAGCAGGAAGATGGACAGGGAGTCTGGGGCGGGCTGAGAACATCAGATGCAGGACTGGCCTCGAGCGCAGGACAGGAGGCAGCTGAGCGGAGCGGCTGGACCTCTCACTTGTGTGAAGGCCCAGTCCCTCTGGTGGCAAGGGCTGGCATCGGTCTGAGAGGGCTTGGTCCGGCTGGCCGCGCTGCGTCCCTGCGGCCTCAGGTCCTAGATGTGGGTGGAAGGTGGATGGGGGAAGGGCGGGAGCTGGCTCCGGCTGGGTTCCAAAGGCTTCCCAGAGGGGACAGGATCTGGAAAAGGTCAGGGAGTTGTGGTGGCAGGTCGATGGTGTGCTCAGCAGCTGGGTCAGCAGAAAGGTGGTCTTTACCAGGGTGTTCAGTTGGCCTGCTGGGGACAGTGGCCCTGCCTTCCTGCCCAGGACCCAGGTGGGTCCAGCTACAGCCCGGGGATGCAGATGGCACCTTCCTGGAGGAACAGGACCCTGGAGACAGGAGGGCTCCTTGCCCCTGCAAGCCCCAAGGCTTGCACTCACAGGGAGCCTCCCCTGCTTCTGGGTGGGGAGCTTCCATGCATGGGCAGGGACAAACAAGGTTCCCCTGGGTGGGTTCACCCCAGCGATTCTCTACAGCATCTTCTGACCCCACCTCCTGTCACCACTGCTCTACTGGGGCCACCAGACGAGTCCTAAGGGCAGTACCTGCTGTCCCTCAGCCCCGTCAAGGCATGTATGTACTCCCGTCTGCACCAACTCCGTGCTCACTTTGCCTCTTCCCCACTAACACCCCAGACTTTAAAATACAGTAAATTAGATGTAAACTGAGCTCTGCAGTCTCAGAGTGCTTTACTCCATCCCAACACTCCAGCCCTGTGAAAGCTCCCAGACGGAAGGCCAGTGTTCTGCGGCTGGTGCTGGGGAAGGGGAGGGGAGCCAAGCCCCTCCTGGTGCTGAGGCTCAGAACACCCTGCCATCTGCACCTCCTCCTCAGAGGGCCCTGACCGTTTCTGTGGGTGGGACTCCGCACTTTGGAGCAGAGTTGCCAGAGGCAGGGACGGGGACCTGGCTGTGCAGGGCTGTCCACACCACCGCTTCAGATCAGGGGTGGGGCTGTGGCGCCCTCTGCTGGCAAGACCACTCCCTCAGCAGCAGTTGGACTAGCCCGCCGCCTGCTAGTGGGAAATGGACACCCTAACCCAAGCAAACTGCAGGGTTGAGAGAGGTGGTCTTCAAGTCCCTGACAGTGTTCTCAGTTTGCCCACTCGGGTTTGGTGGCACGTGTTTGGGGGCAGCCTTCAATCGAGCTGGCCTGCCACCGTTTTTCAAGGACCAGATTCCCAAGAATCACATGGCTCCCTAAGCACCTAAGGCCTGCACCACACTAGTCTAGTGTACTAAACATTTGTGGGGGCCAGCAGTGCACGAGCCCACCATCTGCTTATGTGACAACGGCATGGGAGACAAAGGGCTCCTGCCCTGTGTGACCAGAGCAGGCGGAGTGGGCAGGGGGGCTAAGGTGGTGGGTCCAGGGTCCCCTGGTAGTGCCGGGCCAGGCCAGACTTGGTCAGAGGGTAGGGAGGCACTGCTGAGTGGGCGTTGGGTTTCCCCTACGTGTCCCCACAACCCCTGGGGAATCAGGCCCAGGGAAGCCGAGTGGCCTGTGTGGCCTCTACCACTGCGGGCATCTGCTTACCCCCTGACCGGTGGTTAGCCGGCAGCCCAGAGTCGGCGGACCCCTCCCTAGGCTGGTGGATGTGAACAACAGGGTCTAGGCAGCATCGACCGGAGAGGGAGACCTTCCCCAAGGCTGATCAGAACTCCCCATGTGCAGGCCAGTGTGCCCCACCCTGATGCCCAGGGTACCTGTAGGTCCAAGCCCATTGGGCACCTGGAAAGGTCCCCCTTCCACAGAGCCTCTCAGTCCAGCCTGCAGAGTGCTATGCGGGCGGCAAGAGAAAAAGCAAGAGAATACTGGCAGGTGCTTTCCTAATGGCTCAGTCATGCACTTGAGACAGATGAGCTCCTTCCCCCAAACATACCTACAATCCCAAGCGAGGGCAGAGTGGCCAAAGACACATGGCCCTACTCCCTGGAAGAGGCTCCAGCTTCAGCTCATCACTGCTGGATGCTGAGGGCAGGGAAAGGAGCCCCCACTTCTGTGCCAAGGAATGCCTCTTCTGGAAACCCTTACCTTGGAAGTGCTGCCCTTTGCACTGTTCTAGGCAACTTTTTTTTTCCTTAAGATTTATTTATTTGAGAGCAAGCACGTGCACAGGGTGGGGAGAGGCAGAGGGAGAGGGAGAATCTCCAGCAGACTCCACACTGAGCACGGAGCAGGA